GAAGCTCGTCTCAATGTGATCCACCCTCTGGACGAGGGGATTTCTTGCTCGTGGTGGTGGTGGCTACTCTGCAGGGTGCGGGAGCGCTGGGCGCCGGCGCCAGCCGGGTGCTCGTACAGCTGGCTGCTGTGCTGGTGGTGGGACCTCGGGCTCGGGCTCCACTGGAGCTGATGTTGCTGCAGCTCGGATGACTCCGGAAGGTCGGAGTCCATCAAGGTACTCCACTCCTCTCTCGCCCTGGAGTACCAGCTTTTGGTTGTACAATGTCTCCACTAGGAAAGGCTCCATCCTTCCGAGGCTGGTGCAGCCGGCCAGATCCACCTGGAAGTGCCGAGCTATCCTCGTTATGATGCCCCCTCATATGCATAGTGTCCACCCTGTTCCGCCCCAGACACCGGGGGGAAAGATGTGGCGATCAACGATCCCAAATGGATCGGCTCAACTGGACTCCTCATCGAGTAGAGGGCAATGAGCCCTCTGTTCGTCATCAAGTGGCCTGACTGGAGGCTAGGGATGACATATCTGGTGGGCAGAGTGTGGAGAATCCTCCACCGGGTCTTCATCTTTATAGCATTGGTTCGGCTACCCTCGAACTCGCTCTGCTCGTGCTCTAGGCGGCAGAGGGCTCTAAATGCGCCCTGATAGTTGAAGTCGACCGTGTACTGCCACTCCTTTATCGTCATGCGAGCGGTGTCGAGTCCCATGGACTAAGCAAAGCCATCATAGGTCAGCACTCGCGGCTGACCGCCCAACATAAACTCCACCCTGGGCCGACTCTTCTTGCTGGGCAGGACGATGTGGGAGAAGGTGGAGTAGAACTCCACACACAGCTCATGGAAAATCTCCTCGTCTATGGTCAGGAGCTGGCGCCACTGGGAATGGGAGAGTACTCCAGTCATGGCGGCTAGGCACCTGAACAAATTAAACATGTCCAGGTCCAGCCGCCAGTGAGGCCCGATTGGGCTGTCACTCTGGTAGGCGAACTTGTCGCCAAACTCCGGGTGGTTCACCAGATAATTGATGAACTCATTCTCCAAGTTAAGCATCTTGCACAAAAACAAACACATACCATACGTGGAAACATCCGTCATATACTGCTCATTGGGAGGAACAGAGATTCCCCCACACTCGTTTTTCCACCATGGCTAAAACATTTAAGCTCAAACCACCATGGCATGGTTGTGGGTATTTCACGTTTCAAGCACACAAAAAATTGAACCACAACCCCTACCACGGCGGCTACCATCCACCAAACAAAAATAAACTCCACTTGTATTCATGACATAGCACTTGGTGGGAAAATTCTAAAAATAAACACAATTCGGTTCAAACACGCCCACCAAGGCTCACTAAGCTCATGCAATAATCAATCCATCAATCACACGACCTAATTCACCTAAGTCCTCCGCCTAACTAGATTCAATCATGCCAAGCACAAAATTTCAATCTCACTTCACTACCTAATCCGAATCTCCACAATTCACAAAGGTAAAGTTGAAAAACAAACCTGGAAACTCAAGTAGGACGAGGGAGGAAGTGAGGTGCAGGCGAGGACGGTGAAAAATTGGTCGGAAAACTGACCGGAGAGGGCTCGCCGGAGACTCGTTACCGGTGACTTGGCCGGAAAAAATATACTCCAAATCTCCCCAAAATCTCAGCACTAGCCGGTTTTGAGGAGAGGAGGCTGGGTATGACATTGGTTTTGGGTTTTGCTCGCCGGAAATGGGGGAAAGATCGAAAAAACGACGGGTTTTCCCGTTTTGCGGCTAAGATTTAATTTTTCCTGTGAGAATTTGGCCGTGAAGTGAAGGGTCGCCGTTCACGCCCCTTTTATAGGTAGAGCTCTGATTTCACGGACGCGTTGCCCAGTTCACGGTTTTAGCGACCGAGAACTCGCGAATGCATCTGTGAACACGGAGTGGTTGACAGGTGGTGAACGTGCTTCAGCGCCCAGTTACAAACGCGTTTGCCTATTCACGGTCTTAGCGACTATGAACTCAGCTATCCGTCCGTGAACTCAAGTGAAAATAGGGCATTTCTGCAAAAAAAATTGACTCAACCTACTCCTCCGTGCCTCCTAATCGATCACAACACAACCATAAACCACAAAATCACAACACTCGGCACGGGGACACCACTTCACCACTTGAACCCTTCACAATACACTAAAATGAAAACTAAGGAAAAGAAAACAAACCTCTGTTGGGTTGCCTCCCAACAAGCGCTTGTTTATCGTCATTAGCTTGATGGTTGGGGATCAATCACGACTTCAAACGTGATGCCACCGAGAGCGGATCCACCACACTCTCGGGGAGAGGTTTGTAGTCTCCCATCTTAGGCTCCTTGAGTTGGCCATCTTGGTTGCCAACATTGCTTCAGGCTCCCCCGTCTTCCAGGTCAAAGCTCCGTTCATCCTTCTTCTCCAAGCATTCAATCTAGGTTCTTTGGGCATAGGACCCTTCTTAACTTCCTGCTCAACGTCATCAAAGACAACACAAGTAACAATGGGGTTTGCTTTGAGAGGCTCTCCTCCACTCTCATTCACATCATTGGACACTACTGTGCTCTTCGTGAATGGGCCTCCCAGTATATCGCCATAGGGAGCACCTGTTCTCTTCGTGAAGAAGAAAGATGGGAGTATGCGGATGTGTATCGACTATAGGATGCTGAACAAGGCAACAGTGAAGAATCGTTATCCATTGCCCATTCATTCAAAAAGGCCCACCCAATGCGCAGCGTTTTCCCTGACCTCGTCAAGATCCCTAGTCTCGTCGTCGCCTCCATTCATCATCATCATCATCAAAATCAAACAGTCAAGGGTTCTGCATGTCTCTCGTGCATCAGCTCTCTCCCTTCATTACTACGATCAAACGGTAAAAAGCATTGAAGAGGAAAGAGACGGAAGAATGGTGTTGCTGATTCTGTATAAAGACCACTCCTGTCAATGGAGAACTTGACGGTTTCCTCAACTCAGTTAGAACTAGTTAGTTCTTTGGGATTTCTTGGATTGGGTTCGGATTAAGTGTCTGGGTAGCTTGAGTTGGGGCTTGTTGCCAGGGACTCAAGCTAATATGGCCTCCTCTACTGTTTCAGTCCTCTTCTTGTTTGGTGTTTCAATTCAATTCAAGTTCTCTTCCTGTTACTGAAACTCTAGTATTTATTTACATGTTCGATTTGAGAATGAAATAATCTGTAAGAAGAATTCGTCTCTTTGAGTGAATGATTTAAGGCATAGCCGATAACAATTGGTATCAGGGCTTCCTTTTCGTAAGAACTAGGTGTTGCCGAGAAGGAGATCCTCTGCCTTGCCATGTCTTCAAACTCATTCCCAACTAGTTCAAACCCTCCCTAGTTTTCAGGTTCTAATTACTCTGTATGGAAAAAAAGAATGCGTCTTTTCCTTCGAGGAATCGATTGTGAATTATGGGCAATTGTCCGAAATGGACCAATTGACATGAAGGAAGACGATGAGGAGGATTGGTCTGATGAACCAAAGAAAAGTGCTCAACTAGACTCTAGGGCTATGCATATTCTGCTTTCTGCTATATCTGAAGATGAGGGTGAAAGAGTAAACAATTGTGAATCAGCTAAAGAAATTTGGTCAATTCTAGAAACTACTCAGGAAGGAACATCAGAAGTTAAGGAAACCAGAATAGATTTACTACTTAAAGAGTATGAAACCTTTGATATGATTTCTGGTGAATCCATTTCAGAAATGGATAAGAGATTTTCCACCCTAGTCAATCGACTCAAGGGACTAGGAAAATCTTTCACAAGCAAAGAGCTTGTTAGAAAAGTGCTTAGGTCTCTTCCTCTCGAATGGATGGCTAAAAGAACTGCTATTGAGGAAGCTAAAGACCTCAATGTCTTATCTCTTGATAATCTAATTGGTTCTCTTCTTAGCCATGAGGAACTTCTCAAACAAATGAACTCTCTTCAGGATAAGAAGAACAAATCGATTGCCTTTCAGTCAGTGTGTTCAGTCGAAGAAGAAAAATTAGATGAGGAGTTTGAAAATGAACTAGCCCTCACCAGCAAGAAACTTCAAAGAATGATGAAATTTAAGCATGATCTGAATGCAAAAAGGGGGAAGTTTCAACAATAACTACTCACCCAGATCATCTGGAAACATGTTTAATAACTCCCCTAGATCATCTGGACATCATTCTTGTGAATCAAATGACAAAAATTCATTTGGCTCCAACAGAACTGATTCTGGTCCTAAAGATTTTAAGAACTCTAATGATAAAACTGACTCAACTATCTGTTTAAAATGTGGTAAAACAGGACATATAAGAGCAAATTGTCCACTAAACAAAAAGAAAGAAAAGGCAATGACTGCCTCCTAGAGTGACTACAGCTCAGAAGATGAACCTGAAGTTGTTGCATACATGGGACTGAATTCCAGCTTGGATGATGACACGGCTGTTGAAAAGGTATGGTCAGACTCTTCCTCTGATACTGTCTATGAATCACATAACGAAGATTTCTTTCTTCATGCCCTGTCAAATCTTCAAAATGAATGCAACATATTAAAAAGCAAATTCTGTCTGACAGTAACTCAACTACATGAAAAGGAAACAGAAATTTGCAGACTTAAGAAGCTAGTTGATAATCAACATGCAGCTTAGATCACTCAAGACACGCAAGTAGCTAATCTTACAGCTAAAAACAGAGAACTTAAGAGACAGATTAACTACTGTCACAAAGTGTTGAATAAGAATTCTAGAATTTCTAATCCAAATCTCAGAAATAATATCTCTGTATCACCATATAAACACCCAAACTCGAGAAACCAATCTAATTCATGGAGATACCCTCTGTTTTGCTCTAACTGCAGAAAGACTGGTCATGACTATGCTCACTGTCATTACAGTAAATCAAAACCCAAACTTGTTTGGGTTGTTAAAACTTCCAATTAAGTTCTTTTTCCCTTTTCAGAATAATAAAGGTGCTAACATCTGGTACTTAGATTCTGGATGCTCGCACCACATGACAGGTAACAAAGATCTGTTTTCTTATCTAAATCCAAAAAGAGGAGGTAAAGTTTTCTATGGCAATAATAATTGTTCTTCAGTTGTTGGGAAGGGAACTGTTAGCAGCAATTCTTCTCTCATAATAGAAGATGTTCTGTATGTTGATGGTTTAAAGCATAATTTGCATTCTATTAGTCAAATTTGTGGGTCTACATACCGTTTACTTTTGATCCCTTCTGCTACATCATTGAACGCATCTCTGAAAATGCTGGATCTCTCAGAGGATATATGTCTGAGTTCCTTGTCTGACACTGTAATCAATTGGCATAGAAAACTAGGTCACATGAGTATGTCTCGTCTTGTTAAACTCTCTAAACTTAACATTGTTAGAGATCTGACTCTAATCAAGGCATTAGACAAATTCACATGTGAAGCTTGCATTTTAGGAAAATATTGCAAAAAGTCATTCAAAAGTAAACAGGATGTTACTACTATAGTGTCTTTTGAACTATTACATATGGATCTATTTGGACCCACCAATGTCCAAAGTCTTGGTGGAAAATCTTATGTGCTTGTTATAGTTTATGACTATTCTAGATTCACGTGGGTATACTTTCGGTCATCCAAAGATGAAGCTTTCTCAAAGTTTAAGTCCTTTGTTATTCTTGTTCAAAAACAATATGACTGCCAAGTTAAGAGTATTAGGAGTGATAATGGTGGTGAATTCATTAATGATGATTTTAGTTGTTTCTGTGATCAACATGGTATCCTTCACACCTTCTCAGCTCCTAGAACTCCACAACATAATGGGTTTGTGGAGAGGAAAAATAGATCTCTCATTGAAACTGCTCGAACCATGCTCTTAGAATTTGATTGTCCCAAGTTTCTCTGGGGAGAAGCTGTTAATACTGCCTATTATGTTTTAAACCGCACCACTATTCGTAAGATTATTAACAAGACTCCTTACGAAATCTTGAAAGGAAAAACCCCTAAGCTTTCTTATTTTCATCCTTTTGGAACCAAATGCTTCATTTTAAACACTAAAGACTCAATTGGAAAATTTGATGCCAAGTCTAATATTGGTACCTTTCTTGGATATTCTAGTAAAGGTCAAGCATACAGGGTCTTCAATAGAAGGTCTAGAAAAGTTGAAGAGTCAGTGCATATTCGTTTTGACTCATCCCATCCATCTCTTCCCTTGCACTCTGATATCAATAACTATGAATTTCTGCCCCTTAGCACTTCTCTTGAGACAGGAAATGCATCCAACAGTGAGGAATCTCATGGTATCGAGTCCAACTCCTCAGTACCTCCTGAGACAGATTCGACTGAAAATCTGGAAAATCTTGAAGCTCCAGCCCACATTAGAAAAAGGCATCCACCTTCACAAATCATAGGTAAATTGACAGATCCTATCCACACCAAAGGTAAGCACATCCCAGGTCAGTATGCATTTGTTTCTTTGCCTGAACCTAAAAACTATAAAGAAGCAATTCTTGATGAAGAGTGGTTGCTTGCTATGCAAGAAGAACTATCTCACTTCATTAGGTTAAATGTCTGGGAACTTGTCCCTCGACCTGGTAACATCACTGTTATAGGTACTAAGTGGATTTTTAGAAATAAGTCAGATGAACTAGGATGCATTATCAAAAACAAAGCTCGTCTAGTGGTCCAAGGATACAATCAGGAGGAGGGCATAGACTATGATGAAACTTTTTCCCCTGTTGCTCTCCTGGAATCCATTTGACTTCTATGTGCCTATGCTAGTTATATGAACATAAAAATTTTCAAATGGACGTTAAAAGTGCCTTCTTAAATGGTGAAATCAAGGAGGATGTATATGTTGAACAACCTCCTGGATTTACAGACTGTGAATTTCCTGATCATGTTTTCAAACTGTCTAAAGCTCTGTATGGTCTTAAACAAGCTCCCAGAGATTGGTTTGAAAAACTGACTTCCTTTCTGATTTCACAAGGATTCTGTCAAGGTGGGGTCGACAAGACTCTTTTCATTAAATAACAGAATAAACACTCTTTGATTGTCCAGGTTTATGTGGATGATATAGTCTTTGGTAGCACTGACTCAAACATGTGTGATGAATTCTGCTCTGCCAAGAAAAATAAATTTGAAATGAGCCTCATGAGGAATTAAACTTCTTCCTTGGTCTGCAAATTCATCAATCTGACCTAGGGATATTCATTCATTAGACTAAGTATCTTCAATCCATGCTATCCAAATTTGATTTATTAAATGTCAATCCATGCAAAACCCCCATAGCCTCAAATACTCACTTAGATTATGATTTAAATGGGCAACCTGTATGTGAAAGAAAGTATAGAGGCATGATAGGGTCTTTACTCTATCTTACAGCCAGCAGACCTGATATTCAATTCAGTGTCTGCCTATGTGCCAGATTTCAACATCAACCCAAAAATAGTCACCTAACAGCTGTGAAAAGAATTTTTAGATACTTAAAGGGTTCAAGTGATCTAGGTCTGTGGTATCCTAAGTTTGATTCTTCATCTCTTATTAGATACTCTGACTCTGATTTTGCTGGGAGCATTACAAATAGAAAAAGTACCAGTGGTACTTGTCAATTTTTTTGTCTTTCTCTTGTGTCATGGTCAAGTAAAAAATAAGGATCTATAGCCCTGTCTACTGCTGAGGCAGAATATGTTGCTGCAGGGAGTTGCTGCACTCAAATGCTTTGGTTAAAATCCCAACTCGTTGACTATGGTATCAAGGTTGAACAAATTTATGTTTTCTGTGATAACACTAGTGCCATATGTATGTCTAAAAATCCTGTTCATCACAGTAGAACCAAACATATTGAGGTAAAACACCACTTTATCATAGATATAATACAAGCAAGTCATATTGAATTAAATTTCATTTCCACTGAATTTCAAATTGCGGACATCTTAACTAAAGCACTATCCTCAGAACGTTTCATAAGACTGTGTGATGAACTTGGTCTTCAGTGACTTCGCTCCATCCAAGACCGTCACTAAACCAGGTTCTGTTCTTCCTTTACTTATGTATTTACTCTTACTAGTCCATTGAGTGATTTCATATATGTCTGCTCTGTTCTTCTAATAATTGCTAGTTCATGCATGTGATGTTTAGTTTCTTGATGAACTGTGATTTTCTATAAACCTTGTTGCAACTCTTGATATTCTTACTTAGCTATATAATTCATCTCCCCCTCTCCCCTTCGTCTCACTCTCTTTGTCACCTACTGACGCTCTTCATTATGACTGAGCTCTTCACATCCTCCAACATTCTTGGTGCTATTGTTACCTATGTTGGACGAACATTCAATGAGCCTGTTGATTTCAATCTTCATCGTTTCAAAGAATTTTATGCATCCCGCCCTCTGTCTGATTCCATTACCCTCGATCTGTTTGAATTCAAATTTCATGGGATCGATATTACACCATTCATATGAAACCTGGGTTGGGAATTCCTTCTTCACTACCCTCCCCTTGCTGCTTGCCCACTTCCAGTTCGCACTTTCTATGCCAATCTGGACTGTCAGGGGATCACCACTAGAAAACTCTCCACTTTGGTCAATGTGTACTTCATTTCCCTTACTTCTGAAGCTATTGGCACTCTTCTGAATCTTCCCACTGGAGGACCCCTTCCTCTTGCTCATGAAGATGAGTTTTTATTTTATGATTTTGATCATGTGATCGAATATTCTCATATCACTCAGCGTCCAATAGGGGCACATGAAATTATCACCTCGACTGATCTGAACCCTACTCTACGCACTCTCCACTATTTCATCACCCATCTATTCTTACCCCGTAACCATGGACTGCACATTGTCACCAAGCTTGACCTCTGGGTCCTATCCAATGCCCTCACTGGACGAAAGATCGACTATTCCCAGCTACTGTTTGGAACTCAGGGGGAGACACAGGACAACCATCATCAGGATGTTGAAACTCAGAATGCTGAAACTTAGGGAGAGTCTGGGGAACTATCATTTGAATACAATCCTCTAAGAAAGATGTCTTAGAGAAATAAAAGGAATTGTAATAAGCAGAGTAATGTGTCTTAAGTGTGTGTGTTTCTTGACCATAATGGTCCACTGGGTGTATTTCTTGTTTAAGACCATAATGGTCTAAGTACGTTTCTTTTGTTGTGTCTTAATTGCATTACATCATGAAATGAAAGTCCATCTTGATTCTGGGTAGTCTGCGGAACTAGGTATCACAATGAATGATTTGGATGTTTGCAAAAATGAAGGCTTCAATGCAGGGGGAGATCGTTGGGCCTTGCCTCGTCCATATTCTCATAACCAAGAGGCCCATTCATTCAAAAAGGCCCACCCGATGCGTAGTGTTTTCCCTGACCTCGTCAATATCCCTAGTCGCGTTGTCGCCTCCAATCATCATCATCAAAATCAAACAGTCAAGGGTTCTGCAGGTCTCTCGTGCATCAGCTCTCTCCCTTCATTACTTCGATCAAACGGTAAAAAGAATTGAAGAGGAAAGAGACGGAAGAATGGTGTTGCTGATTCTATATAAAGACCACTCCTGTCAATGGAGAACTTGACGGTTTCCTCAACTCAGTTAGAACTGGTTAGTTCTTTGGGAGTTCTTGGATTGGGTTCGGATTAAGTGTTTGGGTAGCTTGAGTTGGGGCTTGTTTCCAGGGACTCAAGCTAATATGGGATCCTCTACTGTTTGAGTCCTCTTCTTGTTTGGTGTTTCAATTCAATTCAAGTTCTCTTGCTGTTACTGAAACTCTAGTATTTATTTAGGGTTCGTTTGGAAGTTGCGATTGTTAGTGTTGTATTTGTTATATACATGTATTGTCCACAATACAACGTTTGGAAGTGTCAAGTTGCAAAACAATGCATGTATTGTTTTGTGTGAGTCCTACCAACAATCAACAAAAATGAGGGATTGTACAATCTCAATTCTCAACTAAAAGTTGAGATTATTGTGATTGTTGGTTTAATAATTGAGCACCTTTACTTTTTCCAATTATGTTCATAGTTCTTTTTGTTTTATATTAAAAGTGGAGGACAAATATGACATTTTTTTATAAAGTAACTTTATAACAATCAATTCATAAATTATAATCTCAACAACCAAACAATGTAATTTCAAAATACATCTATTGTATCAATGCATGCATTTATATCATAGTGATTCATAACAATACAAAGATTTAACATACGCAACTTCCCAACGACCCCTTAAATGAGTTGATCGTTAGTATTGACGGTCAAAGTTAGAATTAGGCCAAAGTTGTCCATTAATTTCAAAGTTGGGGCCATTTGTGTCCTTATAGTAAGTTGGGGCCAAAATTGTGTATTTATACAAAGTTGGGGCCATATTAGAGTATTTACCCCTTTTGTTTAAAATAAAAAAATTTGGCTGATAAATTATGGGGTCGTTTGGAAGTTGTGATTTTTAGAGTTGTGTTTGTTGAATATATGTATTGTGCACAATACAATGTTTGGAAGTGTCAAAGTGTTAAACAATGCATGCATTGTTTTAGGCAGGTCCCACCAACAATCACAAAAAATGATGCATTATACAATCTCAACTAAAAGTTGAGATTGTTGTGATTGTTGGTTTTAGATTTGTGTCAACTTTTTCTTTCCATTTATATCCCCAATAATTTTTGTCTTATTCAAAAAGTTGAGGGTAAATGTGACATTTTCCCATAAAAGTAACTTTATGTAAATCAATGTATAAAATAGAAACTCAACAACCAAACAATGTATTGTTAAAATGCATCCATTGTATCAATACATGCATTTATATTATGATGGTTCATTACAATACAACTATTTAACATTCGCAACTTCCAAACGACCCCTTACATGTTTGATTTGAGAATGAAATAATCTGTTAGAAGAATTCGTCTCTTTGAGTGAATGATTTAAGGCATAGCCGATAACAATCAGTTGCAAGTGGCAGAATCCTCCATCCCGAATATAACTTTTGGTACTCGATATGGACACTATGAGTTCCTGGTAATGCCTTTCGGGTTGACCAATGCACCGACAGCTTTTATGGCACTGATGAACAGCATCTTCCATGAGTATTTGGACAAGTTTGTCATCGTGTTCATTGATGATATCCTCATTTACTCAAAGAGCCACGATGAGCATAAGGAGCACTTGAGAATCACATTGCAGAAGTTAAGGGATGAGAAGTTGTATGTAAAGTTCCCAGAATGTGAATTTTGGCTAAGTGAAGTGTTGTTTTTGGGCCATGTGGTTTCCGAGAAGGGAGTGGAAGTAGACCCTAATAAAATAGAGACAGTGGTGAACTGGGCATCTCCCGAGAACGTCTCGGAATTAAGAAGCTTTCTAGGCATGGCTGGGTACTACAAAAGGTTTGTGGAGGGCTTCTTCAGCATCGCTAGACCTTTAACCAAGTTACTGCCCAAGGGAGTGACTTATACATGGAGTAAGAAGTGCCAAGAGCGTTCGAGGAGTTTAAGAGGAAGCTTACTACTGCACCAGTACTGGCATTAGCATCAAGTGAGGGAGAATATGCCATACATAGTGACGCTTCATACAAAGGGTTGAGATGTGTTCTTATGTAGAACAACAAGGAAAAGATGTAAATAAAAGTAAAAATAGGAATTTAATTAATTTTTTTATAACAATACAAACACTCTCATCACTTATTAACATACTCTTCTCTTAATTGCACCATTAGATCTAGAAGGATAGTGTACTAATTCATTGGTCAAATTACTAAGCACCCTTAGTCGTAGGATTTTCACACCAATAAAAAGTAGGGAAATTAACTTCAAAGGATTAGCCTTGAAGTTAAGGTAGTTAAGATGCTTGTGGAGAGTTTTGTTGTTTTTATGACTATGCTCGATTCAAATTTGATTAAATTAGAATAAAAATGGTAAACTCGTCATTATTGACCGTGAATGTTTAACTCGCTTAAATTAAAACTATAAATTCAGGGATGAATTTCTAATGGTAAATGAGCTAGTTGGATACTATAAATATTGAAGTGAATCATGGTCCAACTCGGTTGGAAGCTTTGGTCACTAAGAGGCTTTGTGCAGATGAGAAACTATTGTTTTCTCAACCAGTTACTATAGAGGATGTTAGAGAAGTGATCTTTTCAATGGACTCTCGAAAATCACCTAGGTCAAATGAATTTTATGTTGGATTCTACAAGAAGATGTGAAACATTATTGGAGCATATATACCACAAGGGATCTTGGATTTCTTCCAAAAGGGTACAAAACAATGCTTAGTGGAGTCAATGTCGTTGCTATCTCAATATGTCATGTGGTACAAAATGCTGAACACTTGAAAAACAATAGACATATATCTTGTGTGAACTTATTTTATAAGATGGTAGTAAAGATATTAGCTAACCTTATCCCAAAAAAATTACATTAGCTAAAAGATTAAGAGAGATTTTGTCATCTATAGTTAGTGAGAGACAATTTGCATCTATAAAGGGAAGAAGGATTGTGGAAGATATTGTCAGGGCTCGAGAGTTTGTTAATGGTTATCAATTTATCATAGGGTGAGCTTGTCCTCTAGATATGCTATAAAAATTGATATCATGAAGGCATTCGATTATGTGAACTGGAAGTAGTTAATTTTAATGATGACGCTGATGGAATTCTCATATTAATATATATAAACTTGAAGAACATTTACTATTGCCTTAGAATTTTGTTAATTTGCGCAACCATTTTTTTTTAATTACAATCACAACCTCAATAAAAGAGAAAAGTGCATAAAGTGATCTTCCCTATAAGTAGAAGTATGAATGATCAAAGAAGCCGGAGGAAAAAGACCCACGCTATTACAAAGAAAAGGAAACAGTGGATTTTTAATTAGAATAAACCCATTAGTAAAATTGTTAACCAAAAAACAATATTGAATTGGTGCTTGAATTACATCGGTCCATAATGAACCAGTCCATTTGTTGTAATTGAACGTTCAACGACATCAACTGATTAAAAAATATCAATTAACTGGTTTAATGTTGTTTCTCAAATAAACTCAACAACTAAAAAAATATTATGAGAGGCAGAGCATGAAAACCTTATTAATTACCATAAAAATGTTTTATACTTCCTCTTTGTTTCATTCTTCACTCACCATCCATTTCGCTTTTGTAATATCTGCATCTGTCTTCTTTGTCCAACTTAGTATAATATTTGTATTCTAATTTAAAGCACGAATAGTTCCAACTAATCGACGGGTCTATAAAAATTAATAATTGAATCATCAGTCACCAAATTTTCTAGCTCGATGTTTAGTACAATTAAAAAATTCTACAGTTATTCACTAACTTTTAATTGGAACAGAACTCTCGTGACTAAAATTGTGAACCAATGATACAACATTGAATCGGTTCTTGAATTGGATCAGTAATCTATGAGTTGGCCAATTTTTTTCAATTGGACATTGAAGGACAAGAATCACCTTGATCTAAGTGATGCACTGGTTTAATATTGTTGCACAAATAAACTCAATCATTAAAAATAAATATTATGGTCGGACGACAGAATGTAGAAAGCTAATTAGCATCCTACTTCCTCTACATTTCATTTTTTAAGTCTCCCTCCATCTCCCTTTATTTATTTCACATCTGCCTCTTTCTTCCAACCCTAATTAGTATAATATTTGTATGTATAATAAATTGTAAGTATGAACGATTTCATCAACGATTTATCGATGGATCTACAACAATTAATAATTGAACCATGAACAACTAAAAATTATGCCTCAATTCTTCCATTTTAGTTAGAAAATATACGTATTTTCTACTTATATGTACGTCTCATTTTTTTCTTCCCTAGAATTTGAAAGCGTGGTATTTTAAGTCGAGTTCCACTTTGGCTCCCTTTGTTTCTTTCTCTGGAGTTTTTCTACTTATCCGGGCTACAATTTTAGTCAATCATACCTATACTCTTTGGCTATGTTTATACATATCAAACAAATAATCATCACTAAAAAATTATAATTTTTATAAAAAATAATCATCATCATTTTGAACAAAATATCATTATCATTTTTTAGCAAAAAAGTATCAATCATTGTAAGTATATAATAGTAAAAAAAATTCAACGGACAATCATACCGAAGCAAAGTTGACTAGCTCGCGGGAAAGCGCGGTACTTACCTAGTCTATTTTTAAAGTGGATTAAAATATGTGTTCAAACTGTTCATTCTAGTATCAATATAAATGGAGGACTATGTGAATTTTTCAGAGCAAGGAAGGGAGCCAAACAAGGTGACCCTTGTCACCCTACTTGTTTACAATAGTCATAGAATTTATGTCTACATTATTAAGACAAACTGCTCGGTTACAAGCTATCCCATTTCACTCTATGTAGGGATGGGCAATGAGTTGGTTGTGCGGATTATTTGGTCAAAATCCACCCACCCATTGTGTTTATGGGTGATAAAAAGTCGCTCACACTAACCCATTTGTATCATTATGGGTCGGTTGGATGGATTTTGCGGTTGTGTGGGTCAATTTTTGTTAAATAATTAGATGATTATGTTCTGTAAAAGTTTGCATAAATCTAATTTAATATCAATATTATAAAATTCAGGAAAATGAATAGCTATTAAAAGTAGTTTATTTCATAATCTAAGACAAATGATTTCATTTGCGAATTAAAAATATTTTATGGATAGTTATCATATTATAAACAACTAACGTATAATGTATGTTGCAATTAAGGTAAACACGTAGTGAGTGGGTGATCTGCCATAGTACGTGGTACAATTTACATGGCCTTCTCATAGCCACTTACTCAAATGGTGACAGACGAGTTCTATACTGAGAAAACTTATGTAGGTTGGGGTGCCTCTGATTTTGCAAAAAAAAAAAAGTAAAAGAATCGCAGAAACGGAAACCTATATTAGTGGGCGATTGGGAAAGCATAAGAGGAAGGCGTGTTTCACAGGCAAGCTCCCCTTAGAGTTTCTAGACATGTTTCCTTGGTACTGGCAACATACGAGTTGTTGATTTCTTATTTCACCTAATTCCACCTTGTGTAGTTTGAATAATGAGCGACAATGACCATACTGATTTCTCCTCTGAGGCCTCACACCATTTGATCAAATGATGTTTGTAGAGCCTCCATGTCTAGTATTGCTCTAACCAACTAGGATTTTGATATTTGCACCACGAAAGGATGCTAGCTCGCTCGACTAATCTTTCATTTGAATCAACAAAAGACAACATAAAGGAAATCATACACAAAATATAGGAAGATGAAAACAATCGTATTGAATACCAAACATCGAGTTTACATGTCTAGAACCTCTAAGGTTTGCAACCTAGGAAACTAAGTGAACTAGCCAGCCATGGGGATGCGTTTCTTCATCAATTGAAATGAAGATCCCAGAATACCACTAGAAACGGTGGCCAAAACAAAGGAATCAGGTTTTAGGGCGTCGATTCTGACACTGTTTCCTCCCTCGTGTATTCAGGCTTCTTATGACATGGATCAGAAGAGGGAAGAGCTAAAGTTGTTTGGGATAGAGTGGCAAAGCCAAGTAAGTAGGGTGGACTGAGGGTGAAAGACTTTATGACATGGAACAGAGCTTGTGCAACTAGAATAGTCTGGTTACTTTTAAGGAATTCTGGAGCAATATGGGTTACATGGATGTAGGAGTATAGGTATAGAGGAGGATATCCGGTTTATGAAGGTGATTTCAAGTACTTCATGGGCTTAGAGAAGGATATTGAAGCTGAGATATGCCGTTAAATCAAGACTTGGTAATCACAATTATGTGGTCTTATGTGACTCTAAACTAATGGAGCAGTACTCGGTTAAGGTGTATGGAACTCATTGAGGTGTAAGGAAAATGCGAATAATGCACCATATTTCATAGTTAGTAAATACGTGTATGTATGGATGTGCCTATTTTATTTGTTTAAAACTCTCGATTACATACTATAGACATATTGTTTCCATTTTTTCTCATTCATTTAATGAATTTCGTACTAAACACGTATAAAACTCATATAACATGTTTAATGTTCGTATTTAATTAATTGAATAGATGATTTCAATATTATTTATAATTTTTTTAAAATACTTAATTTAATATATTTTATAACTTTTAACGTGTCTTATTGTTTGTGCTTGGATTGTACCAGGCGGTTTTGTGAGACCTCACGGGCCTTGTGTGGCTTTCGATAGCCGGGGGGCGGTCTCTGAAACCCTGCGAGAAAGGTCCTCCGATGCCAAAATTAGAGAGAGAAGTGAATGAGCAGTAAATAAGAGAGAGAATGGAGTTGGTAGAAGTTACCATAAATGTGACCCATTGAGGGGTATTTATACTAGCGCTAGCTGGGGTGACGACATTTAATGCTTTGTCGGGCATCTAAGGACGCCTCCGGGCTCATTAAATACATAGTTAGAAGTGTACTTTTGCTAGTCTCCGTACTGAGGTAGTCAGGAGACTGCCAAACCCTTTTGTCGGGCATTCTACTGGGTTTCCACTAAGAGCAATGTCAAGTGGTCTTCTTGGCTACTCGTGAAGACCGCCTCTGAATGGGTTGTCTTGTGCATTCCGGGCTATTTTGGTCGGGATTGTCTATTTATGGGCTTTTAGTATTAATGGGATTGAGGTCCCACGTATCTTAATGGTTGGCCCAATTTTTGTCCCTTAGGCGTGAGAGGCTTTAGGTTTTCGCAGCTAACGATTGCCTTGCTGTCATTAAGCGGTTTAGGGGTCACTCTACCCATGATTACCCGCCTGCCCCTGGTCGCGAGGGCATGAAGTGGGAACGCCTGAGGGGTGGTCTGGACGCGTGCGTCCGTTTCCTCGGGTTTGTCGGTGCCACGTGGCATGCATCGGGCATTCATCGATCTCGCTGTCGTTGGCATTCTTTCTTCTCACCACTCATATTGCGTTTTCTGCTTCCGTTGGAATCTTTGTGGGGAAAACGGTGTTCATCGATCTCGCTGTCGTTGGCAGATGTCGAGCGAAGAACGGACGTTGTCCGTTGTCGCGGGGAGTGATGTTGCCGCTCCCACAACCGAGGCATCCCTTTATGGTCTTCCCTCAGTAGCTGTCCTTGAGAAGAATCCGACGACGTGGACGGTGCCGCCGTCGCCGCATGCTGTCGGAAGAGTACTCTAGGTTCCTCTGGTGGGACCGCCCCTATTACTCAAGGTATGACCTGCTCTTCTCCCACTCGAACAGCCTCCGAGTGCATGTGAGATTTATCCGAGCTAGAATTGTACATTGGGAATGGTTCTTAATTATACGATTGACTTGTCGAATTGCTTTAGACTTAGATAACTCTTTTGCTAACATTAGCCCTGTACCAGCTGGGGTTATGGCTACTTCATATGCGGTTGTAGATAGCATGGGTGAGTTTGAGCGGGTAGACTTAGGTAGTATTTCCTTGGACGAAGATGAGGCAGTTGGCAGAGAATGTGGAGTCAGAGAATGTGGGACCGCCTTCGCTCGCCATTAAGGATTCTTTTTCTAAGGTTTTTCGTCACGAGGGTATGTGGGGCGATCAGCCGGTTCTGCCTGATGTGTTTGGATTGGGACCGCCACATGAGGCTAGTTTTACCCCTAAGTAGGTACTCTAGCATTTGAAGTCGCTTGGCCTCCCTCCGGATTGGCATTGCGGGACTCCACCGGAGGCGAGCCGCTCTGGATCGTGTACAACTGGTTGGATTCCTATTCATGTTGAACAAGTGAAGTTGGGGTTGCGTTCTCCCCTTGATCCTATTTTGACCAGGACTTTGCACTGGCTCGACTGCACCTTGGGGCGCCTGTCACTCACCTGTGATGTATCGGCTGGCATGTGACCGCCTCAACGAGGATCCTTCCTTTGATGTGTTCCGTTGATCTACAACATTCTTGACTCGACCAACTATTGGTCCAATGGGAGGCGGGAAAACTCCATGGGATTTGTCACTAGAGCGCCCAAGTTGGATTCGCTTGGGTTCAGGGAATACTTCTCCGCATGTCTATCATGGAAGTGGTATTCAGGCGACTCAGAACCGCGAACGGGCTATGTGGTTGGTTCCAAGGATGCTTGTTGTGCCCCCAATCAGTTTCCTCAATCTGTGAAAGATCACTTAGCCTTGTAGAGGGCTTTCAGTTGCGTGTGCGACATAGCGGTCCTGAGAGCGCGTACCAGCATGTTCGCGGTTTTTATGGCAAGTAAAAAAAATTTCCTAAGTTTATGTTTCCTCCTTCTCATCTGATTTTACTTATGCCTCCTTCTTCCAGGTTTGAGGGAGCTGGCTAATGCTAATAGGCCAAAGAAGAAGAAGATGATGGTGAAGAATGGTGTCGAGCCATCCTCGGATGAGGTTGCGGGGAAGGCTTTGCCCGTGGTATCTTCTTCGTTGATCATGGATCCTCCTGCCGCGGTGGTTGCTGCCTCGATGCCTCTGATGCGGGGTGCTGGGAAGAGGCCCCTGGAACAGAGCGAAGCAGCCTGATCAGGAAGACTCCATAACTGTGTCTCCTCTGGAAGCCACCGACACTGAGGCCGCGGAGCTAGCCTTCCACACTGTGAGCGACCAGTTGGTCTTTCCCTCGGAATACACTTTCACTTCCCGTGGGTGTAACAGGCATCTCGCTGGGATCACTTCTCAGTTCTTCTTCGAGTTTAGTGCTTGTGTGATTCGGAATTGGTTCTCATTGCAAGTTATGACTTGACTTATCAAACATCTGTTTTCAGGCTCAAATTGGATTCTCCCAAATTATCATGCTGAAGGACCGCCTGTCCGAGACTGTTGGTGAGAATGTGGCCGAGATCGCCAAACTAAAAAAGAGTGCGAATGAAGGACGTGCTGCTCTGATAGCGGAAGTGCGTCCAGAAGTGGCACGCAATTTTGAGGAGCGACTCGTCAAGTAGTGGGATCAGCTGCTACTTTGTGCTTGTTTGTGATGTTTCAGGTCCTAGTACGTGAATGAAGGCTTAGGAGCGAGTCTGGGGTCGATTGGACGAAGAACGGACGAATGGCGAGGTTTTTGGGGAGCTGCACGGGCAGACCAGGGAGGCCGCACGGCGTGCACGTGAGCAATATGGCCGTGCGCCTTATGCCGAGGACACGCACGGGCAAAAACCAGCCTTGCACGGCCGTGCACCCTGGCCGTGCGAGAGGGCTGAAGTTCGACTAAATGACACGCTGCATTTTGAGTTGCACGGCCAGAATGGTGATATGCACGGCCGTGCACCCTGGCCGTGCGAGTCGGGATTTCCTGGTTTTAAGCCAAATTCCGAACCAAAGAGGAGGGAGAGCTGGGTTTTGGATCCCAAACACCCAAGGGACGAACCAAAGAGAGAGGGCGATTTGAGGGCATTCTTGGAGTGGAATTGGAGGATTTCTCCGCCTTGAAAGCTCGACGAACAAGCCCGGACTTGAAGACTGATCATCTGAAGATTCTTACTGCAGTCTCTCTCTTCTCTATGGAGTAACTTCCCTTCACTTAGGTTTTGAGGAACCCTAGCTATGTTTGTTTGATTGGATGATTGTATGAGTACTCTGACTGGATAATCTTGAGTTCATATTCAATCTATGCATGTTTTCATGATTCAATTCTGCTTTAGTCGAGATTATTGATTCTGCTTTGATTCTATGAGAGGGAATACCTGATTAGGTCAATAGAGCACCATAGATTGATAGTAGTGGATCGATTGCTTTAGTCGAGGGTTGATTCTCCGCATTGTGAATGAAAGTGAAACAAGTTGGAAATCATCAATCGTTAGTCTGGCTAGTGGCTAGGGGGAATCATACCTAAGTGAGTTCCCAACCTGTAATTAGATTAACTTTAACTGTAGTTTGCTAGAGTAGTTTTAGTTCTTTCATCTTAATCTGATTTGCTAAATAATAAACTGAAGCTGAGTAATAGTAACTCTAGAGACCCGTGGATTCGATATTTATCACTTGAGCCACTATACTGCAGTCCCTTTCATTGGTTACACTTGGCCTTTGTTAGGTGTTGTGTTTTAGAGCATCAAGTTTTTGGCGCCGTTGCCGGGGACTTTCTAGAGTATTAGGAAAGGCAGAAGTTTGTTACTTTAGCGTTTTTCTTTTCTTTTCCACCCTTGCTTTTCACTTGGGTGTTTTTGTTTTTGTTGGTGCAGATCTGAATCATGGATCCTAATGGCTTCTCCAATCATTGGGGGTATCCACCACCATCTGGGTGGTATTACCCCGAGACTCCCTGGAGCAATCAAGGCGGAAAAGACTATGGATTCGGGTTCCAGTACCAACCCCCTTACTACGGAGAACAACCGGACCCCTGGGCATATCAAGAACAACCTCATTATCAAGAAGAATTTCTCCCACAACCAGAAGGGCCATCAGCGCAAGAGTTACTCATGGAGCAGTTTGCTCGAGACTGTGAGAGAACATGCTCCAGGATGGATCAGTGTGTCCAGGCCTATCGCGAAACAGATGAGATCCTCCTGAGCCTTAAGAAGAGCGTCGATGATCTTGAGCGATCTTGGGCGCAACCTGCTCCAGATCACCCTTCTGCTACCATACAAGAAGAGGAGGAGGAAGAAGAAGGCTACAAGGGCATTGTGGAACACACTGAAGTTGTCACGGAGAGCTCCCGTGATGATCATGATCAGGCGTGTCATGTCGTAGCCGACCACACCTTCCCACACCCCAAACTGAGCTTTGAAGAGGCGGGCATGAGTGAGGAGATGCAAGAAGATCTCATGAAAGAAATTGCTTGGCAACTTGCTCTCCAATCCGTGCTAGAAGAAGAAGAGCAAGAAAGGGTGCAGAAAGAAGTTGTGGAGGATGACGAAAGTGAAGCTAGAGGAGTTCTTGATCATTTCCCAGGGGTGATACCACATGAAGAAGGAAGGGAGGTTGAAGAAGCAATTGGCGTCCAGGCTGAGGACGAAGTTGAGGTGGAAGAGGCTTGCACCGGCCATGAGTTACAGGTGATATCTCCACCAAACTTCGAGGAACTGCTTAGCAAGGACCCATTTGCAGTGTCTCTTTGCCAGACCAAGGCCACCTCGACATCGGTCCCTCTTGGTGGACGCGATGGTGGCCAATCGATGTTGTCATATCTGGTTTGGGGCAATGAGACGAGAGAAGAGAAGAAGAGGTCTCGAGGGTGGAGACTTCATCTGCATCAAGTACATGAGCCTTCATCACCTGCCACACCACATGCTCGTGACTTGAGACTCCACCTCATCGACGAGAACCTCAACTTCAAGGAGGTTCTAGCATGGACCGAAACTTAGGAGCCATCGTCCGGCTCACGACGTAAAAGAAGTGCTTGTTGGGAGGCAACCCAACCAGTCGGTTTGCAATTCTTTCTCTATTTCTCCTCGGTTGAGTCAGTTTTGTTATTTGATTTTAGAGTCAATAACTCAACCTTTGTGAGATTTTGTGTGGTGTTTGTGTTCTGATTACTCTCTCTTCCTGGACTGCACTGCCTGACCCGTACATCATCATTCACCCTTGATCTGGTAACTTCATTCAACCCTCCTTATCTTTCCTCCATTGAGGACAATGTCATGCTTAAGTGTGGGGGGATGTTCGATTATGTATGCGGGTGAATGTTTGGCTGTTTGTGTGCTTGGAGCCTAGTCCACTGTCCAAATTTTTAAATTTGAGGGCTCCAAGTACGTGTTCCTTGCAATTGCCTACTCAGTATGCTTTGAATTGACAGTCTTTACAGTAATATGCAACCTAGGGAGGTAGTGTAGCACTATGGAGGATGTTGATGCATTTAAGAAGTCTCATTTCTTCTTCATATAAAGTTGGTTGATTGAGTGAATTAGTGATCTTAGGACCCTTGAATTGTGTGGTGTTGTGGATTCTCTGCCTGTCATGGACTCTTGTATCATATTTTAAGTTTAACAGGTGCCCGAAAATGTGCTTCAAAATAAACGTCTCCCGTGCGAATAGGGCGAAAGTGTGTAAGGGGAGACGGGAATTCGTTCCCAATTTCCACCTACTACCTCCAGCCCCCTTACATGTCTTTCCCCCGCACGAGGCTCGAGACATCCGCTCCTGGCATGGCCGGTAAGAGCAGGTTGGGACCCTTGAAAAAAAAAGAGTAAAGAAAAAATAACAGAAAACAAGCAAAACAGAAAGAAAAGGGGTTCCAACCATCTTCAAAGAAAATAGAGCACCTTGAAAAATGTGAGTCCATGATCCTTTGTTTTTGAGAATCTCTTCATCCACGATTCATTTGTCCTCTGTTCACTGTTTGCCATGATGCCGACTCGCCGAAGAAGTTATGAGGTGACTTGTGCGTCGGTTGACCTCGTAAGCTGCTAAACGATCTAGGAAGTCCTCTACCTACGATCTGGGTTGTTTGTTGCTATAGAGGTCTGGAGAGTTGCATTGGTTTGAGTTAGGTTTGCTTGGGGACAAGCAAACGGTTAAGTGTGGGGGAGTTTGATAGACCGTCATTTACACATGTTTTTACCCCCATTCTTACACCGTTTGAGATGTGATTTCTCGTGGTTTAGACCGATTTCACGCTAGGTTGTGCTTGTTTGTGATGTTTCAGGTCCTAGTACGTGAATGAAGGCTTAGGAGCGAGTCTGGAGTCGATTGGACGAAGAACGGACAAATGGCGAGGTTTTTGGGGAGCTGCACGGGCAGACCAGGGAGGCCGCACGGCGTGCACGTGAGCAATATGGCCGTGCGCCTTATGCCGAGGACACGCACGGGAAAAAACCAGCCTTGCACGGCCGTGCACCCTGGCCGTGCGAGAGGGCTGAAGTTCGACTAAATGACACGCTGCGTTTTGAGTTGCACGGCCAGAATGGTGATATGCACGGCCGTGCACCCTGGCCGTGCGAGTCGGGATTTCCTGGTTTTAAGCCAAATTCCGAACCAAAGAGGAGGGAGAGCTGGGTTTTGGATCCCAAACACCCAAGGGACGAACCAAAGAGAGAGAGGGCGATTTGAGGGCATTCTTGGAGTGGAATTGGAGGATTTCTCCGCCTTGAAAGCTCGACGAACAAGCCCGGACTTGAAGACTGATCATCTGAAGATTCTTACTGCAGTCTCTCTCTTCTCTATGGAGTAACTTCCCTTCACTTAGGTTTTGAGGAACCCTAGCTATGTTTGTTTGATTGGATGATTGTATGAGTACTCTGACTGGATAATCTTGAGTTCATATTCAATCTATGCATGTTTTCATGATTCAATTCTGCTTTAGTCGAGATTATTGATTCTGCTTTGATTCTATGAGAGGGAATACCTGATTAGGTCAATAGAGCACCATAGATTGATAGTAGTGGATCGATTGCTTTAGTCGAGGGTTGATTCACTGCTTTGTATCGATTGAGAACCTCTTTCGATAGAGGAAGTCTAGTTCAGAACGCCTTGATCAGTTGTTCTAGAGAAGGATACGTCCCTCTAGGCAATTGACTCAAGAGGGCCTTGTTCCTTTAGTCGAGACTCAAGGTCTACTCAAGGATTCTCCGCATTGTGAATGAAAGTGAAACAAGTTGGAAATCATCAATCGTTAGTCTGGCTAGTGGCTAGGAGGAATCATACCTAAGTGAGTTCCCAACCTGTAATTAGATTAACTTTAACTGTAGTTTGCTAGAGTAGTTTTAGTTCTTTCATCTTAATCTGATTTGCTAAATAATAAACTGAAGCTGAGTAATAGTAACTCTAGAGACCCGTGGATTCGATATTTATCACTTGAGCCACTATACTGCAGTCCCTTTCATTGGTTACACTTGGCCTTTGTTAGGTGTTGTGTTTTAGAGCATCAAGAAGGGAGCAGGGGTTCTAAGAGCATTTAAGGTTGCCCCCTGTTTCTCTTGGTTTGTTACGTTATTTCGTGGTGGGTAGGGTGCCTTGGATATTTTGCTTTTATGATGTAATTGTCAGATAATTTGTTAGTAACGTTGTGTGTGCGTTACGCGAACAATTTCTTGTGATTTCGTTGGAGCGGTTTTATGCTACATCATGTTTATGAGCTTTCTAAGCTGTGTGTTTGGCATGTTGGCGACCGCGTTGGAGTGGGTTTATGCTACTTCTTGTATCTTAAGTTTTCGTATTACCTGGGTGAAAGAAAAAACCCTTGGAATCGGGGAAATTGGCCGAAATTTGTAGGTGTATTACTTGGGAAAAAGCAGTTGCTTGGTAGCGACCAATACGCCATTACAAGTGGTGGGTGTGTCACCCTAGCCACTAAAATTGTCCTTGCACAGACATGAACTACTTCAGACCGCGTCTGCTTAGTACTTTCTCAGGTGCACGTCGTTCCATGTTTTAGAGACTGGGATGCCTTCCATGGTTGCCAGGCGGAAGGTGCTGGGACCTGTTTTCTCTCTAGTGAGGAATGGGCCCTCCCATGTTGCGACAATCTTGCCGTGCTCATATTTCTTGTGGAAGTCACGCTTGAGAAGCATGTCTCCCTCCTCGAGCGATCGCGGTGTCACCTTCCTATTGTAGGAAGCAGCTACTTTGGCTTTCTCGTTCATGATCCGTTCCATGGCCGCCTCGCGACGTGACTCCACCATGTCTAACTGTTCAAGTAGCTTCTTGTGATTGTCTTCCGGGTTGTATGCTTGGACACGGAGGGAGGGTAGATTCATTTCTTCCGAGGAGACCGCTTCGGAGCCATAAGTGAGAGTGAACGGAGTTTCGCCCGTGGCCGTCTTGTGTGTCGTGCATTGCGCCCATAAGATGTGTGGAAGCTCTGTTGCCCATGCCTCTTTGGCGTCTCAGAGACGTTTCTTCAGTCCTTGGAGAATGAGTTTGTTGGACGCTTCGGCTTGGCCATTGGTCTGTGGGTATGCCATTGATGCCATGGTGCATATGATGCGGTTTCGGACACAAATTTTTTCTAATGGCCTACAATTGAATTGCGTGCCATGATCGGTGATGATTGAATGATGGATGCCAAAGCGGATCATGATATTGTTGAACACAAACTTTTGGACCCTTGCACTTGTTATAGTCTCCAGCGGCTCCGCTTCTATCCATTTGGTGAAGTAATCGACTGCCACCACTAAATATTTCTTCCCGAGCAGGGCCGTGAAAAAGGGTCCCACGAGGTCTAGTCCCCACCGAGCAAACGGCCATGGCCCTACCATGCTTTGCAGCTCGGAGCTAGGGAGGTGGTGTTTGGTGGCGTGCACCTGGCAAGCATTGCACTTTTGGACGACGTCCAACGCATCTTTCTTGATCGTTGGCCAGTAGTAACCTTGTAAGAGAATTGTCCTTTCAAGCGATTGGGGCCAGCATGTGTGGCGCACATCCCGTTGTGTATTTCTCTTAGTGTCCATTGTGCCTCCTTCGGTCCGAGGCATTTCAGGTAAGCTTTAGAGAATGATCGCTTGCATAGCTGGCCATCCACCATGGTGTATCGAGCGGCCCTCCGTTTGAGTGCCTTCCGCTCGACTAGATGCTGTGGAGCGATGTCGTGTTCTAAATACTGGAACAAAGGCATCCTCCAGTCTAAGGTTTCCCCGATGTTCATGACTTCATCGGAGTGGTCGCTCTCTTTCGATAAGGTGACGTGCTGATCCCCTTCGAAGTCCATGGCGGTCGCTAGTTTGGATAGCGCATCGGCGTGTTGATTGTCATCTCGTCGAACATGTTCAAGCTTCCAGGTGCTTAGTTGTGACAGGGCGTTTCTGACTTAGTTAGCTAGCATGGCTTTCATCATTGATTTCGAACGCCTCATGCACTTGCTTCACCACCAATAGGGAGTCGGAGAAAATATGCACGTCTAACGCACCCAAACTGGAGAGTATTCTGAGTCCATTGACGAGAGCTTTGTATTCAGCGACACTGTTGGTCTTGATGTCTTTGAATCTTAGCGAGATTTCGTGGATGAATCCATCTGGTGATTCTATGAAAATTCATGCTCATGAGGCGGTTTTACCCGCGGCTTCGTCGATGAATAGGCGCCAAACTTGATTTCAATCCGTTGAGGGAGTGGTCACGAGGGAGAATCCTTCGGCAATGAAGTCCGCCAAGACTTGACACTTGATAGCCGGTCTCGGGGCGTACTTGATGTCATATTCGCTAAGCTCGATCGCCCACTTAGTCAGCCAGCCTGAGACGTCCATGCCTCGGATAATACTCTTGAGCGGGAAGTTGGACAGCACCGTGATGGGGTGCCCTTGGAAATATGGCCTTAGTTTCCTGACCGCGGAGGCCACAACGAGAATCGCCTTTTCAATCGGCATGTACCTCGTTTCAGCTGGGAGGAATGCCTTGCCCACATAGTAGACGGGTCTGTCGGTGCCGTCTGGTGCTCTTCTCATCAGAACCAAGGTTACGGCCTATTCAGACACTGCTAGGTAGAGGTATAGGCGCTCTCCGGGGATGGGGGTGCTCAAGACTGACGAGGAGCTAAGTTGGCTTGTAAGCAGTGTGAAGACATTGTCGCACTCGGCGCCCCACTGGAGTCTTGATGCCGACTTCTTTACCATTCGGAAGAAAGGAGAGCACTTATCTGCGGACCGCGGGATTAACCTCCCAAGTGCGGCCATTTTGCCGTTGAACGCTTGGATCTTCTTGATAGACTTGGGAGGTTTTAAGCTGAGAAAGGCTTCTATTTGCTTTGGGTTTGCTTCAATCCCCCTCTTTTTGATCATGAAGCCTAGGAAATTTCCCGCTTCGGCTCCAAAGACGCACTTGAGTAGGTTGAGCCTCAGGTTTTTCCTTCTTAGGTCTCGAAGGTCTCTCACGAGTCGGATAGGTGGTCGCTAGCCTTCTTGCTCTTGACTAGAACGTCGTCTACGTATTCCTCTATGTTCCTTCCCATTTTGTCTTTGAAGACCGCATCAACCATCCATTGGTAGGTCGGTCCCGCATTTTGCAACCCGAAGGGCATGACCACGTAGCAGAAGTTGCCCATGGGAGTCAAGAAAGCGGTTAGCTCTTGGTCGCATTCGGCCATTCTTATTTGGTGATATCCAAAAAAACGTATCCAAGAAGTTTAGTGCTTCATGATTGGCAATTCCATCGATTAGTTGGTCAATATAGGGAAGGGGATACGCATCCTTGGGACATGCTGCAATGAGGCTGATGAAGTCAATGCACATCCTCCAAGTCCCCCCTGCCTTGCGTACAAAGACCGGGTTTGATAGCCATGTGGGATATTGTACCTCCCTGATGAAGCCGGCTTTGAGTAGTGGTCGCACCTCTTCTTCGAGAGCCATTTGCTTCTCTAGTGACAAGTTCCTTCTTCGCTGTTGTATTGGTCGCGTTTTGGGCTTGATAGAGAGCCGATGCTCAGAGAACCTGCGGGGGACGCCGGACATGTCTTCTGGTCCCCAAGCGAAGAGGTCTGGGAACTCTTTGAGGAGCGTAAGCAACTTCTATGGCTTTTTTGCAGCCAAGTGTGCCGAAATGCGTACCGTCTTGTCCGGTCGCTCTTCGTTTAGAGCGACTACTATGTTTCCCTCGACTGCTTCGGGACGAGGGGCATTCCCTCTTGCGTCGATGAGATCGACCTCGAGATGCTCAATGGTCGTTTAATAGCACTCCTTGGCTTCTTTTAGGTTGCCTCGGACATGCCCCGTTTGTCCTCCACTAGGGAATTTCAACATCTGGTGGCATGTGGACGCGACCGCTTTGAATGATGAAAGGAAATCGCGTCCCAGGATGGCGTTGTAAGCCGAGGACAATCCGCTACATGAAACTCCACCGGTCTAGTCTTTGTGATCCCCCTTGCGGCTATGGTGACCTTGAGTGTGATTGATCTGAGGACACGAACTTTTGTTCCTTGGAACCCTACCAAGTTGGTGTTGGAGGGATTGAGGTCTTGAACGCTTTTCTTCATGCCTTTGAGCGCTGAGTAAAAGAGGATATCAGCGGAGCTCTCGTTATCTATGAGGGCCCGGGTGACCTTGAATTTGGCGGTTCTGAATGAGATGACAAAGGGGTCTTCTGTGTTTTCTTCCTTGGCCAATTCGGACGACAAGAAGGTGACATCGGTTGGCACTCTGCGTTGGGTGCTGAGGTAGTGGGCTATGCGGTCTCCCTCCGATCTTGGCTGCTTTCTGCCTCCCGCGATGGTTATGATCTCCATTCCGTCGTCATCGTTGTGCGGGGGTCTGTAGGCGGGAGACTGCCTCTGGGGAGAGATGACTTTGTTTCTGGAAGGGGAACTGGACTTCTCTTTTCTCGAGCTTCTTGCTTTGTCTACTTCGGGACTACAGAATCCCTCCCGCGTTTCTTGGGAATGGTCTGTGGACGTCGTGTCTTAAGGCAGCTTCGAAGGTCTCCCGGCACCAGATATCTGAGGCTGGGTTTGAACTCACTACACTAAGTGGTGTCATGGGTAGTGATTTGGTGCCAATCGCACCACTTCTTTCCGTCTTGTGGCTCTTGGACGGAGGATGTCTCGTGCTTCCTCCCGCCCCTTCGTCTTTCTCTTCCTCGTTCTTGGTCAGCGGAAAATACTTCCCTTTTGTCGTCACACTCCGTGTATCTGTTACGATACGCCTTTCGCTGGGGAGCGCCTCCCTCGTTGAGCGTCTTCGTGCGCTTGGGGATTAACCTGAGGGCGTCCTTGTTGGTTCCAATCGTCGGTAGCCAATGCTTAATCGAGCAAGATTGCCCGCCACACCAACTGGTCCAAGTCGGACCATGACGTCAGCGTGGCTTCCTTTTTTATAAGGGTCCTCTTGGGCTCGATGCTAGTTGTGGATATTCAGAGGTTGCTGGCGGCTAGGACCGAGGAGATGCCTTGTATTTCACAGGAAATCGCATTCCACCAGTCGTAGAATTCCGTGAGCAATTCCTCTTTCCTTTGTCTGCAATTTATGAGGGCTGGGACGGTGAGCTTACGACGTTGCTGGGATGAAAATTTCGTGGTGAAAAGCATCTCGAACTGCTCAAAATTCTCGATTATCCCTTCCGGGAGGGAGGTGTACCACATTCGGCATTGACCGCTAAAAGTGACCGGGAACGCTCAACACAATCTGAGTCTGACGTGTTAATGAGCTGCATCTTTAGCATGAACGCACAAAGATGGTTGGCGGGACTAAGGTTCCGCTGTATGTTGGTAGTCCTAGGGAGGAGAAGTTAGGTGGGACCAGGGTTTTGAATAGTTCCCTCGATAGGGGATTTTGGAGAACGTTCGGGCTTTTGAGCTTCCCGTAGGTCGACCACAGGTGTTCCTCAAGGAAGGTGGGGTCCACGTCTTCCGCCTCCGGTCCTCCGCCTTCTGTCTGAGCATGGCTATCAAGGACGTGGACGGCCTTATGCTTTTCATCACGCGTCCTTCCTCTTGAACCCTCGGCGAGGTCTTCTATCGTCTTCAAGAGCTGGAGGATTTGGGAGAGGTTGTCTTGCATGCTCGCGATTTGCAACCCCTGACTTTTGACCACCTCCTCTAGCTCTGTTTCGTCCTCGAATCTCGGCGAGAGGCCTCGGAGGGTGTTGTTCTCCATCATCCCTTTGAGAGGGGTCTCGAACTCGTCTCCCATCCTTTCCACAACGAAGTTGTGAGGCCCCACGGTGGGCGCCAAAATGTTTGTGTTTAGATTGTACCAGGCGGTTTTGTGAGACCTCACGGGCCTCGTGCGGCTTTCGATAGACGGTGGGCGCTCTCCGAAACCCTGCAAGAAAGGTCATCAGGGGAATCCTGTGACCTCCTCCGATGCCAAAATTAGAGAGAGAAGTGAATGAGTAGTAAATAAGAGAGAGAATGGAGTATATAGAAGTTATCATTAATGTGACCCATTGAGGGGTATTTATACTAGTGCGGGAGTGACGGCATATAATGCTCTGTCGGGCGTCTAGGGACGCCTCCGGGCTCATTAAATTAGGGGTGGGAATCGGTCGGTAAACGGTAAATTGTTTACCGAATTTACCGGTTTCGGTATACCGACGCTGGCAAAACTGTTTACCGCAAGGGGCGACGTGGGGCGGTGTTTCGGTTCGGTTTACCGAACATTTACCGAAACCGAATTTCTGTTAGTGGGGAAGATGTTGTAATATTTTGATTTTTCTAAGTTTTTTTTCTTCATTTTTGTAATTAATAATTTATAACATTTTTTAGACCTATACATACTTACATTCATGTATCATTTGTAACTCTTATTTATAATATTTTTTTTCATGATGTATGTAATATTTGTGAATAATGAAGAATATGTTATATGTTAATGCCATAACTTATAAATTAGGGTATAGGAATTGGGGGCCAAATAAAACGACGTCGTTTTGGGTTTCGGTATCGGTTTACCGATTTACAGTCGGTATTTACCGATACCGGATTTGGTAAACCGACACACCCCATCCCCCGCTCGGTCGCCGATACCGTCGGTAAATGGTTCGGTAAAACGGTAAATCGTTTACCGGCGTACCGAATTCCACCCCTACATTAAATACATAGTCAAAAGTGTACTTTTGCCAGTCTCCGTACTGAGGTAGTCAGGAGACAGGCGAACCCTTTTGTCGGGCGTTCTTCTGGGTTTCCACTGAGAGCAATGCATGCAGTCTTCTTTGCTACTCGCAAAGACCGCCTCCGAATGGGTTGTCTTGTTCATTCCGAGCTATTGAGGCCGGAACTGTCTATTTATAAACTTTTAGTGATCATGAGCTTGAGGGCCCACGCGTCTTAATGATTGGCCCAACACTTTTCATCAATTTAAAATAAAATGAGATATACTTACATATTTTACACATAACTTACCCTACCTTATTTTACTATTTCATTCAATCACATTCTTGGAAGAAGAAAAAAATCATCCTCATTGGTTGTACAAAAAGATTACATTGTCAGCTGTCACAACTCACAACTCCATGTGAAGCAAAAAAGGTAAAAACAAATTTAAGGAGTTGACTTGTGCTGAATATTGATTTCTGTCAAAAGTCCTACTATCAGAGTTAGCAATACACCCGTTCCGTTCAATTGCCAGAAGCCCAGAATTCCGCCAATAAACAGGTCTGAACAAGTCGGGTCGGCAACTCGAATCCACATTGCCATCTCGAGTTACAAGTGGTAACACTCATGATTCATATATATATAATATATATATACTACTACTAACTTTGTATAGTCCAATTTGTACACTACATTCCACACAGAAAACAGAAACAATATATGGCAATGTGACTATACAAACTCTATATCGGCTGCTGCATGTCTCCTTTGAATTCTTCTACAGACTGTCTTGTTTCAGCCAACCAAAAAATTGTCTCTAGTTTCTAATCCGTGTTCTTGTAAAGATTGCCTAGAAGTGGCTGTGATGCAGGAGCTGTCAATCACAAAATGAGAAAATGAGTTAAAGAGGGTGAAAAGAAATTCATAAGAGGGCAGCAACTATGCCAAAACAAATAGCATTCAAATACTCACCTTCACGTCCCTGCTTACTACCAGGCATCGGCCGATCAGCCTTTTCAGCAATTTCGGCAATGACTAGACGCGTCAAAAGAAGGCCAGCAATAAGAGCGCAGAGCATCAGCATCACAAACACCAAGTTCCATCCTCTCGTCGATAGAAACCCGGTGAGAAGCGGACCAAGGGCTGCCCCGATTGATCCAGTGCCGTCGATTATCGCAGTGACGGTGGCCAGTGCTCGAGAATCGCCTCTGAGAGAGCTGTGGGTGCCAAGGTCCGCTGACACTGCTGTTGTGATCAGTGCGTATGGTCCGTTCACGAACAAGCCAGCAATCATCATCAGTACGATGTTCAGAGTCTGGGAGACACTCCCATACCACCGGTACAAGAGCATGGCTGGGATCGCCATGTACATGAAACTGGCTGCTGTGATAGCTCGAGCTTTAAGTCTATCGGATATGTAGCCAGCAAGAATACCACCGACGATGCCTCCTACGTCAAACAGAGTAGAGAGGTTTCCCGCAGACTTCACGGACATGAAGTGCCCACCAATTGCTGCAATTACAAATGTACACCATTAAATTGAATCCCATTGTAGCACATGTAGAGATGCCATGTTCTAGACCAATTCATCAAAAGAAAAGATCAATCCTATGAATGTCCATATAGCCATCTCCCCATATTTTCACGGGGGAATACGAATCTCAACCAATCGATTGATTGCTACATTCTACGACTGTGCATATAGCCATCTCTCCATGTTTCCAATATGAGGAAAGTGTTTGAATCACAACTAGGATTAACAAAAAAAATAAACCAAATCAAGAGTTCAGAAAGACAACAAAGTTGGTAGAAAAAGATCTCAATGAGGTGCAGAACCAAACCTGTCTGGCTCAAGTAGAAAGGCAACCAGTACAAGAACGTGTAAGCCACGAGCTTGGAGAAGAACAAGCACAATGCAAACGGTATAACTCCTGGAATGAAACAAGCCTCCAATAGGCCGACGCTCGTCCTCAGTCCGGATCCACACGGTCCAGGAACACTAGCACCACCACCTCCATCATTCCCACCCTGCTCACCGCCACGATTCTGACCCTCCACATCCCGACCATTCTCATCCGTCGCCATCAACTGACGGTGAGTAAACCCTATATCCTCCGGATACGGAGCCAGGAACAAGAAAACCAACACCCCACCCAACACAATAAACGCCCCCGGAACAATGAACGACCACCCCCATCCACAGCTCAGCACTGCAGCAGCAAGCAGCGAGCCGCTAATGTTGCCAACGGAGGTGTGCGCGTTCCAAATCCCCATAATCAACCCTCTCTTCCTCTTCCCGAACCAGTTCCCAATCACCGCCACAACGGACGGCCACCCAGTCGCCTGGAACAGCCCCGCGACCATTTGCATCGCCAGGTAGAACCAAAACACATGAACATTCCAGAGATAACCCATCCCAAACAGCGCGACGAAGATCCCGCTGCCTACCATGCCAGAGGTCAAGAACAGCCTCAGATCCAATTTATCCCCCAAATGTCCCGCTACATACATCCCCAACGAGTAACAGGACAGGAACGCGACATCGATTTCCCCCAATTTCGACGTCCCGTCCTTGCCATTGAACGGCTCCCAACCTTTCCTGCTGCTCTCCGAAAGGGGGGAAGAATTTTGCCCTTGTTCCTCGATGAACACATTCCCAATCGGCCAAGGAAAGGGGTCGTTACCTGAGAGCGGCCGATTCAGCGGGTCGGGATCGAGGACGCTCTTGACGATGCTGCTAGGTTTTCGAGAAGCGTGGTAGCAGGCGTAGGCGATGAAGGTGACCAGCAAGGTTGCGTACCGGTAAGTTTTCAGGGTCCAATCCCGGCCTCTGACTGCTCGCAGAAGCCGAATCCCTGGCGGAATCTGCCTCACCAGGACGAAATTGGAGTCCATGATTACTCTCTCGTTTCCTTGTTTTGCGATCTTTATCCCCGATTTTCAGATGATCGAGAAAACGGAAGGGGGGAGAAGAAGGGTCGAGTTGTGGTTTTTACCAGAAAAGAGAGAGGAGAAGAGAAAATGGTCCAGATAAAGGCGGGAGAAGGAAAAGGGAGGGGAAGCATTGGATTTCGGAACGTACAGCCCACGTGGCGCCAAGAGTGGGTCCCGCCTAGTGACGGTGTTACGGCTGCCTCCATGCAACGTGGAATGCTCCTATAGTTCGTTAGGCTCTGTTCATTTGACGTGGTGGCCGGTGAGCGCTGAAGTGTCAAGTCCATTAATTATGCACTAACTGCCTGTAGGCTGTAGCTGTCCCACCTGCCTCTTGGCCAGATTATTTTAATTGATAGTCGAGTGCAAGGTTGTTAAAACTCTTATCGAGCCACTAGATCGTCCGATCAAAATTAGATTTCAAAACGACTTTCAGAAAGTCTTTTGCCTGACCAGTGACCACTAAAGTGGAAGAAGAAGAGAGAAAAGAGAGGAAGGAGATGTGGGTGGGTCATGGGGCTAGATAGGTTTTATTTTGTGAAAAATAAATTTTTGATAGATATATGTAAAATAAATTCATTTCAGGTATTAAATTTTTAAATTACTATTTTTTATATATATTTAGAAAAAGTATAAAAAGGCTTAAACCAAAAACTCCGATTAGGCCGATAAACCTCAAACCCTTTGCTTGACTGGCTATTATCCCATAAAAAAAATCAGTTCGTGCCACATCAATGAATTACTAGAGAATTATTAATGGATTTATAAGGCAAGCTCAACATTAATAATTAAAAAAGCTAATTGGACCTTGTTGGATTGGGTTTTTGGGCCTAAATGGCCAACCTCCTTCTCCCATATATGATGGTCGACCCGTCTCCTTGGCCTCCATAGCCGGACGATGCCTACACCACTTGGTATGAAATTTGGCTCTCAAAAAACTAAATCTGGAAACAAGGCGGCAAAACGGGGTGCCAAACGAGAGGGTACCAAGCCGACAAAAGAGGCTTGGTAGGCTGAGGGTACAAGGCACTAAGGCAGGCAAGAGAGTCGTAGTACCACTACATAAAATTTGGCTAAGTTTGGATACCAATCTAAAAACTAAGTCTGGATACCAAGTCGACAAGGCAGGCTTGATACCAAAAGACAAGAGAATTGACAAAGTATGGAGCCAACAGGGTACCAAACTGGCAAGACAGCCCTGGTACCCAAACATGAAATTTAAGTATAAAACCAAATGAGTTACCAAGCAGACAAGGCGGGCTTGGTACCAAGACACCATCAGGGTGTCAAGCCAACAAACTAGACTTGGTAGCCAAGCAAGAGGTTACCAAGCCGACAAGACAAACTTGGTATCCCTAGATTATCAAGACCAAGTATAGAACCTCGAGGGTGGAGACTTGCCAGCCAAGGGACCAAGCCAACATGGCGATAAGGTACCAACTTGATGATATCTAAAAACTAAGTATGGAGACTAGGCCGACATGGCTGGCTTGGTAGAAGGGGGTATTAATCCAGAGAGATAACAAGGTACCAAGTTGGGATGAACTTGTTTGCAAGTTGTTGAGAATGGCTTACCAACAAGGCAAGGTGACAGGGTATCAAGCCGATAAGATGGGTTTGATACCAAGATGTCAAGTTGGTGCCATGACAAGCTCTCTAAGATTAAGTGTGGAGACTTGGTGGGGAAAGAGTCCAAGTTCTCATCCTGTCTAGGTGGGTAACAAGGCCTAGCTAACAAGTCGAGGATGGCAAGCTGAGAGGCGGGATAGGTAACAAGACGAGATGGTACTAAGTCGGCAACAAAGAAGCTAAATGCAGGGTCGTTGAGGAGGCCTGATGAGAGGACCAATGTTTTGGAGGCAAGACATGGAGACCCCAACCCCATCTAGTCAGGACGAGGCGGTAAGATGGAGTTCAACTCTACTCATCAAGCCTGATGTCAAGCCACCCAGATGACAGTTACTAACCGATCACCAAGGCAACAATGAGGACCCTGAGGCGGTTTGGAGCAACAAGCTAGCTAGCATTTACCAAGGCGGTTATCTAGAAAATTACACGTAGTGGCTATAAATAGGAGAAACTAAATTTGAAAACGGGTTCCACAACCAACCATTTGACACACAATGTCAAACGTTATCTTTTCTCTGCAAATTAGCTATAGCCTTAGTTTTCGGAGCTCGCACTGTACCTCCATAGGAGTAGGTGTAATTAACGTAGTTTGTTCCCAAGAAAACCATCAAACACCCTCGTTCGAACATTGTTTGGAGAGGTGTGAACCGTGTTTAGAATCGTTGTTCAAAAAGTCAAATGTGCATTTATTGAGTTCAAACACAAGAGTTTTCCTCGCCAGAAAACATCGACTTAATGACTTAAACCGGTTTAACAACTTTGTTCTAGTGCTAAATCGTATTGATCTCTAATCCAAAATACAGCCGACATTATTGACTCTTCTCTCATGGACATTGTCCTATACTAGTAATTCCAAATTTGTATAATACGTGGTTTGATTGGGAATTTTTTTTTATGATCGATTAAATTGTGTCTATGTACACCTTCCCCATATTGTTTATTCATATCTAATCCAAGAGAAAAAAAATGTGGAGAGACGCTCTCGCCTCTCTCATGGATTTCTACCACTTCGTCGGACGCTCCTTCCTATCGTTCTTAGTGGCGATATTGCAGGCGGCCATTACAAATCAAGATGGGGCAAGGAGATACAGATCCACCACAGCTCGTCACGGCGGCGGTCAACCCTCTGCCAGGAAGGCGGTGTTGACACCTGTTTTGGTATGCTCGCCGAAAATTTGCCCGGGGGAATGCAACCGAGCGGGACAACCCCAAAAAAGGGAGGGTTCTCAAACGAAGACGACTGTTCTCCGATGATGGAAACCCTGACTCAGAACATCTTTGACTCGCTAAGACACAACTCCTAACAATGGCCAAGTGTAACCAATGAAAGGGACTGCAGTATAGTGTCTCAAGTAATAAATATCGAATCCACGGGTCTCTAGAGTTACTATTACTCAACTTCAGTTCATTATCTAGCAAACCAGATTAAGATGAAAGAACTAAAACTACTCTATCAAACTACAATTAAAGTTAATATAATTACAGGTTGGGAACTCACTTAGGTATGATTCCCCCTAGCCACTAGCCAGATTAACTATTGATGATCTCTAACTTGTTTCACTTTCATCCACAATGCGGAGAATCCTTGACTAGACCTTGAGACTCGACTAAAGGAACAAGGCCCTCTTGAGTCAATTGCCAAGAGGGATGTACCCTTCTCTAGCACAACCGATCAAGGCGTTCTGAACTAGACTCCCTCTATCGAAAGAGGCTCTCAATCGATACAAAGCAGTGAATCAACCCTCGACTAAAGCAATCGATCCAATACTATCAATCTATGGTGCTCTATTGACCTAATCAGGTATTCGCTCTCATAGGATCAAAGCAGAATCAATAATCTCGACTAAAGCAGAATTGAATCATGAAAACGTGCATAGATTGAATATGAACTCAAGATTATCAAGTAGGAGTACTCATACAATCATCCAATCAAACAAACATAGCTAGGTTTCCTCAAAACCTAAGTGAAGGGAAGTTACTCCATAGAGAAGAGAGAGACTGCAGTAAGAATCTTCAGATGATCAGTCTTCAAGTCCGGGCTTATTCCTCGAGCTTCCAAGGCGAATAAATCCTCCAATTCCCCTCTTAGAATGCCCTCAAATCTCCCTCTCTCTCTTTGGTTCGTCCCTTGGGTGTTTGGGATCCAAAACCCAGCTCCCTCTTGCAAAAACGCACAAAACAGGCTTTTAACGGCCTGCGTTCGCGATCCCCGGTCAGAATCCCCTGTTGGGTATTTTAGGTCACGACCAGGGATTTTTGGTTCACGATAGGGGATTTTTGATTAACGACCGGGGATTTTGGTTCACGACCGGGGATTTTTGGTTCACGATAGGGCCCCCTTCTGTTTCTCAGAGAAGCCCGAAACCAATTTTCCCCTATCTTTGATTCTTCGTTTCTCCCTCGTTCAGACTCCAAATCAGGTGTCGTTTGATCCCAGACGCTTGTAGTCTCGTCCTCTTTCTTCTCATGACAAGATTACATGATTATATGGTCACAAACTGAGGTAGAAATCCATTCTTCTTCAAGTCATACCCGAGTTTCTTCCCCCGACTCGCCAATTGATCTCCGATTGACTTGAAACTTGCGCCTACGCTTCACATGATGTGCTAGGACCTGAAATGTGACAAAGGACACAACTAGAGTAAAATAGGCCAAAGAAGGGATAATGCAAGCTTAAACGATCAAGAAACAAAGGGGGGAAATGTGCAAATATCGAGCCATCAAATCCCCCCACACTTAACCGTTTGTTTGTCCCCAAGCAAACCTAACTCAAACCAATGCAGCTCTCCAGAACTCTATAGCAACATGCACCCTCGATCGTTGATAGAGGATTTTCTAAATCATTTAGCAGCTTACGAGGTCAATCGACGCACAAGTCATCTCATAGCTTAACGCTAGTCTCGAGTAGGCATCATGGCAAATAGTGATCAGAGGACAAATGAATCGTGGATGAATGGACTCTCAAAAACAAAAGATCATAAACTCACATTTTTAAGGTGCTCTATTTTCTTCTTGAAGATGGTTGGAACCCCTTTTCTTTCTTTTTTACTTGTTTTTCTGTTTTTTTCTTTTCTTTTCAAGGGTTCCAACCTGTTTTTCAGAAAATGGGGGCTCCCACCTAGCAGAGGTTTTGCGGGAGCCCGGCTCTTACCAGCCATGCCAGGAGCGGATGTCTCGAGCCTCGTGCGGGGTAAAGGCATGTAAGGAGGCTGGAGGTAGTAGGTGGAAATTGGGAACTGATTCCCGTCTCACCTTACACACTTTCGCCCTATTCGCACGGGAGACGTTAGTTTAAAGCACATTTTTTAGCACCTTTTATTTCCAAAACATGATACAAGAGTCCATGACAGGTAGAGAGTCCACAACACCACACAATTCAAGGGTCCTAAGATCACTAATTCACTCAATCAACCAACACAATATGAAGACGAATTGAGACTTCTTAAATGCATCAACATCCTCCATAGTGCTACACTACCTCCCTAGGTTGCACATTACTATAGAGACTGTCAATTCAAAGCATACTGAGTAGGCAATTGCAAGGAACACGTACTTGGAGCCCTCAAATCGAAATTTGGAAAGTGAACTAGGCTCCAAGCACACAAACAGCCAAACATTCACCCGCATACATAATCGAACATCCCCCCCCCCCCCCACACTTAAGCACGACATTGTCCTCAATGGAGGAAAGATAAGGAGGGTAGAACGAAGTTACCAGATCAAAGATGAATGACGGTGGACGAGGCAGGCGGTGCATTCTAGGAGGAGACAGTAGTCGAAACACAAACACCACACAAAATCTCACAAAGGTTGAGTTATTGACTCTAAAATCAAAGAACAAAACAGACTCAACCGAAGAGAAATAGGGAAAGAAATGCAAACAGACTGGTTTGGTTGCCTCCCAACAAGCGCTTCTTTCACGTCATGAGCCGGACGATGGCTCCTAAGCTTCGGTCCACCCCAAAACCTCCTTGAAGTTGAGGTTCTCGTCAATGAGGTGGACTCTCAAGTCACGAGCATGTGGTATGACAGGTGATGGAAGCTCGTGCACTTGATGCAGATGAAGTCTCCACCCTCGAGACCTCTTCTTCTCTTCTCTCGTCTCATAGCCCCAAACCAGATATGACAACATCGATTGACCACCATCGCGTCCACCAAGAGGGACCGATGTCGATGTGGCCTTGGTCTGGCAAAGAGACACTGCAAATGGGTCCTTGCTAAGCAGTTCCTCAAAGTTTGGTGGGGATATTACTTGCAACTCATGGCCGGTGCAGGCCTCTTCCACCTCAACTTCGTCCTCGGTCTGGATGCCAATTTCTTATTCAACCTCCCTTCCTTGTTCATGTGGTATCACCCCTGGGAAATGATCAAGAACTCCTCCTGCTTCACTTTCGTCATCCTCCACAACTTCTTTCTGCACCCTTTCTTGCTCTTCTTCTTCTAGCACGGATTGGAGAGCAAGTTGCCAAGCAATTTCTTTCATGAGATCTTCTTGCATCTCCTCACTCATGCCCGCCTCTTCAAAGCTCAGATTGGGATGTGGGAAGGTGTGGTCGACTACGACAGGACATTCCTGATCATGATCATCACGGGAGCTCTCCGTGACAACTTCTGTGTGCTCCACCATGTCCTTGTAGCCTTCTTCTTCCTCCTCCTCTTCTAGTATGGTAGCAGAAGGGTGATCCGGAGCAGGTTGTGCACAAGATCGCTCAAGATCATCGACGCTCTTCTTAAGGCTCAGGAGGATCTCCTCTGTTTCACGATAGGCCTGGGTACAAAGATCCATCCTAGACAATGATCTCTCACTGTCTCGAGCAAACTTCTCCATGAGAAGCCTCAATTCATAGTTTGGATCTGGCTGTGGAGTGTAGCATGGCTCTGCAGAATGGCCCGTGAAGGCCGCCATGGGTAACTCCAGCTCCGATGGCCCTTCTGCTTGTGGGGCAAAGTCTTCTTGGTAATGAGGTTGTTCTTGATATGCCCAGGGGTCTGATTGTTCTCCATAGTAAGGGGGTTGGTACTGGAACCCGAATCCATAGTCTTCACCTCCTTGATTGCTCCAGTGAGTCTCGGGGTAATGCCACTTGGATGGTGGTGGATACCCCCAATGATTGGAGAAGCCATGAGGATCCATGATTCAGATATGCACCAACAAAAACAAAAAAACCCAAGTGAAAAGCAAGGGTGGAAAAGAAAAGAAAAGAAAAACGCTAAAATAACAAACTCCTGCCTTTCCTAATAATCTAGAAAGTCCCCGGCAACGGCGCCAAAAACTTGACTCGCTACGACATAACTCCTAACAATGGCCAAGTGTAACCAATAAAAGGGACTGCAGTATAGTGGCTCAAGTAATAAATATCGAATCCACGAGTCTCTAGAGTTACTATTACTCAGCTTCAGTTCATTATCTAGCAAACCAGATTAAGATGAAAGAACTAAAACTACTCTATCAAACTACAATTAAAGTTAATATAATTACAGGTTGGGAACTCACTTAGGTATGATTCCCCCTAGCCACTCGCCAGATTAACTATTGATGATCTCTAACTTGTTTCACTTTCATCCACAATGCGGAGAATCCTTAACTAGACCTTGAGTCTCGACTAAAGGAACAAGGCCCTCTTGAGTCAATTGCCTAGAGGGGACGTATCCTTCTCTAGCACAACCGATCAAGGCGTTCTGAACTAGACTCCCTCTTTCGAAAGAGGTTCTCAATCGATACAAAGCAGTGAATCAACCCTCGACTAAAGCAATCGATCCAATAATATCAATCTATGGTGCTCTATTAACCTAATCAGGTATTCGCTCTCATAGGATCAAAGCAGAATCAATAATCTCGACTAAAGCAGAATTGAATCATGAAAACGTGCATAGATTGAATATGAACTCAATATTATCAAGTAGGAGTACTCATACAATCATCCAATCAAACAAACATAGCTAGGGTTCCTCAAAACCTAAGTGAAGAGAAGTTACTCCATAGAGAAGAGAGAGACTGCAGTAAGAATCTTCATATGATCAGTCTTCAAGTCCGGGCTTATTCCTCGAGCTTCCAAGGCAAAGAAATCCTCCAATTCCCCTCTTAGAATGCCCTCAAATCACCCTCTCTCTCTTTGGTTCGTCCCTTGGGTTTTTGGGATCCAAAACCCAGCTCCCTCTTGCAAAAACGCACAAAACAGGCTTTTAACAGCCTGCGTTCGCGATCCCCGGTCAGAATCCCCTGTCGGGTATTTTAGGTCAAGACCGGAGATTTTTGGTTCACGATAGGGGATTTTTGATTAACGACCGGGGATTTTGGTTCACGACCAGGGATTTTTGGTTCACGATAGGGCCCCCTTCTGTTTCTCAGAGAAGCCCGAAACCAATTTTCCCCTATCTTTGATTCTTCGTTTCTCCCTCGTTCGGACTCCAAATCAGGTGCCGTTTGATCCCAGACGCTCGTAGTCTCGTCCTCTTTCTTTTTATTACAAGATTACTTGATTATATGGTCACAAGCTGAGGTAGAAATCCATTCTTCTTCAAGTCATACCCGAGTTTCTTCCCCCGACTCGCCAATTGATCTCCGATTGACTTGAAACTTGCGCCTACGCTTCACTTTATGTGCTAGGACCTGAAATGTGACAAAGGAACACAACCTAGAGTAAAATAGGCCAAAGAAGAGATAATGCAAGCTTAAACGATCAAGAAACAAAGGGGGGAAAATGTGCAAATATCGAGTCATCAATCTTCAAAACGAACTTCCCAATTATCAGCATGGAGGTTTAAACTGCCGTCGGCAAGTGAAATGGAGTGGGTTGAAGAAGACATAAACCATGCCCTAGAGAAGAGAGGGATGGTCTAAGAAGATATCAGCAAACCCTGGTGCAACTCTACCAGTCCGGAACTCAGATCCCGAGGTGGGGCGAGTTCGCTTTCTAACTCCTCTGATAGATTTGTGCCAGGAGCGTCTTGTAACATCCAGATGATGCCGCTTACTCTGTCGCCGCGGCTGTCGGCTTCCATGCTGGACATCATTTTCTCTATCATTCACTCCTCTTCTTCCAGATTTGATACTTTCAAAAACAAAGGAAAAACAAAGATTGGACTCAGACCCCGATGTGGGGCGAGTTCGCTCAGCAGCTCTGCCGGGCCATCATTGCATGGCAGAATCTCCAAATCCCTACCGGTGACTGGGGACTTGCCGTCGGGGAAAATGGGATGGCCGAAGTTTCCAAAGACTGATGTTCCTGCATGAAATCCGGCACGATTTTCGGATTTTCCTCGATCTTCGGATACAAAAAGCGGTTTAGGAATTCCGCCTTTCACACGGTTACGTAACCAGTGGGGGAAATCCTTAGAATCCCCTTTTTGAAAATAACAGGAATAAAAAAGAAAACGGAAACAAAAAAGAAAATTCGTATCCCACCGCGTTTGGGTCTCCTACTGCCTTCAGGTTGCTGCGGCACATCGTCCTATTTAGAAAGGGCTATTGCCCGAGTTGCTGCTGCTAATTCACAGAAGCAAGAGCATCCCTCGAGCCATCAAACCGCAAGCCTTGGAAAGTTAGTTGATATCGTAGGTACGTTGGGATTTAAGGGTGATGGGATTGATTTACTTCTTCGGAAGGGATTAACTCTGACCCACCGTATCCATTACAATTATTCTTGCTACCTGTGGTACTGGTTTGATCCCCCTCTCATTAATGTGAACATGAGTGACCTGAGTGTGTCTCGATCTGTGCAGAATATCACCATGTCACACGTCTCCAATGATCATTTTTTTGCGTTCTCCCTGGAGGATATCCAATCGGAACGGATGCTTCGATCCTGCACTGTGCTGGGACGCCTCTTTTCGGAAAACAAGTTCTCCATTGCTGAGCTTCGCGAATCGGTGAACAACCCATGGCAAGGCAGGGGTCGAATTAGGATCAGAATGGTGGCGCACGAGCTCTACGAGTTTGTGCTCCCGTCGGAGACTGCTAAGGGTTGGATCCTGAAACAATCGCTGTGGGTTATTAAAGATAGGATAGTCCATTTGAGCCCCTGGACTCCTACCATTACTAAGCAGATTTGTGATGGTCTCGCTACTGCCCCTTTCAAAGTTCAGCTGTGGGGAGTGTAAGAAGATTTCTTCACAACGCAATTTGGCTGAAATGTTGCTAAGACCACAATCTGCAGGGTGCTTGAAGTCGGCCTCTTTTCCTGTCCTGAAATGGCTCGGACTTCATCAAAGTGAGAGTGGTGATTGACTTCTCCAAACCGCTTAGATCTCAAATCATGGCGGCTAAAGATGAGACTGGTTGCTTCTGGATCAATCTCAAGTACGAGCACTTACCAAACTTCTGTTTCCATTGCGGAAGGGTGGGTCATGTGCGCCAGGATTGTTCATTTGAGCCCCCATCGGGGAAGGAAAGGTTTGGTCCTCACATGGTGACCAAAAAAATGGGCCGAAAAATCTTTGATGCGGAGGACACTCGAACTTATCTCCCACGAACGGTTTGGATCAACAAGACAACCGTGAGCATAGGGATTGAGTCCACATGGGCCATACTCACTCGAATGAGGCTGCCCGTGGTGAAGAAAAGCTGGGAAAACAGCCTGCCCTGGTGGCCAAGGAGAGGCAAGTGGCCATGAACATTCCTCTTTGGATGGGAACGTCTACCCAGCCTTTCATGGAAATGCAACCGCAAGGCAGTCAAGGAAGGTCCCCTCTCTGTTTCCCTATGACCAAAGCTCCAAAAATTATAATGGGGGGATATGGCCGTAAAGGCCTAAACGTGAAGGACCATCATTTGAACCCAAAGACAATGGAGATGGGGCGGAGGAATGGGAAACAAGAAAGAATGCGTAAGTCGAGGCGGGGACCAAGGCAGGAGCATAGGGACATGCATACGAGCAAGCAAAGGCCTGTTGAAGCCCTGCGTCCCCCACCTGACTCCCCGATTATGGTTGCTGACCAAGAACGGGGTCGACGCAGGAGGCTAATACTACAGGAGGAATCGGAGGATGAGTTTTTTGTGCATGAAGTGCCCATGCAAGCCGGTGAAAAAACCAAGGAGGCCGAGAGGGATCCAGGGGAGAAGAAGCACAGGACTAGGCATGATCATGGTAGCCACAAGGATACCTCGAAACCACGAGGGGTACAGCTCCCAACTACTTCTTATCGTGTTGTGGCGGAGGAGGCGAGAAATGGCCCACCAAATCCTCATCCTCCAGTCGAGAAGAACCCTAGTCCGAGGGTGTTTATCGATGCGATGCCCCTGAGGATGGTTGCTCCCTCGCGTAGCCTTTCCAATCCTGAGGACAAATGTCCGACACGGGGGTGCCATTGGGAAATCCAAAATTAAGTAATCCGGTGGGGATGTCCTCGACAGCGGATTGGGCTGCTCCTGGTGACTCGGAGGGGACGGTTTCGGAGGAAGATATCCGCCTTTTTGAACTCAAGCGGCGCCCACCGGCAAAAAAGAAACAATTGCGACGCCAGGCAGGAAGAGTTCAACAAGTGGTCCATGCTTTTGAGAAAGGGTTATCTATGACTAATGTGGAGCAACGGGAAGAGAATGAGAAGGGAGTGGAGCAAGTTGGCCTCAATGAATATGGATCAAATCTTTTGGTCTCATCAGAAGGGGGTGTGAAGCGTCTTTTGATGAAATTGAAGGTATTGCAGAAGAGGCCCCGTCCCCTAAGAAGAATTTGTGGAGGAAAACGTTGAAATGGAAAAAGTAGAGGAAGCCAGCCTAAAGTGGCCCCAATCGGATAAATGAGGCTTCTAGCCTGGAATGTGAAAGGAATTGGACCATCCCTCACATTCCAAACTGCTTTCAGTTTAGTTCGTTCAAATAAAGCGGATCTCGTGTTTTTTTCTGAAACACGATCGAGCCGGAGAGTAGTCTCCGTCGTATGCGCGGGTTAGGTTTTGATCTTTCTTGTTGTTTCTTTGTGGATGCGGTTGATGCATCAGGTGGTCTAGTCGTAGCTTGGTCCCCCGAGGTTGAGGCTTCGGTGTTTTTCCATTCCAATTTTTGTATCTGCACCCATATCAATGAGAATAATTTTTCCTATGTGGTGGTTTCTGTTTATATTAGCTGCAACTCAACAATAAGAGCTGCTCAGTTAGATCGGCTCCAGCAAATTTGTGCTGCCATCCAGCTACCCTACGTGGTCATAATTGATTTTAACACTACTCTCCATGAGAGTGAAAAGGATGGGGGAAATGCCTGGAATCCTTCTCAGGCTCTTAGCCTTCGTGAATTCATCCAGGACCTTGGTCTCCATGACCCCGGGTACCAGGGTGATCAATTCACCTGGACCAATAAACGGATGGGGGTGGCCTGTATTTGTGAAAGGCTGGACCGAGCGCTGTGCTCTCAAAATTGGATCGACCGTTTTCCGGATACTTTGGTCAAACACTTCATGGACCAAGGGTCTGATCATCGAGCCCTCCTCCTGGACGTTAAACAGTATACCCGCCACAATCGCCCCTTGTTCCGATTTGATGCTCGGTGGGCAGAAAATCCAGAGGTCAGGGCAATGGTCACCTATGTCTGGCAAGAAGAAATTCAGGGGACTCCGATGTTCCAGCTCTGGGAACGCTTGAAAAAACTTCGACATCTTCTTTACGGTTGGAGTAGGGCGGGTACTACGAATTCCCTGCGCAACATTCATACTCTCCAAAATGAAATTGAACGGATTAAACTGGTGCATCCTATTGACTGGGATGAGATCCGCACTTTGGAACGGGAGCTGACAAGGCAGTGGGAGGCTGAGAAAATTTATTGGCAGCAGAAGTCAAGGGTTCACTGGCTCAAAAAGGGTGATAAGAACACTTCTTATTTCCATACTGTTACTAGAACTCGGAGAAAATGAAACTTTCTGGAAGGCCTCCGTAGTGAAAATGGGGACTAGGTAACGGAGGAAGCGGGGAAGGCGGACATTGCTTGTAGTTTTTACAAAACACTGTTCTCCTCTGAGACCCAGGTGCGCAACATGGGGAAAAGAGTTGCTGGATTGCCCATTGCCCAGAGTATTACACCTGAAATGAATGCTCGTCTTACGGGGGCAGTACTTCCCGACGAGGTACGAAAAACGGTGTTCTCTATGGGCTCCAAGCAAGCCCCGGCATCTGATGGGTTCACGGGCAAGTTTTTCAAAGCCTATTGGGATATTGTGGGCAATTCGGTAATTGAAGCTGTTTGCTCTTTCTTTAGGACGAGTAGGATGCTCCGCAGCTTCAATCATACCTGGTTGACATTGATACCCAAAGTAGATAATGTGGGAAGCATGAAAAAAATTCGCCCGATAAGCCTCTGCCAGTTTGTTTACAAGATTATAACTAAAATTATGGCTGAGCGGTTGGCTAGTCTCCTTCCGCATGTTATTTCCCGTGGCCAAAATGCTTTTATCAGGGATCGCCAAATTATCGAAAACATCCTCCTCGGGCATGAGCTAATGCACTATCTGAAAATCAAAACAAAAGGTAAGAAAGGGTACATGGCTCTAAAGGTTGACATGGAAAGGTCTATGATAGAGTCGAATGGCCGTTTCTACTTGCTGTTTTGGAGAAGATGGGATTTAGTTCTACCTGACGAGGATGGATTCACGAGTGCCTCAAATCCACATCTTTTTCGGTTATGATGAATGGCACTCCGTCGGGCTACTTCACCCCCATCTAGGGGCTTCGTCAGGGGGATCCTCTCTCCCCTCTCCTTTTTGTGCTATGCACGGAGGGTTTTGAGGCACTCCTCATTAAGGCAATATCGGAACAGAAACTTCAAGGGGTGAAAGTGGCTCCACGGGCTCCTCGGATCACACATCTTTTCTTTGCGGATGATTCTTATCTATTCCTCCGAGGTTCCCTCCAATATGATTGAAGTTTTGAATGAATATGAGGAACTAAGGGGCCATAGGGTTAAATTGGACAAATCCGCGGTGTGCTTTAGCAAAAACATTGCAGTGCTCGATCAAGAGTTCCTAGCACAGATTCTGGGGGTGGGGGCGGTGGGCGTCCAGGATAAATATCTGGGGCTCCCTACACTGATAGCCCGTTCTAAAATGGCTACTTTTCTATACCTAGAAGATAAGCTCCTGGAATGCCTACAGGGTTGGAAGAGAAGGACATTGTCATGGGCCGCCAAGGAAGTCTTGATTAAATTCGTAGCCTTGGCACTTCCATTGCATGTTATGTCCTGTTTTAGACTTCCTCTCTCCTTGTGTCGTCTCTTAGATAAGCATGTGGCTAGGTTTTGGTGGAATGTGGAGGAGGGCCAATCTAAAATTCGGTGGTTATCGTAGAGGAATATGTGCAAAAGCAAGCATGATGGGGGCATGGGGTTCCATCGTTTTGAGCTTTTTAACCAAGCCTTGTTAGCCAAGATTGGGTGGCAGATCATTACTGAACCCCACTCCCTCTTAGCCCAAGTCTATAAATGAAAATACTACCCTACGGGTACATTCCTCACGGCTACACCACGTTCCCGGCCGTCCAGGGGTTGGCAGAGCTATGTGTTAAGGTGGCAAATCAGTAATGGACAGACAACTTCTCTACCCTTCTCCCCCGCGTTATAACCCCGTGGTGCTTCCGGTAGGAGGCGAGCTACGGGTGGCGGAAGTGATCTGTTCGGGGGAAGGGCGATGGTGTGATTCAAAACTCAGACAGTGGATGGACAGAACAATCAATGTAAAGCTATGGTCAGTTGGATGGACAGAACCAGTTGGATCCGGTTATGGGATGCCAACATTCCGCCCAAGCTTAAAGTGTTTGTTTTGGCAAGTTTTTAATCGGATTCTCCCCACAACAGAGGCACTAAGACATAAAGACGTGGAGGTCCATCCTAGGTGTCCTGTCGGTTGGGATGCAGAGGAAACCATGGAACATTTGTTTCTGATTGCCCGGTTGCTCGGGCGTTGTGGGATTACTCTAGGCTGGAATATTTGGGTCAGGGTTTGCCTCGCCATACCTTCCCGCTTTTCCTTAAACGACTGCTAGCTCTTATCCGTCAACCAGATATGGTTATGACTGTGATTGCTGTACTTTGGCGGATCTGGCGCTCTCGTAACTGGGTGACTTTGAAGGCAAACAGTTCGGGATCCCGGCTTTGATGCGGCAATACAACCAGCAGGTGGATGAGTGGTTAAGAGTGCCGGTTGAGCAGGACACCCCATTTTCTGGTCCAGTGCTGCCACCTAGTGGCACAGCAAGTGGTAGTCCGGTTATTTGCATGTGGGATGGGGCGACGCAGCACGGGTCTCACTCGGCAAGAGGAGTGGTGCTTATGACTCGGGGAAGAGATACTTTGATGGCTCGCGGGGGCCAATTCCCATGCATTGATGACCCGGTGGTGGTGGAGGTATTGGCGCTGCGTGAGGCAGTATGGTGGTGTCTTGAGAATGGATTCACTGAAGTTTGCTTTGAGGGGGATGCCAAGGTCATCATTGATAAAATCATTCGGGCGGAGATTGGAGATACTCGGATGGGGGCGATTCTGGAGGAAATTGTGTCTTGTTTTGCTTTGCATCCAGGGTTTAGTGTTTGGTTTGTAGGTCGTCGTAACAATAGGGTAGCCCATATGGTGGCTAGACAGGCCCTTTCATTGTCACCGACTGCGGGTCGTTTGTTTGATTTTCAGACCTGACTGATTTCCAGGTTGTAACTATCTTTTTGGTGATTCTATATAATGAATCTCTTTTGTCAAAAAAAAAAAGTGTCTATATACACCATAGATTTCCAATTTATTTTCAACTACCTATCACTTGATATTTCTTTGAAAATGTAATTTTCTCGTAAGGATTGTACAACTGTAGCGGAAGTTGTATCGAAAAAGTACATAATAGTATATTTAACTATGGTTTACATCGATTTAAACCGCTAAAACCGTCTACTTATTTGACTTCGATAAAAGATTTTTTGGTGGGTCACCCCCCACTGTATGATACGATTTTATGACAATGCATAAAAATATTAAAATTATTATAATATCCTGAAATTTTCTATCCATATGAAATTTAATATATTTTGTATACAAGTGGAGTTTATTTAACCTTAACTTTATTTTTTACACCACCAACTTATAATTTTGATCCCTCCTACAACGACACCCATTTAAAATAATATTTGATGGGAAAATTGCTACAAACATTATTAATGTTAATTAAAAAATTAAAGAAACGACAAAGAAAAGGAAGTTGAACGGTAAAGGAAGAAATAATGCGCAAAAAAAGTGGGCAACCGGAAAAAAAAACATAGGTTGGAATATAAAATTATTAAATGAAAAGAAAAACTGAAAGTTGTGCATAGCAAATTGCTTTTCTGTGCCTATGATACTTTCATCATTGAGCTCTTGCAATGAGTAATACTCTTTGATAATGTGTTTTTCATTATGTAACTAAGTTTCTATTTTGCGGTGTCCGTAGTTGATCATCCATATGATTAATTAGAAGGATTCAACGCACGCGTTGGGTAACAGCCTTCTCTTTGAGGTTCGGGTTTCACTTCGCAAATTCGTCTCACGCCACTGTAGGTAGCCTTCTATATGAAGTTCAGATCCTTCTAACCTCCATACATCGTTCATCGTTCCACTCTGCCTCACGTAAGTATAATAGGGCTACCCATCTCGTGGCGAAACAAGCCCTCTCATCGTTGGATCGTCGGTTGGTCGACCAACGACTCTTTCTTAATTCTATTTTGTAATTTTGACTTACAAAGGTCTGCTTACTATGTCATATATATGTTGTATTCCCTCTTGGGATATCTTTGACAAAAAAAAAAAGTTGTGGATAGCAGAGGATGACTAACATGGAGGATTTTGTGCAAAATGGGAACTAGGGTGATCACTACTTGAGGCGTGCTTCGCGAAAACTCTGGTGATTGCCATGGAGGATTATGTTCAACAATGGGTACATGATCAGCTCTGATTGTTGAACTTTGGGGAATCTTCTATGGTATTTAGCTAGCATGGAAAAAAGGAATCCAATTCCACATTGTCGAATTAGATTCAAAACTTTCAGTCGACTTGATCAATAAGCTCTCGGACCCGATACACCCCCATGCTACCTTGCTAGGCGTGATTTGTCGGATTCTTGCTCAAGATTGGATGGGTTGCCCAATTTATACATATCACGAGGGGAATAGAGTCGCAGACTGGCTCTCGAAACAAAATTTCGTGTTTCCTTATATAATTATATATAATTGGACCAGACTAGTGTACTTCTGGAGTATACTATACTCCAGGTATATTTATCCATATATCTTTATCTAGATCATGAATTAAATCCAGTTTGGGGTATGATACTATACCCTACCTCTAATGGATAAACTCCAACCCCCGATTCTCTAAACTCAAACCAGAAAGTTCAATTTAATAAAAAATATTAATCGACCGTTGAGATTGGCCATAGTTCAAAAACCAAGATCTAATGACCAAATCACCTGGAGTATACTATACTCCTGGAGTATACCAGTCATTACATATATAATTATATATAACTTTATGGTTCAGACTAGCATTAATATATATATATATATATATATATATATATATATATATATATATATGGTGACTACTTCGGTGCACTCACAAAAATGAGTGCGTTCAATGCACCCAACTCAAAAACTAGTCTTAAGGTGTCGGATTTTGAATTTTAACTTGTAGAAATCGTGTAATATGATGATATAACATATGATAACAACTAATTAGCGGATACTCTATGCCCTAGGTCTCCAATTTTGAGTTCTATCCCTAAACCCCAAATTATAAACCCTAACCCTAAATCTCTAAATCCTTCAAATTAAAGTTAATCGTTAATCTTTTTTGTTCAAATTCATGTGTGTTATTGTTCATCACATCATAAGTGATGATTGACATCATTTTGACATATATCGCATGTTTAAAATGACGGTTATGAGGCGAGTGCACTGAATGCACCCAAAAAAGTGAGTGCACCGAAGGCGCCACTATATATATATATATATATATATATATATGTGGCAAAGGCTAGCATACGCCTAGCGTGAGCTTTACGCCTGTGTTCACACTTGATTTTTGCCCTTCAATATATTTCACTGAATCAGAACCGTCTTTTATTATTTTTTAGATTAAATGAATCTTGTGGCTTTGGTTGGAGAATTAGGGACTGGGGTTCACCTATTAGAGGTAATGCGTACATTGTACGCCCATCAAGTTTTACTATTCAGAGCAAATTAACTGGATTTTGGTGTGTGATACTATAACCTAACCTATAATGGGTGAACCCCAGTCCCTAATTCTCTAACCTAAACCACAAGATTCATTAAATCTAAAAAAAAAATAATTGATGGTTCTAATTGACCGAAATATATTGAAGTGCAAAAACCAAGTGTGAACACAGGCGTACAGGCTACAACATATGCCTACCGTACGTTAGCCTTTGCCATATGTATGTGTGTTGACCTGTTTAGGCAGTCTTTTGAGTTTTGTAGTGTGCCCTGTCTTTTTTTAAACAGGTCATAATTTCTTTCATTCTTATCCCAACAGGGGAAAAACAGAGGTTACAACATATCAGGTATAACATTGTGCATTGAAAGCCAATCAAGGTGCAAAGTGTTAGATCTCATGCTACGAGCAACCCAATCGGCAACTTTGTTGAATCGCCGATAAACTAAGGAGCTCTTAATCCAATCCAATTGTTGCAGGATCCCGACAATGCGAGAAATAATCGCATATCATCGTCATGGCCATAAAGGTGTCTCATTTGAAAGGATCCATCATAGTTTTGAAGTTAGAAAAATCATAGACGGAACCAGATTGCTTGTCACCACTTCGCACGCTTTCAAATAGATATAGCCTCTGCCTCCATTGGATAAGAACAAATGAATTTACCAACTCTTCCATCGCAAATATGCCACTTAGAGTTAGTAATAACAACTTTGAAAGCCGCCTCTTGGGAATCACCGCCAAAAGATCCATCGTATTGAATCTTTTTGCAAAGGTTGTATGATGTTGGGGAAGAATGCGAAGGAAGGTCCCTAGGCTGGGAAACAGGAAAGAGCCAGGGTGCAATGAAGGAAGGCTCAACAGCTTTCCTACAAGCAATGGTGGACGTTCTTGTCAGGGATGCGACAATTCCTTCATAAATATGCTCATTTCGGACCTTCCTAATGTTCCACGGACATAAGATCTTAAGGCGAAGGGAGGGAGCCGCCTCCAAATCCTTCAAATTGAAGATCCATCGCGTGATGTTTTCGGGAAGAGAGAAAGAAGGAATCACCTTAGCCCAGGTCTCTGATACATGAAGGCATATGAATAAGCAATGAATTTATGTTTCTTCGTTTCTCCTCACAACTGAAAGCTTGAGTTGGGGCGCAATGTTGATGATGAGGGTTGACTTTTGTTGCTAGCGCCTTCCGAATGCATCTACAGAGGAAAACCTTGAGTTTTGGAGGTAACTCTAACAACCAAAGCCACTTCCAACAGACATCCGAGGACGATAAATTGAGATCTTGAATTTGTTGGGGAGAAATTATTTCAAATGTTTCCTGGTGCCATGGTAAGTAGACCCTACCATAAACTTGTCATTCGGGGAAACTTCCAAGCCCACCTATCTAGAGTTTCTTCCAGTCCATAGGAATGCAGGTTATTGCCTCAACCTCCTCCGGTAAACAGTGGTTCCATATTAAGTCAATATTCCATCATAAGCCATCCTCGATCATCCAATCTCTAACTCTAGTAGGAGGGTAGATCCCATTTGTGACCATGCAACCCTCTAGTGGATGAACCCAAGGGTCCCTATGAGACTAGGTTGAATCCCCCGGATCCTAAGACCCTGATTAGTACCAAGCTCCAAGGTCTTCCTAGCGTCACATAGGCTAGACCAAATCCATGATGTAATAAAGTGACTAAGTACCATACATGGGCCTCTCCCAACAACTCGAGTTATTCGGACTAGTTGGTTGATAGATCTCGAATTGTAAGTTGTTTTCATGACTACCGGCGAAGACAGCATGAGGGACTTGAAGGACGTCATCAGCGGGTCCGACTCGATTCCCCTCTCTTCGCCTCTGTATCTTCATCCCTCGGAGAACCCGGGGAAACTCTTCGACAATAATCTTCTCACTGACTCCAAATATGGGGAATGGGTTAATGATATGACTGAAACTCTAATTGCAAAAAACAAGTTAGTTTTTGTTTATGGAAGCTTTCCCCGGACCAAGGCCAACGCTGGAGTTCGTGACGATGTCTGGGCTCGTTGTGATGCCACCGTAAAGGGGTGGCTCAAGATAGCAATGAGGAAGGAAGTTAGAAACAATGTTCCTGGTGCATTTCGCACGGGAAATCTGCATAGACCTTCAACAACGTTTCAGGAAGGGCTCGACTACGAGAGCTTATGAGCTGCATAGGGCTATTGGTGCCTTGCGATAAGAAAAATCTTCCGTTTCCGCATTCTACACTCATTTGCGAATGCTATGGGACGAGCTCCAGTCCGTCTCCATTACCCCTCGTTGTTCCTGTTGGCTTTGCACATGTGACATGCAACGTCAGACTCGCGAGAAGGAGGAGGCAGAACACATATTTGATTTTTTGCTCGGACTTGATGACTCTCTTGCTATTGTGCGTTCACAAATCTTGAGCATGAAGCCTATTACATCCCTCACTGAGGCGTATCAACTAGTTGCCGCAGAGGAGCAGGAGCGCTTGATCATAGCGGGTCGTCACCCACCCGTTGAATATAATGCCTTCATCGCGCGAGGTGATGGTGACGTTGATGGAGATAAGCCACGTTGCAGTCATTGCAACAAGCTGGGACACACGAAGGAATCATGCTTTAAGTTGATTGGGTACCCGGATAATGGGAAGGGACGCACAGGTGAGCGGAGCTTAGGTCCCAGTTATGGTACGGGCAACAATAAGCAAGCTCGTGCTGCCAATATTGAGAGTGATGAGAGCCCTATCCCTGGTCTTTTGGTGGCTGAGTTCGACAAGCTCAAGGAATTTCTTTCGACTCCCACTAGTGCGCCAAGTGAACCTACTGCTCATATGGGTGGTAATTCTTCTGAACTCTATGGATGGTTAATTGACTGAGGTTGTAATGAGCACATAGTCCGGGATGCTAATTGAGTGTGGGGGTGTGATAATTGTCGAAAACATATTGATTTTGTGTGCTTAATATGATTATTACATGATACGTTTGAGACATATAATGCTTATTTTAGAGCCAACTGACTCTGTAATGGTTATAAAGCCATTACCTGCTTGTGTTAGAATTCTGATATATTTTAGGAGATGAGCCCTAGATGGGTCTCTATATCAAAAATCGCACAGCAACGAATTGAGATCAACTCAATTCTCGAACTTCAAACAAAACAGGGGTGAAAGATGATGAATGGAGACGGTCTATTTCGTGCAATTCTTCACGCGGAGAATGGCTCAAAATAGATGAACGAGGCTTGGCCACGAGCAGTGGGATGAGCTGATTGATACAAGCTAACAATTGCCTAGAAACCTTCTAAACAATCACTCAATTCGTCAATCCAACAAGCAAGATGAATCAAAGCTCTACTTGTATTCAATTGATAAAAAACTGAGTCTACAACGAAATTGAATGACCTTAAATAGACCTAGGCTAGCTAACAAACTAATACTAACGATCTAATCATAAACAAACTCGGAAATCAAATAAGAAACAGAAAAGGTAAAGAGTTCCAGTTGTAATCCTAATCCATATAGAATTCAGATTCCTATTTCAACAGGGCAGTTTCTTCAGGCTCCCAACGATCTTGCTCGCTTTCGTTCAAAGTCCTCCCAACTTTGTTTCAATCATCCAATGCCCCTGGGTTGTAGAAGAACCTAGTTTCATGGGGTATAGCCTTCTTGGGCCGATTCTCCTCCATCTTCCTCGAAGAGGCCTCCAAAGTCGGGTACTCAAACTGATTCTGACACTTAGCCAATTCCTGGCAGCTTCCCTGTTTAGAGGAACGATTTTGGGAAGCTTGGAAACTGACCCTCCTGCCTTCTCCTTGAGCATACAAGCTTGCCAATGTATTCACAATCACTTCTTCTTGCGAACAAGCTTTGAATCCCCCATTTTCATAAATCCATTCGTGTCGACGAGACTTGTAAAGTTGGTTCCTGCAACAGCTAGAACTCTTATACAAACTTCATAGTTGTTCAAATGAAATGAATGGAATTCTTTATCGATCAATTGGAAACTTGAAATGGATCCAAATGAGATCATATCAGCCCCCCCCCCCCTCTTGAAAAGTGTTGCCCTCAACACTTTAGCCTTTCGTTGCGCAAATCGTTCGCAGAATTGATCCCAAACCGGATCAGAAAAAGGCTGTTTGAACTTGAACTTCTGCATAATTAGGTTACTGTTCTTCGACCTGCGATTTGGGCTTTTTGAATTCACGCATTCCCTGTCAAATTCCTATATACCAAGAGCTTCCATGGACCTCAAATTGTAATTCTGGACCGGTCTTCACTCTCGACTCTTCGCCATCGTCGTCGATTCGACGATTGCGTCTTTCCTACCACGACCAACTTTCAAATTTCCAAAACCCATAAGTTCTAAATTCGAATTGCACGTTTCTTCCACAGAGATCTTTGCCCAAAATTGAAGCTTTTTACAACTTCCGACATCAATTTCCAATGATTCTGCAATGCCAGTTTGCGTCGAATCATCCTCAACTGTTCTAACCAATAGACCCGATTTTAGCACGTCGACGTTCGTTTTCAGAGAATTCGAGGTCGTATTGGATACTGTAATCCAGGTACAAGCGATGCCATCCAGCCTTTGTTGAAGCTTCCCCATGGATCATGGAACGTGTCAGTGCCTTTGGTGGGATTTGGATTGTTTTCAAGAACTCCACCCAATATACCCTCTCTCTTGCTCTTCTCCCGCGAATCGTCATGGAGCCGTTGACGCCGAGGAGTCTTCTGCCTCTTGTAACATGTAAGCATGATCCGTTGACGCATGGTCTCTAATTGACGTTGATCCTCACGAACTTTGGTCGGCGATAGAGGTTTAAGCACAAACTTCTAGTTTTTATGCCGAAATTTGTAGCAGTTGGTTCCACCATCATGACAAACCCCTCGATCAAACTGCCAGGTTCGTCCTAGCAACATGTGCGCAGCTTGCATCGGGGCTACATCAAACTGAATCTCATCTTCATATTGTCTGATTGCAAACTTGATTTTAGCCTGTTTATTGACCTTGATAGCACCATAATCATTAAGCCAATGCAACATGTAAGGCAGAGGGTGTTTGCTTGTGCTTAGGCTGAGTTTCTTGACGATGTCAAAGCTTACGACATTCGTACAGCTTCCCCCATCTATGACAAGGGAAAGCAAATTTCCATTGACGCTGCATCGGGAATGGAAGAGGTCTTCCCTCTGCTCTGAGTTCAAGTGAACGTCAATGGTGAGTGCCCTTCGATTTACACCTACAAGATGTCCTAGGGGAGGAGGGGTCTCCATTTCAAGTTCTTCCTCCACCTTTTCCTCCTCGCCTGAGCTTTTCTCTTCGTCGGTGAGGTACTCGCCATCACGGATTACCAGTGTCCTCAAATTGGGGCACTGATTTGCCTTGTGTCCCCTTCCGTGACACTTAAAGCACTGGATTCCTCCAGTTCTTTCCACAACAATTTGGGAAATGTTCTTGGCTGGTGCCTTGCTAGGTTCAGTTCGCACTTGTGAAGGATTGGAATTGAAAGCCAGCTCTGCCACGGATTTGCTAGTCGAAGCAAACCACCTGCTTTTGGTTTTACATAGTTTTTCGATCTTAATTGCCAAGCAAATGCTTCCTCCATATCGAAAAACGAACTAAGATCCACCTCATGTCGAATTTCTTGATTTAAACCGTGAAGAAAATGAGCTATCGTCGCTTCTCTGTCCTCCCTTACGTCGGCATGCATCATCAACAGCTCCAAATCCCTGAAATACTCTTCCACCGTTCATGTACCATGTCGAATCACCTGCAGGGATTCGTACAGTTATCTCTGATAGTATCAAGGAACAAACCAATCTCTTCGAAGGCCTCAGAGGTCTTCCCACGTTGTAATTTCTGGATGGAGGTTACGTCGCCATCGCAATTGGACTTGCTCCCACCATTAAGCAGCATAGTCCGTAAACTCGTAGGTGGCCAAGAGCACCTTCTGCTGCTCAGAATAGTTTCCCAATTAAAAGAATAATTACCTTTCGCTCCCAATCCAGGCAATGTGAGACATTGAGAGATCCAGCAAAGTAGGGGTGCTAAATGGTCGGCAATCGGTTTAACCACCATTTAACCGGTTTCCGGTAAACCGGAATTTCCCAAACAACTGTCGTTACCCGTTACCGAAATGAATCGGTATACCTATTACCGAATGCTACGGTTTCGGTATTGAGTCCGGTTTCCCGAATTCCGGCAGCGGCAGGCTGTTGCTTGCTAATGGCTTCCCGTGGGCGAAAATTAATTAGCGCCAGACGCCAGTTTCTCAATTCAAATGGAAGGCCATCATCATTATTCTTAATTCTTATTCCTCTTGTCTGCTAGTGGAAGGAAATAAAAATATAGTGTAATGCACTAATGCCATCATGAAATTCACTTCACTGCTAGGCTATGACCTACGAGTCTACGAGGCTACTGAAAACATTACAATATATTATCTATATGTCCATAACACAAAACAGACAAACTCCCTTCACTGCTTCTCTCGGCTACGCCTACGAATCTACACGACAAATACTGAAGATAAATACATATACATTAACATTACACACAAGAACAACTCGGCTCGGCTATATCCATGATTAATTGATTATGAAACAAACAATTATGAAACTGAAGAATGAAAGAATGATACTCGGCTACACAACTTACCTCTCAAATTGACGGAGAGCCAGAGAGGACGAGCTGCTGGGCTTTGCGCTCGATAGTGGTCGAGCGATTAAGGTCCGACGGCACCGGGGTTCGACGGAAACAAAGCAACGGCGAGGGGCTTGACGGAACAGAGCTTGGCGGAGAGGATGACTGGATGAGGGATGCTAGGTCGTGTCTCTTGGCCCTTGGATGGAGCTTGCGCCAGCAGGCAGCGAGCCAGCGATGGAGATGACTACTGGATTCGATGAACAGAGGACTGGAGGAGGATTGGCAGATGGCGATTGTGCTCGTGCAGCAGGTAGGGGAAAGAATCTTTCTGAAAGAACAACGCAAATAGAATAATAGATAGTTGGATGTCTAAATCTAATTAAGTAGGTCTTTTTGGGTGGCCGGCGTTTGGTTTATTGCTAGAAATCCTAGTCGTTGACGGCTTCATTGCCTATTCCCATTCGGTGTTGGAAATACCGATCGGCCGACGGTATTTTGCACTTCGGATCTCGGTATACTGCTAGCCACTATTTCTCAGCCGATTACCCTGTGCTTCGGTTACCAGTTTAACCGATAGCCGCGCTTATCGGTATGGTTATCGGTTAAACCGTTAACCGCATTACCGTTTAGCACCCCTACAGCGAAGGGAGGAATTGTTAATTTGATGCCCTGAGGGATGGTAGGCTCTGCTTCTGGCGGTCTTCGTCGCTGTCATCCTTGTTCTGGGATATCCACTACCAGCCTCTTCTCAAGCTCGTCAATTCGTGTCACCAACACGCCATTAAGCTCCTCCTGAACCTGTTCCCCAAGCTGGGCTCCTCGTCCCCTGTCGTGCTCTACTTCCTCCTCTGGCGGAGCAGGGCAATTGGTTCTAAGGTGCAGCTTAGCCATTTGTTGATTCACGTGATCAAATTGAGCATGGAAGAACCGCTGCAACTCTGCTAACGTCAGGGGTTGCTCTCCAGCCATCGATGCCTACTAGAAACATGACCCTTCGATCTCGTGCAACGTGTTGTCCCGATCACGCTATCCTCCATCGACGATGTCTTCCTGGTCCTTGTGTACAACCAAGGCTCTGATGCCACTTGATGAGCCCTAGATGGGTCTCTATATCCAGAATCGCACAGCAACGAATTGAGTTCAACTCAATTCTCAAACTTCAAACAAAACAGGGGTGAAAGATGATGAATGGAGACGGTCGATTTCGTGCAATTCTTCACGCGGAGAAAGGCTTGAAATAGATAAACGAGGCTTGGCCACGAGCAGCAGGATAAGCTTATTGATACAAGCTAACAATTTCCTAGAAACCTTCTAAACAATCACTCGATTCGTCCAGCCAACAAGCAAGATGAATCATAGCTCTACTTTGTATTCAATTGATCAAAAAGTAGAGTTTACGACGAAATTGAATGACCTTAAATAAACCTAGGCTACCTAACAAACTAATACTAATGATCTAATCATAAACAAAATCAGAATTCAAATACGAAACAGAAAAGGTAAAGAGTTCCAGTCGTAATCCTAATCCGAATAGGATTCGGATTCCTGTTTCAGCAAGGCAGTTTCTTCAGGCTCCCAACAATCTTGCTAGCTCTCGTTCGAAGTTCTCCCAGCTTCGTTTCGATCATCCGATGCCCCTGGGTTGTAGAAGAAATCCCCTAGTTTCATGGGGTATATAGACTTCTTGGTTCGATTCTCCTCCATCTTCCTTGAAGAGGCCTCCAAAGTCGGGTACTCAAACTGATTGTGACACTTAGCCAATTCCTGGCAGTTTCCCTGTTTTGAGGAACGATTTTGAGAAGCTTGGAAACAGACCCTCCTGCCTTCTCCTTGAGCATACAAGCTTGCCAAAGTATTCACAATCACTTCTTCTTGCGAACAAGCCCATTTTCGTAAATCCATTCGTGTCGACGAGGCTTGTAAAGTTGGCTTCCGGCAACAGCTAGAACACTTATACAAACTTCATAGTTGTTCAAATGAAATGAATGGAATTCTTTGTCGATCAATTGGAAACTTGAAATGGATCCAAATGAGATCATTTCATTAGGTTGAGAAACAAGAAGCGATTGATGAGCAAGCAAAATACCACAAGTAGTCCGACCAATGGCCAATTCCAAACAAAACTAGCTTGAACCAGCTTCCTTTGCCTAGCAAAATGTAGCAGCAACCATAATTAATAATGGGCCTGCAGCCCATTCGTTGGAGTTGAACAGCAACAGTGGTACAAGGGGCAATTAATTGGTACCAGAATTCTAAATGAGTTGGGCCGGGGAGGAATTAGAGGAGGAGGAGACCCAATTCTTTTTCTTTCTTTCCCTAGGACTCTGAAAATGGATCAATTCCCTTAAGGCAAATAAAAGGAAGAACTTAGGCCGTAACAGGGGAGAGGGAATTGCTTTGGAGAGGAATTAATTGGACAAGGGTCCACTTATTTGGACCAGCCATAATCTACAATATATAAATAGTTGGATATTTTTTCTACACACCTCATTCAAATTTTCCTACAACGATAGTGAAAGTAGGAAGGGTATTTTTTTCTTCACATTGATCTATTTGTTTCTCATTTATTTCTTAAAAAAGAAAGGCATACAAGGATTGGAACAGTAGCAGCATCGGACGAATTTTTTTGGGAGAAGAATTGGAGCGCAGCGAGTAGTAGCACGGAGCAAGCAGATCGGCCATTGGAGCGACAAGGAATTGAAGCCGAGAATATGTTCCATAATCTCACTATTTTTCCTTTATCTTTAATTAATACGATGATGATTATAAACATGATTGTGTGTTTTGATTTCGTCATAAACTAAACCCCAATTTCTGGGGGAAACACTATAGGATGTAGCTATTTCTAGACTTAATAGATTGATTCATATTTCTTTTATTACATTCTCTATTTAATGAAATTGTTTAATGTTGACTGGCCACCAATACATTGATTCGTGGTTAATTAGGTTATTAGCGACAGTGAAACCCTATTAACTGAACCTATTTCATGTGACATAGTAACTTATCGAAGCGACAGTAGATTAAATAAGATGCTATGTAGTCTTAAATAGGATTCGATCTTTAGGCTATATAATTAATTCATTGAGCTACGACAGTAGGATTTGATTTAATTGTTTTGTACGTAGTGATTCTCAATAGGGATAGCTAGCACAGTAGTGATATCCTGGCTGTAGAGAATTGGATTAAACTGATTAGAATATGCGAATTAATTTGGATATGATAGGTAGTGAGTCCTGGTGTTTCTCCTAGGGCTTTCTCCATTGAATTTCTCCCAGCGGTTTTCATTAGCTTGTTTTGTTTAATTATTTTGCTATTAGATAATAGTTTCATCATTAAAACCGTTTTCACCTATAGTTTTCTCTATAGAATTGATAGAACATAAAGTTGTACCAGTCACTGAGAGACGATACCCGGACTTTCCGGTTTACTACGAGATAGGAATTGAAGCATTACGCTTTTGCCCTATCAAGTTTTTGGTGCCGTTGTCGGGGATTGCCATACCTTATTTTGTTGATTTTTGTGAGTGAACTATTTTGATCTGTATGTTAGTGTGCAGAAAAATTTTCAGGTTTATCCTCCTCGTGCATGCATAGGAGGACGACTGGCAATTTACTGGCACTAGATCCAGAGATCGAGAAGACCTGCCGTTAGAACAAGAAGCAGTTCAAGTTAGGGAAGCAACCAAAAACAACTCTTAGGCCTTCCCTAACCAAGAATCGTCAACAGAGAGGGAAGACTTCATCACCTATTGTCCCTACACCACCAACACCACCACCAACACAACGCGACATCGAGCTTGTCATCAAGGCAGAAGAGGATCGTTCGATCAGGGCTCGCTTGAATCGAAGGACTGGAGCCCGAGCTTCAGGTGTTGTCATTCGGGTTGGGGATGCAACCAAGGAGATTACCCCATCATTCATCAACATGATCACCAACGGGTATACTTTCTCCGGGGCTAGCAATGAGGATCCTCCCGAACAGCTTTGCCGGTTCGTGAGCATATGTGATACGATGAAGAGCCCAACTGTATCTGATGATGCAATCCGTCTTCGGATGTTCTCGTTCTCTTTATTAGGCAATGCATCACACTGGTTTCAGAACTTAACACCACGTTCCATCACAACATGGGCTCAGTTTGAGAAGTCTTTCCGGATAAGTACTTTCCTCTTGCCAAGGCAATGAAGAGACAAGTGGAAATCGTTACTTTTAAACAAGCAGAAGACGAGAGTTTGACTGAGGCATGGGAACGCTATAAGGGACTGTTGATGAGATGCCCAAGCTATGGTCTTGAAGATTGAAACATGATCATAATTTTTGTCAATGGAATCAGAAGGGAGTTCCGGGATGCTCTGAATAATGCTTCTCGAAATGGGTTCACAAGGATGGAGGCACCAGCAACATATGAACTGGTAGAGAGGATCTGTTCAAGCCACTGAATGGGGTAGTGAGACAAGTATTCGAAGAAGAGGAGGCTTGCATGAGGTGGACAAAGCTACAAGTTTATAAGCCAAGATAGATGCCAAACTTGATTCCAAGTTTGATGCACTCGAATGAAGGCTGGCCACACTTGCTCTTGGTAGACAAGAGGAGGTTATTTTATGTGAACTTTGCGAGGGTCCTCATCATAGTGATATGAGTCCACTGGGAGATGCTCAATTGGAAGATTTCAGTATATCAATAATCCGCGAAGTCAAGGCCATGGTGGGATGTATTCAAATACATATAACCCTCAATGGAGACATCACCCCAATTTTCATGGTCGAACAACAATTAGTTGGTGTTCGAAACATCCCACCTCCCAGTTTTCAGCAGTAACAACCTCAACCTGAGAAGAAGCCCCAACTAGAGGAGTTGATTTTGGCTGATAACACCCAAGCAAGGTGTTGATGCCACAAATCAAACTTGGAAGCCAAGCTCTGCAACGCGGCCAAGAATCCGAGTTGCTAACAACAAATTAACAACGAGAAGGGTGTAACTCTTGTGCAATCCTACACGTGGAGGAAGGCTCAATGAGTATACGTCAAAGCTCGCCCACGATCAAGGTGGTTTTGATCAATACAAGAGCAATTTCGAGTTTGGTTTTCTCGGCCAAACTGTCAACCAAAACCTAGCTACGACAAACTTAGTTTTAGGGTTAAAACTCAATTCAATGTATTCTGCCGATTACAATGCCTTCATGGCACTTAAATAGAACCTACAAACAACCTTAAACGCAAAAGAAACCCAAAATAAACAAGGAAAACGAAAATTGTCCAATTCCTAAAGCAACACGGAAACTTAAAACGCAAGGAAAACACAGTCTTGATGCCATCTTCAGTGCCCTCGTTTGCAGCCTTCCAATTGTGGGTTTGATCACCCAACTCCTTGCTTCTGGAGTAGAAAGTACAAGTTTTCATGTGGTATGAGCCATGAAACTTGATTCCTAGCAAGTTGTTGTGAATTGGGCTCCTAGGTGGCTTGCCCGAAACTGCTCCATGACGTAGGCAATTCCTGGCAGATTTCCTGTTCTGACATGGGTATTTGGTTAGCTGGAAAATTGTACTTCCCAGCCTTCCCTCGAGCTCCCAAACACTCAAGGTTTGAGAGAAAGTCTTCATGTTCAAAACAAATCCCCCAAAGCCCATTTTCATCGAGCCGAACGCGAGTACCATGCTTGTAAAGAGAGCTACCTGAAACTGTTCCATTACTTGGCCAAAACTCAAGTTTTGTCAAACGAATAGAGGCAGCTTCTTTAACAAGTAATGAAGACTTTTGGGGAAGGGTATTTGGGATCATATCAGGCCCTCCCTCTTTTACAAGCTTTCCCCTCAAAGCTAGTTCCTTTTTCTTCTCGAAATCGTGGCAAAAGTGATCCCAAATCCGATCGAAAGATGGTGCCCCAAACTGCCAATTCTGGGAAACGTGGGCAGTGTTCTTCACCCATGGAATTAGGGACTTTTGATTTAGCCATTTCTGATTCAATTTAGGAGTACCACTGTATCCACCATACATCCAATCGTCATTCTCAACTAGTCCCCGCGTTCTCTTAACCCGTGTCTGTGCCGAATCGTCATCCTCTCGTTTCCCGCCAACATCGTTGTTCAAACTTGCAGAACCTGGGAGACCCGAATTCGATTTGGGCGACTCTTCTTCCCGCACCACCAGCTTCAATTGAAGCTTCCTATAGCTTCCTGTGGCCACCCTCGTCGACTCTACCTAAGCCGTTTCGATCGAATCATCGCTAGGCTCCCCAACCCATTCGAAAAAATTTTGCTCATGTTTGAGCTCCAGCAGAGGAGTTTGATCGCGAATGCGATCCTGCAAACGGAAAGAAATTTTCCCAATGGATCAAGGGAAAAGCTTCCCTATGTGTGAGGGAATGTGTCGGGCTCCTTAGGTTGGGTCGGAGCGCTCCCAGGAGCTACACCCAATAGGCCCTCTCTCCTGCTCTGCCTTGCCGTCGTCGGAGAATAGGGGTTGTTCTTGGAGCTCGGTCGCCAGAGCTTCTCGCGCTTCAAAGCCGTCAACATAAGTTGAGCCGTCATTAATCCAGCCTTCAGCCCTCATTCACTTGCTCCGTCGAGTCGCTTAGCCCGACTGGCGGCCATTTGACGTTGATCGGACCGGACCTCCGTCGAAGACAGAGGTTTCAACACCATCCTCTTACCATTTTGCTTGAACACATAACAATTTGTACCTCCGTCATGGGTTACGGCTCGATCAAACTGCCATGGTCTTCCCAACAGTATATGGGCAGCTTGCATCAGGGCAACGTCGCACACAATTTCATCCTGATAGCTACCAATTTCAAAAGCAACCCGAGCTTGTTTCGTTACCTTTATCGATCCGTAGTCATTAAGCCAATGTAAATTTTAAGGCTCAAGGTGTTTAGTCGTGTTCAGTCCCAGCTTCTTGACGGCATCGAGACTGATAAAGTTTGTGCAGCTTCCACCGTCGATGACCATCGACAAACATTTGCCATTAACTAAGCACCTTGTGTGAAAAAGGTTGGTGCGTTGATCTTCTTCCACCTCAAATTCCACTGTCAAGGCCCTGAGATTCATTCCATACAGCAATGGTCCTACTGCCCCCGCAATTCTATCATCAATTTCCTCAGTAGACGAGTCATTGACCCCTTTCTTGTGGTTGTCTTCATCACCGGAGACGTATTCGTTATCTCGCAAGATTAGCGCTTTGACATTTGGAAATTGATTGGCCTTATGGCCCCTCCCGTGGAATTTGAAACACTGTATCGATCCACTAGAGACCTTTGCTCGCTCCTGATTAATTGCAGCACCCCGAGGTGGAAATTTGTGTGTTTCTTGCCTGTGTTGGGGCAAAGTGGTCTCGGCAGCAAGCTCAACAGCAGGTTTAGCACTTGCAACCCTTCTCCCCTAAGAGGATTTTTGCTACTTCTCCACTTTGATTGCGAGGTGCACCACCTCTTCAAGTTCTACAAAAGATCGCAGCTCAACCTCTTGCCGAATTTCGCAATTCAGACCGTAGAGAAATCGTGAAATTGTTGCGTTTTTGTCTTTGCGCACATCAGCCCGCATCAAGAGCAACTCTAGCTCTCTAAAATAATCTTAGACATTCCTCGACCCTTGTATAATTCCTTGCAACGAGTCATGTAGCTCTCGCTGGTAATAACCCGGAACAAATCGTTCCCTCATCAGCCCACGTAACTCGTCCCACGTCGCCACAGGTGCTTGGAGATTTCGTCTTCAACGGAGTTGTAGCTGTTCCCACCACTGGGCTACGTAGTCCTCAAATTCGTAAGTAGCCATAGCGACAGTGAAACCCTACTAACTGAACCTATTTCAAGTGACATAGTAACTTATCGAAGAGACAATGGATTAAATAAGATTCTACGCAGTCTTAAATAAGATATCGATCTTCAGGCTAAAAAATTAAGCCATTGAGCTACGACAATAGGATTTGATTTAAATGTTTAGTACGTAGTGATTCCCGATAGGGATAGCTAGCACAGTAGTGATATCCTGTTGTAGAGAATTGGATTAAACTGATTAGAATATGTGAATTAATTTGAATATGATAGGTAGTGAGTCTCGGTGTTTCTGCTAGAGCTTTATCCATTGAATTGCTCTAAGTTGTTTTCATTAGCTTGTTTTGTTTAATTATTTTGCTATTAGATAATAATTTCATCATTAAAACCATTTTCGCCTATAGTTTTCTCTATAGAATTGATAGAACATAAGGTTGTACCAGTCCCTGAGAGACGATACCCGGACTTTCCGGTTTACTACGAGATAGGAATTGAAGCATTACGCTTTTGCCCTATCATCCCTGAATGAGCATCTTAGTCTCACACATGTCCTTCATGTTCTGACTTTCAAGTGTAACTTGTTGTCTGTTAGTCGTCTTACCAAGGATCATGATGTTGCTTTGCCTTCTTGGCCAACTTCTGCATTATTCAGGACTTATGCTCGAGGACTATGATTGGACTCAACCATCTACATGATGGGCTTTACTACTTGAAGCGTGTTGGCAATATCTCACACTCAGGACAGACTTCAGTTCGACCTCTAGCTGCCACTAGCAAGATGAGTACCACGCTTTGGCATACGCGCTTGGGACATCCTTTGCTTGCTAAACTTTCTTCTTTGCAGCATAGTTTATCCTTTTCGGATTCTTGTCTGGATAAACATCACTGTGATTCCTGCCTGCGTGCAAAACAGACTATAGTTCCTTTTGTTCTCACTCTATCAAGACCCATGCTTGTTTTGAGGTTGTTCACATGGATATTTGGGGTGGTTATAAGACCCCTTCTTTTGATGGATCTCGCTATTTTTTTACTGTGGTTGATGACTATAGTCGTGCTACCTTGGTTTATCTGCTTAAGTTTAAGTCCGATGTTGATCGATATATTCAGCTCTTCTGCGAAATGGTGCGTACCCAAAACAGTGGTCAGGTTCGGCGGATCCAAACTTATAATGGCTTGGAGTTTGGCACCCATTCCTTGCGCACGTACTATGAGGAGCGCATGATTCTTCTGCAGACTTCGTGCGTTAATACCACAGCAGAATGGGGTTGTTGAATGCAAGAATCATCATCTGCTCATCCCCTCCATTTTCACTCAGGTCTTCCTGTCCGGTTTTGAGGAGAATGCGTCTTGAATGTGACTTATCTCATCAACTGCATTCCATCCATTGTCCTTGACGATCGGACCCTCTATGAGGTTTTGTTGTGTCGTCCTCCATCTTATGACCACCTGTGCGTCTTTGGTTTCTTGATTTACGCCAAAGATACCTCTCCTGGTCTCGACAAGTTCGTCTAGAGGGGGAGACAGTGTGTGTTTATTGGCTACACTGCGACACAAAAAGGTTATAGAGTTTTTTATCTGCAGTCGCGCCGCGTTTATTCGTCTTGCGACGTCCGGTTTGTAGAGGATATTTTCCCTTTTCGCACTGCTAATGGAATGAATGATGAGATTGCATCACCGGCCAAAGACATTCCCACTCTCTATGCTGATCATGATGATATAGTTGATGATTTTTCTAGGGAGAATGATGAGGTTACTCGACATGACGAAGGCCGAGACCTTAAGCACGTGGATACAAGTTTGCATGCAGACCACGCACAAGAAGAAAATTTTGACGTCCAACCCATTGGAAATGATGAGATGGGCGGTGCAGCAACCTCTAAATTCGATGACGGACCTCCTTTGCGACAAGAACCCGAGCTCGACGTCCTCCTCCTGGTTTGGTTGATATATATGATACGGAGCTCCCAATAAAGGAGCAAGTATCTAAATCTACTTAACCACTTCTTTACGCATGATGATGATCTTCCCTTCCTAGCCTTTCAAAAGACATATGAGGGAAAGAAGAGTCTGCGAAGCAGCCTAGCCCACAATGCTTCTAGTCCATTGATAAGCCTCCAACCCTGTTTTGCAATCAAAGCAAGATTAAATAAGTTAAGATACCTAAAACCAAGACCACCCTCTTATTTATGGTCATTGAGAACTTCCCCTTTTCTCCATGGGATTGCTCGCTTTTTCATGGATCCCGATAGAAGAACTAGTGTATAAGGGAGTCCATTTTTTTGTGAGAGAAACCGGAAGGATAAAAACACTCATAATAAAAGTGGGAATTTCTTTTCCCATATTAGAAAGAGGAAGGCTCTTCAACCCATCATCCTTCTTCTCTGTTCTCTCAATGAGGAAAGCAAATGTCTCCTTCTTTGAACGCCCCCATTCTGTAGGCACCCCCAAATATTTATTAAGGTTGATGTGAGCCAGAAACCCAAATAGGATCTTATGTCCTCATGAGTGCTTTTAACTAAAGAACATCGAAGATTTCTCCATGTTCACTTCCTGACCCGTTATGGAAGTATAGTTGTTGACAATATTCAGAGTAGCTTTAGCTTCCTAACAATTCACTCTGCCGAACACAAATGTGTCATCTGTAAACAAACAATGGGAAATACGCAGACAACTAGGCTTGGGTTTAATACACTGAATAGATCCCTGTAACACCCCTTTTCTAACTAGTATGAGAGAGCATTGGGCATTAAAATAAATAGAAAAGGAGAGAGGGGGTCTCTTTGACGAATGCCTCTAGAAGGTGTGAAGAACTCCATTTATCCCCTATTGAGGAGGATCGAGAAGTAAACCACGTGGACACCTTCTCTGACCCAATCACACCATCTTTGGTTAAACCCATAAGCATTCATACGCAAAGCCCTAACACTTGGGCAAACCTCAAACCATAAATTCTTATCCTTTTAAATCTCCAGTCATTACTCATAATCATAAAGCAAATAACTAAAGATTACAAATGCTGCTTACTCTGATCCGTGGTCAGACATCTTCAGAAGTGCTCACGTGGTCCTCCTCTGGTAACCTGCTCTCTCACTGGATACCCCTCGACTGGATGCTCCCTGGCTCCTACTCTACGACCTGGTGAGTGGGTTGGGGTCAGTCTACGCCATTACTTAAACTTGAATCACTTACGGGTGTTCCCTTAAGTGTTCACCTTAAAACTTGTGGAAGTTGTTCATACTTCTACCCTTTAAATTTTAACCCTTAAAAGCGTGGGAGTTGTTGTTACTTGCCACTCTCAAAAATATTAAACCGTTGACCGACACTAGGATCCCTTCACTAACTAGTCCAACCGCCCAGCTCATACGTATGAGGGACAACATAGGCCTTTCCTTAAACCTTTTTATGGGAGTAATCGATTCAACCCCATAAACCTTAAGAGTATATCATACTCTTCCTTTAAACTTCATGTGATTTCTAAGTGATTCATCCACATGTTCCTTAAGAGCAAACTTGCTCTTCCTTTAACCCTTCACTAGGTTGGGGGACTGACATTAGTAAACTACCTTTAAATCTTTTCATCCTAATTTAATTAGGAGTGAAATTCCTCTTAAATGTTGATCCTTAAAGATCAAGCAACCTTCATTGAATAAACATAAATATAAAAGTTTCAAGTAAATACTGAGAGCTCAAATAATCAAATACTTCACAATCATAACTCAAATAGAGCATCTCGGATAATATCTCAAATAAAACATGCTTTATCAGTCCCGAAATAAATCAATCATTGGCATACAATTCACATAACACACATACTTTAAACTTGTAAGTCAAATACTAGGAAATACGTAAGGCGTAGAATTTACCCCCTTAAACCACTAACCTCTCAAATGACGATTCTTAGTTCCCTTGATGTGAAATCCTTAATCCGATCGCTTCATCAATCCTATAAACTGAAATCATCTTCCCTTAGTCGGTAATCCTCAGATTTAGTCCCTTTAACGTATTGGGAAAATTTCTCTCATTGATTACTTAGTCCCAAAATCCTTTAAAAATGGCCCTCAATCTCATTTAAATCATTACCTCAAAACTAAACTTTTCCTCAATCTCATTTAAATCATTACCTCAAAACTAAACTTTTCAACCATTTAATCAAGAATTAAATCATCTTAAGCAATTCAATAACTCTTAAAATCGCTCTCATAAAATCCTCATAAATTTCTCAAAATATATTTCCACTTAAGACTCCAGATTCTGACCTTGGTTAACTCAAATCATTAATCCCAATTAATAATCATAAGCCCCCCTTTTAAATAACCTCTTTTTCCTATTAAAATGAATCATATATAATTTTTAAAATGAGTCACAAAAACTAATAATTCTGATCCATAATTTTATAACATCAATAAATAATCTTAGTTTCATGGAAAATTATCAAATCGCCAAACCAACTTCGTACAGTATTTTAATTAATTAAAATCATCATTCGTTCAATTTTATAAATACAAGTACAGATCCAAAAATTCTAAATTCTATACACGAGCTGTATATTAATTTCCTAGAAATTCTAAAATTGTTAGATCATGAAAATACCTACGGGAAAGCATCGCAACTAAACGTAATCATAAAATAAATACAACTTTCGGGCCAATTTGTCAAAACTAAAAACTCAGAGGGACTAAGCTGTATGTATTGAACACTTTGGGGGACTGATATGGACATTTTCCCAGAAATCTTTAGCGACCGAATCTATTCTGTCACTAAAAGGTTGTAATTTTCGTCACCAATTTTCCAGAAAACTATAACTCGTACAAACTCATACGTAATCAGTTTCGAATGCGAGGATCGTGGTTTCCTTACCTTGTATTCGTGCCTAGACGTCGATACAAAGATGTATGGCCCTTGTTCCTTGTTTGGGTCGACATTCGATGACCCCGCGTCTTCCCCGTCAATGCTACGGTGAAAGACAGCCATGGTTAGTACTACAGAGCTTTGAAGGTTGATAAAGGTTGTGATTCCATTGTTCTTGCCTATGGTTTGAGAGACAGAGGAAGAGACTCTCGATGGAAACAGTTGCTAGTGTCGTGGTAGCTATCCGATCGACGATGATAGCGACGGGAAACTTCGTGTGGCAAGGAAAGGATGGACAAAGTTAATGGAGATGAAGGATGAGTGTTGGCATTCTTGGAGAAGCGGTAGTGATGGAGAGGGGCGATAGGTCAGGGACAAGTGAAGACTTGAAGAAGTAGCTAGTATTATATTTATGGAAGAAGATGGAGCACCGACACTCTTTTGCAGCTGCTCCATTAGAAAGCAATATCTTTTGCTATGTAGATATAATTGAGAATGGATTGCTCGTGTGTCTCTTGGGACAAGCGGATGAGAATGTAAATGCGTTGTTGGTGGGTGGGTTCAGCTGATAGTTGGCTGTGTATGGGTTTTTTTCTTTTCTTTTTATAATAGTAATTATTATTATTATTATTGATCCACTGTTTTAACCATTCGTACGTTACCGTCTATCTAATCGTTTATGAAATATGGTTGAACTCGATCCAAAACGTCGGGGTGTTACATTCTTAGTCCAGTTTTTCAGCTTGATCTCACACCTCTTCAACCTTTGACTATGAGAGCCACCAGAGGCCCAAATTCTTTGGACAATGCTATTGCATTCTTCCTTCCCAAGCCATCGTTAATCAAACCTGAAGGGAGGGCAGTTCTAAGGACCCGAAGAGTGAAGTTCCAATCTACTAGAGTGCAAAGAGCTCGATCAAGACGATCCTTAATATTTTTATTTCCTGTTCACTTATTATTCCAGGTATATTGAGGTCCGTTGAATTCATGGTCATGGATGTCATTGTAAAAAATTAAGGACTTGAAGGGCTCTACTGGTTCTCGCCAGAGTAGTGCTCCACCACACTTTTCATGATCAAACACCATTGCATTGAAATCTCCGATAATAACCCACGGTATAATAGTATCATTCCTAACAGAAGATAAAAATTCCCAAAAAAACCCCTCCTCTCACTAGGAACGGAGGGGCTTGAACAAAAGTTATAAATACCGCTACCACAATTGATAAAAACATTTATAAAATTCTGGCGGTTATCCAAAATTTGGATTGGAAACCCCACTGTCCACCACAATGCTAGATCGCCGCCAATTCCATCTGGATCAACATATGACCCTTCATGAAAATTATTAATTCTTCTTTTTTCTTCCATCTTCTCTCTTGTGTTCATAGTTTCCATGAGGAACACCAACAACAGGCGGCATTTTCTTACCATACTCTTGAGATGGTTTTCTGTTAGAGGTGGCCCAATACCTCGACAGTTTCAGCTCAAACAACTAATCTCTCACTTGGTGGCTTACTATAGGCCACCTGCGCTTCAGAATTGACATTTAGTTGCTATCGTTTTGGTAAAAATTTGTTTGTTGAGGGAGGAACTAGGCAGGGGATTTTGGAGGCTTAAGATGTTTGGGTTAGGATAGAAGAGATTTTGCTAGTTTTGGGGTAGGGCTTGAACATGGGTCGGCCCATTCTAGAGGAGGAGTTGGTTTTCAGTCCAAGTGGTAGTCTCAAGCTCAGGAGTAAGATACATGCAAGTGAAGGAGAAAATGACGATAAAAAATATTGGTGAGAGGAGAGAAAATCACTAGGGCCCTATATGGGACCATGTTCCTGGTTAGAGAAGGAGAATGGTAAAATTGAGAAATAGAGCTTGTAGCAGATCTTGGGCTTGAGACCAATTGTGTCGTAGGATACGGAAGAGGAGTGACCCAAGGAGGGCCTCGAATTTCATTCCCTAAGTTGTTGTCAGTACCTAAGAAAGATGGAGTTACCGGAGTGTCATTGTGTGTGCTGCCCGTCGCCGGAGATGTTCCTCCCAGGACCCAAATCCAGCTCTGGTTAAAACCTGGCAAATTAGTGCTAGAGTTTGCATCGCCTGGAGATTGGTGGATGATACGACCCCTTGGCAGAGGAGGTGGTCGGGGGCATTTGTTCCAGCCTTCATCCACTGGGTGTACCTTCCCACTAGCAGCCCTGGGATTTTATCCTCTTCATCAGCCTTCTTCCATTGGCACTCCTCCTTGCAATGGCCTTGCCTCTCAGAGTAGTAACATAACAGATAGAGTTTCTCATACCTGAATCCAAGCCAGTACCTCACCCCGTTGGTGGAGTAGTACGATCTCGGAGGCAGGGGGCGAGTGAGATCAACTTAGATGAAGACTCTTATAAATTCCATGAACTTTTCTGGATTAAGGCCTCTCATATCAACAACATGCATCTTGGTAACATATCAACATCTGATTCCACATTGGAGGTTGTTCTATTATGGTCTTGAATGTCGTGGATTTGGATCCAAAAATATGCCAGGTTAAAGTTGAGATCTAGAGGCCTGATGGAGTCTTCTCACTGCTTCATTTGGAGGAGATTCCCAGACAGAGGCCATGGTCTGCCCTTCCAAGCCTTAGTATCACTTCCCTACGGTTGAAGAAGAAGAAGATGTTCTTTATCTTTGAAATCTCATGGAAAGTTGGTTCACAAAGTGTTACCAATCTCATGAAATCTCATGGAAAGTTGGTTCATAAAACCTTCCCCACTAAGCGCAAATATTGTGTCCCCTGATTCTGAGGTATTTTATCGGAAAAAACCTCTTCGTGATATTCTTATTCCCCAAGTCGGTTTTGGCCACCCAAATTAGGCATATCAGGTCGATTGGTTTTCACATTATGTGGGAGGGTTTTTTTGGTTCAGAGAAGGGGGTGGCTTTTTGGGTGAACTTGTTCCTAGTTTTGGTACTTAATAAAAATATGGTGCTAGAGGCCGTCATGTACAACAAATTAATGGCTTAGGGTAGACAGTTGGGGAGTTGAGTTGATAGAACAAGAAGGCTTTTACTTCATCTCTGCTTGCATATCTGCAATCTTTTTAAGCTCGAGGTACATTTTGAGGAGGGGAGATTTCTTCTTCCGTTTTGGGCTGAACAGGTTTTTATGTCCTCTCTTGTGATTGACAAGGGGAGAAATTTATATTCTTTTAAGGTATATGGCCTTGAATGCGGAAGGGAGACGAGAGATTTTGGGTGGTTGGGGGATTTGAATGCAGTTGAAGAGAATTTTCTTTTTGTTGATCCTCTGTCGTGAAGACGTCTGGACTCTGTATAAAGGGAGTGTAGAGGTGAGCCTTTAGTCTTTATGGGATTCTTGGTAGCTAAACCATCATTTAAGACATCACTCTTCTTCTCCATTAGTTGATCTAAAGAAGATCAAAAAACCCCTTCAAAGAAGGACACATCTGATAAACCATATCTAAGATTTGAAAATTGGAAAGAAGAGAGAAAGTAGCTCATAGGCCAATAGATCCATTCAATTAAAAAAAAAAGAATTTGGACCTAAGTCCATAGGCCAATAGATCCTTAACATATAAAAGTAGCTCATTTCGAACGATTCAGCGAGGGTTGCACACTTGCACTAATCATGACTAGGGGTGTGCACCGATTTGGTCCTTACATAACCATATCAGACCAAATCATGGATTGGACCAAACTGAACCGAATATAATGTGGTTTGGTCATTGGTTCCTTGAATTTTTTAAATACTGAAGTCAAATGGACCAAATTGACATTTAAATTGGACCAAACCAAAGCATACAAATTTAAACCGATTGCAATGATGGTCATATCCTTGGTTCTAAATGTCTTTCACTATTGGACTGTAGTTCTCATGAGTTTGCTTCATTTCGGACCAGAACGGACCGTTGCACACCCCTAATCATGATAGTGGGTCTGGTACTTGTTAGATTAGATAATGCTATTTTGAGACACAAGTTATGGATAGTGATGACAATTTATGACCTAACATGTACGTCTAGACTTACCCCGACCTGTTTGGACAGGTATTGCCTGACCCGTAGTAGCGTGGGATGCAGTCTAGGTATTGTTTCAGACTGCTCCCACTCCGTTCTCGACTCGTTTTATCATAATTTTTATCAATATCTACATGTATTTATCTTCTTTTGATTTTTCTAAAATCATATTTTCATCCCAAATAAATTTTAAAGCTTTATCTTCAGCTATTTAGACTCAATTATTCATTATACTCTATTTCTCATTCATTTATGAAGTGTTTTCTCTAAAATCCTATTTCCATCCCAAATAAATTGTAAATTTTTACCTTCAACTATTTAGACTCAATTATTCAATATACGTACCATTGATTTTTTTGGATAGGTCGGTCAATTGGAGTTGGAGTATCTCGAAAGAAGGAATGTCATTCTAAAAAAATGATTGAAATTGGAGATCAGTAATTATAAAAGAAAAATGGAAACCAATAAGATTTCATGACACATCCTACAATACTTCATCATTTCAAGTGTGCATAAACACCATGAAGATTTTAACTCTAAATTTGATAAATGTCATTTATAAATCTTTAAAAAAAATTGTCATGAGATCATTGGAATCACCCAGGTCAACCACATACAAACACTCATATAATTGACGATAACCAATTACGAAAATCAAACCCACCCACATTAGTATGGAACAAAGAAAGGGCTTTCTTAGTCACCAATTGAATTACCCTATTGTTATCCCTACCTAAAAACTGAAACTAAAAACACATAATAGCATCCACTAGTTGTACTAGTTCCTATAGATTGACCCTCCGCAACTATCCCTCCAACTCAATTCACGAACCTTATCAATGATAGTTTTAGCGTGTCGTTGCACCACCACCTCCTGCAAACCAAGCGGCCCACATCAGCGACACGCATCTTCTACCGCCAATAGTTCAGGCATGAAAGGCTCCTGGATCCCAGGGTACTGACACATAACCACCATCATTAGACTCCCCGACATGTCCATCAGCACTATTCCCGCCACCGCTTGGATCCTACGGTATTGACACATAACCACCATCATTAGAATCCCTGACATGTCCATCGGCACTTTTTCGCCACCGCATGAGATCCAATAGAAATTGAATCATCAGCTGCATAGACAAACAATCGATCCTGCTCCTGCTCCACCCTGTTGACCTAAGTGTGCTCCCTACCACCGACGGCTACTACCAATGGTCACAAGGCCACCCATTATTCAACTTAGACACGATACTACCAAACTAGACATGAAATTATGATATGCTTATCCTCATTAACCATCCAATTTCTTGACTTCCAAATAATTTTTAATAGGGTTACAACTCGCACCACATGCTCATGCGAGGAGTCACGTTCAATTAATTAATGGAAAACATACCCAAATTCCTAAACTCTAAACCCCGCATACTTGACCTCAAGCCTCCCATAATGATATCGCCACCGGGCACTCTAAGAAGAGATGCTCAAACGTTTCTGATTCAACCCAACACACAGGACACCTAGTCGTTCACTGAACACCTTGAAGTGACCTCCATGAGAGGTAAAATGTGTTATAGGACCTGCCACTCAAAAAAACTCATCTTTGATGGGATATGGAAGGCCCACACCTGTCTCCAAAATCGATAACCTAAATAGAAACCTCTTATTTACAACGAGCCCAACTCTGATATCGTCGCATTGTCAGGTGATACCTCGATTTGACATAATAGATTCCCGATGAATCTTCATGTCAAATTGTTTTGTCAGCCATCAACGCACAAGGTATAGAAATTGCCAAAATTACCTTAGCAATAATATCTAGAAAACTAGCTGATAGACACTCTTCACACCATGCCCCTACATCCCGATCAATTAGAAAGGGACCTCCTTTCTCACCCATCAATGACACATAATCAAGTGGTATTGGCAGATTAGGATGAAGCTCGGGAACCCAATCAATCCATCAATACACTTACCCTAACCAACTAGCCAGCATAGCCCAACAAGAAGCAAAAACCTACCATGCATCACACTATGTCGATCCCATGAGGGTCAGGACCCCCTTTGGGCATCCAGGTTGAGCCGTTAGGTAAACATTTTCCTCTGTAAATACATGCTAGAAGAGATTCGGGCTCTGCATAATAGGTCATCCAAAATTTCCTAACATAGTCTGATTAAACTGCTCAAACCGGCAGAAGCTTAGTCCCCTATTCTCCTTACTCCTTCTCAATGAGCTGCAAGAAGCCCATCGATCACCTCATCTCCCACCAAAATCGTGCCATGTACTTGTCCAGTTCACGACACAAGGTAGCCGATAACTGAAAACAAGACATGACATGCACCAACAATGTCGCGATAACATATTTAACAACAGTTCCCTTTGCCGCCCATGATCAGTGATGTTTCCATCTTTGTAGATTCTCTAGGAGCTTCTCCTCTAAGTAACTTGCTAGGAAATGTACCCCAACAATCCAAATAAACTTTTCCTTCAATATCAATATCTAAAATGCCATATATCTTCTTAAAAGAATTTTGCAATAGCATAACAATTCAAACACGTCTTAAACAACAACACATATTTTATCGGATAGATCCACCCATGAGTTTGATACATGCATTTAGGTCCTCTCCCTAAAATAAGCATGCAAATGGCTTAGTCCATTTGTGCTCCTCTCCAATAAGTCGATCGGATTACCGAAATCAATGGAACCAACTTGGAGCCTCACCATCAAAATTCCCACATGCAATTTCGAATCGTTCATTTTTTTGTGTTTTTTCACAAACCCTCTCCTCCTCCTTCGTTCAACCACACGCTACCTCCTTAGATTTCTCTCCACCTTTTTCTTCTTCTTACCCCAATCGGCATTCTTTCACATACTTTCGTCTCAATTCATTATTGCATTTTCACATCCTTCTCTTCTTCTAGTTTTTCATTTTGGTTTGGTTTTGGTTGGATTGTCGACGTTATCATGTCAACAAGTGGTGGCGGCAACCAATTGATATCTGTTCATCCCGATGAGCTCAGGTTTATATGTAAGTACTCGAACTTGGATTCGATTTTATGATTTATTGGGTGGGCAATTCCTTTCTCAGGAAACATTTTTCTGTTTTTACTAACATCGTTATAATGATAACTAAATATTCTTCTTTTGAACTAAGCCTAATTTGAACTTAAAAAAAGTTCCAACCTTTTGACAATTTGATATATTCAATAAAGCATGAATCATGATCACATTCCAAAAATTTATTCTGAATTGAGGATGCGACGATGATTATGGGAAAGTTGAGCACATCGATATATTGTTGGAGTAGTCTATTTGATTCAATTGTGGAATCTTAAGCGACATTTAGACAAAGTTTTGCACCGTTCAATCAAATTCTTAATTGTGGAGTCTATTTGATTATATAATGTTGCTTGTTATAATTCACTAATCTTATAATTCATGTTGGTGGTGAAATTAGTTGAATTGGAAAAGCAGAGCTTTTGTGATCTTAAAGTTGTGAACAACACAGAGAATCATGTTGCTTTTAAGGTAAATTTTATCCATAGAGAGAAAAAAAAAACTAACAAGAATTGATGTTATTGGTTGTTCTGTTATGGTTGAATGACTCTCTACTTGATCTAAAACTATGTCTCCTTTCTTCCCAATAGGTCAAAACTACATCACCTAAGAAGTACTTTGTAAGGCCAAATTCTGGAGTTATACAGCCTTGGGACTCTTGTATCATCAGAGGTGCAAATTCCAATCTCTTGTTCAGTTTGTGTATGATTACTATTACTCATAGTTCAATGGTCAATCGTTACCGTTGGATACATTTACAAAAATTTAACCCAAACCACAAATACAACTCAAACTCATCTTGTTAAATCCGATCAGTACCTTTAGTAACCTGGGGACTCGCTAACTCGACCTATACCATACTTCATTGTTCTTATATGGTTCATTGCAGTTACTTTGCAAGCACAGAAAGAATGCCCTCCAGATATGCAATGCAAAGATAAATTCTTGTTGCAAAGCACAACAGTGCCTCAGCATACTGATGTAGATGACCTACCTGCAGATATAGTAAGACTCTAATTTTAATATGAAACATTAGGGGCTGGGATAAATAAATTATTGTTTTTTTCTTTGTGCACATTTGTTTTAGTTATAATATATTTGCCATTGCCAGTTCACCAAAGAAAGCAATGGGAAGGTGGAGGAGTGCAAGCTAAGAGTTCTATACATTCCTCCCTCCTCAGCTCAAGGGAATGGAGAAGAAGATGGTCTCACAAGCTGTAGGCAGAGCTTCGATGGCAATGTAGTGAGTTCATTTCTTGATCACGTTTTGATGTTAGTCAGAGATAGGCATGGTCTCCTCTGGTCCAGAATCGAGGAGTGTCAAAAATCGATCAGGCCCCAAAATAAAGGGGAAACTAGGGTCAAAATCGACTAACTGTGCATTTGGGTCTGATTTAGTTCGGAGGACATTGCATTTCGGTTCACTCCTCTCCTCTGGTTTAAGATAATTCGTGAAACTGAATATAAGGATTTCCTACGGTAACTTGAATTTTTTAACCTAGAGCAGGTTTCACAGGTCGCATTACATAAAATACAATAGATATTACCTAATAGTTACGTAATGTATTACGTAACAGTTGTAAAAAGTTATTACGAAAGCCTTCGTAATGGAATGTTAATTTATACGTAATGAATATTAACATTGCATTACGTAAGATATATAATCATTACGGAAGTCTTACGTAATGCTGTTGATTTAACTGTTACGTAAGAAATAACTATCAATCGTGACCTTCACTTAATGGAATGTCCTTTTACGTAATGAGTATTAACCTCGTATTACGCAAAGTGATAAGTCATTACGGAAGTTTTACGTAACACTTCCGATTTTAAATATTACGTAAGAAATAACTATCTTTATGTAACCTTTTATGTAATGGAAGTGTATTTTACATAACAGTTGCAAAATGTCATTATGAAAGCCTTACGTAATTGAAGGTCATTTTACATAATGAGTATTAACCTCATGTTATGTAAAGTGCTAAGTCATTACGAAAGCCTTATGTTATGCTTCCGATTTAACAGTTACGTAAGAAATAACTATTGTTCCGTAACCTTTATGTAACGAATGTGTATTTTAGGTAACAGTTGTAAAATGTTATTACAAATGCTTTACATAATGGTCGGTCCTTTTACGTATTGAGTATTAACCTTGAGTTACGTAAAGTGCTAAGTCATTACAGAAGCCCTACATAATGCTTCTGGTTTAACTGTTATGTAAGAAATAACTATCATTCCGTAACCTTTAACCTTTACGTACTGGGTGTATATTTTACGTAACAGCTATGAAATGTTATGTAAATTTAAAAAAATTTATATAAATGACAAATATCAATAATGATATTTTTAGTAAATATTTGAAAATAAATGAAATGACACCAAATCTTTCACAAATTTATTATTCAAAATATTATGTATTCATTTTGGTAAAGTTATTTCCAAAAAAAAAACATAAAACCCCTTCCGTTATCATTGGCCCAGCTCGATTGATGGAAAATTGACAAAGTGCACGGGCAGCTCCGGTAGCACTATTTTGTTTTTTGTTTTTGTTTTTTATTCAATGGTCTAAAGTAAAATGGTATAAAGTAAATTTAATGTATTTAACCCTGTTTAAATATATACAAGTTATCTAAACAAGACATCCCTTCAATTTTTTCGCCCCTAATATGTTACACTATGTTTTTTAAAGAGAGAAATGGAGGGGAAGGGAAAGTGAGGAAGGAAAGTCGGATTCTCAATGAATTTTCCATTGTTTTTTAAGGAAGGAAAGTATGGAAGGAGGGAAAACTTTCCACCTTTTGTACTATTGAACCCTTCCCTCCAATTTGAAGAGAAAGGAGTGGGACACATATGTGGTTCTTTCTATTTTAATATTTTTAATAATTAAGTCTATTAAATACTTATTTTTAAATGCTTATATTTTATGAACTTCCATCTCTCTCTCCCACACAAAATAACATTGATTATTATTTCAATTACTATCGTAGCATATTGTCCGTCATATTATAAAAATCGTCTATCATCATCCAAGTAGATATGGTATATTTGATGGTCATATGTTCATGGTAATAAAATATACCATAATTGTAGAAGATAAAAAACGACTCAAATAGGTCGGACCCCAATCAGACCAATAAACTTCAAACTATTTATTTGATCGATTCTATGACTTAAACCGGTTTGACAATCTTGTTATTCATAAGTAATGAAACTAACATTAACACATAATTAAACTATTTTACAATTTCATAACCAATAAAATAACATATCTATCACACTTCCCAATATACTTTTCCCTCTCACTTTTCCTCATACTTTCCTTCGTAAAACAACATTTTCTCTCCACTCCAAATTTTCTCTCACCTCCTTTTCCTTTCCATTTTCTTTTCCCTCCATTTTCCTCCCTTCCTTTGTGAACAGAGTGATTATCTCTTTTTGTTGTTATATTTGCATTTCATAATTGATTTTCATAATATGTGTTTCACCAGGCTTTGCAAAGACTAAAAGACGAAAGGGATGCTGTTGTAAGTAAGACACAACAGCTGCAACAAGAACTAGTGAGTTCCCATTTGTCATTTGCAACTTACTTAATGAGATTGAGAAATGCACATCTAGGTTACATAGTACTTTTTGAGATATTTGTATGTGTTGAGTAGAAGGATCGTTCATTTTAATATCACCTTTTTAATAAGAGATTCAATAGCATTTATGCGATACTCAATGTTGTCTTAGATATCATAAATGTGGAAATCGAAAGAAGATGTGTATTCTAAAAAAATAATTGTTCAATTGTTTGTTTTAGGATTTATTGAAGCGTCGAAAATATCGAGAAAAAGGCCCAGGATTCTCTATCACATTTGCATTGGTCGCTGGGCTTATCGGCATCATCCTTGGCGTATTGATCAAACTTTGGCTTTCTTCTCCATCGGCCATAGAAAATAAAGAAGTTTTGACAGAGATTTTGACGCCACCGCCAGAATTATAAGTATTTTCTTTCAGTTCCCCATAACCTTACATTCAATTTGTTAGCCCTACATTCGATTTTGTTTTATATGTTTGAAAGAAGAAAGATGATGGACAGACCCTTCTACTTCGTTTTCGATTCCATTTTTTGTATTTTTATTTGTATATCAATGGTCGTAAAGACCTAAAAAAAGTATATGATCTTTTTTATTGTTGGTAAAACATTACCAATATTTAGCATAGTAACTCTTACAATTATTGCTTCCCATATTCATTGGAGAAACACAATAGTGCAGAATTATCATAATTGTTTAGATCATTTGCAAGATTAAGGACTCATCTGGCTCTTACGCAAACTTCAAGAACTTCTAGAGCTAAAACATGGAGTTTTAGGACTGAAATAGGCATTTTCGCCACAAGTGAAAAATGATGGGGATTGCTATTCGTCGCCCTAAAAATCGTTATTCGTCGCCCTAATTATATTAAATTTACTTTAATGCCCTTAGTTTATTTTTGTTTTTCAAACACTTAAACTCTAAAACAAACTAAAAACAAACTAGTCGCCGCCGGCCGGAGCTGGCCACCTCATCGAAGGCCTAACCATCGTTATTATCACCATAGGAAGAAGAAGAGCAGAAGGTAATCACATATTACTTTATTAAATAAATTACACAATTTATTTAATTATAATTACATTAATAATCAATATTAATTAAAAAATAATACATACGAGTGCTCAAACGCGCCTAGACACGTCGCCGGCGGGATGAGGACAACAACCATGAAAAAGCAGCCTTCCTTCTTCTTCGCCCTCCTTCCTCCTGGTCGCCAGCAACCATGAAAAGCAGCGGTGGCGGGGAGCAATTCTTGCGGTAGCAACTGTAATGGGGAGCGACTCCTGGCAGCAGCAGCGGCTGCGGGGAGCGAATCCGGCAGCAGGTCAACGCTACAGGAACAGTTCTTTGGGCGGCGGTTTTTCTCTGGTTTGGGATGGGGGACGGATTGTTTGCTAGGGTTTAGTTAGGCTTTGAAGTTAGGGATATATGTGTCAATTCAGTGTGGTTTAGGACGATTTTTTTGAATTTTAGGGCGATGATTAGCAATTTGGTATTGGCGGGAAACTAGCACGCTCCAAGTCTAAAAAAGAAACAGGCAAAATCTCCTAAAACCCGCGCCCTTCCCAAATCGCTATCCCGCTCCTCTCTCCCCCTCGATCTCCATCTGCAAACTTGGAGAGAAACCAGTGGATCTCCTGCTCCGCCGCCGTTAAGGTGCCATTTCTCTCCGCCAAACTCGCTATGCGAACTCACTCACCCGCCGCCGGACACCAACTCGCCCTACGCGACTCGCTCTCCGTCGTCACCAGCACCGCCGCCGCGGGCTCTGATTCTCAGAAGGCATGGTATCTTCTATATCTCGTCATATCCATCGGCCGGCCGGCGACGATTCTCGAGCTAGTCTCCCGCTGCGTTCCGTTCAGAGCGACGCCCGATCTCGTCCGCAGTCTTTGCTCGCTCCTGAGCTCCCCAATCGCGTTAACCTGCAGCGGCAGAAATGGCGCCTGCGTTACTGCTTCTATGCTCGGTTGGGAGACGATTAGAAAGTTAGTGTCCAATTCCGAATCGATTCACCGGTTTCTGATATGGATTGGCCAGGGATTGGGCCTCGATTTAGCCGGAGGAGCGCCGCCGCTTCAAGTTTCAGTGAGGATGTACTTTAATAAAAGGAAACGAATCGGATTCGTCCGTCAAGAAGAAGGTGAAATTTCTTCGCCAGTGCCGCCATTTCATTTCTTGATAAATTTCGATTTATTCTGCGTCTGTTCCTTTTATGTCCTTTTGCCCTAATTTTCGTCCTTCATTGACCGCTTGCAGTGGAGAATGAAGATCCAAATGTTTCTCGTCCTCTCAAAAGAACTCGTACTGCTGCATTAGAGGTATTCCCGCTCTATTTTTTAACTGCATTCAGAGCTAAGACATGTCCATTAGTAGTATGAAAATGAGTTTAGTCCACTTTCTTAGAGCTAGTTGAATTCTTTAAAATTTCAGGTTCCTTTCTCTATTGTTGAGAAAGGCCTTTGGGATGCAGGATCTTTGTCGAAACTAATGGAAATTAGGTTAAATAATTTGGCCCTTCTTCCAGAATGCTTCCCAGAAACCATAGTAAGTAGATTAGGTTTTAGACAGATAGAAGATGAGCATGATTCAACTGCAATATTAGAGGGGGATGAGCAGAAAACAGTCTCTAATGCTGATGTTTCCGAGGAGCTTGGTGATCAAGAAGTGAAAAGTGATGATCTTATGGAAGTCATGCTGAGCAATATGGCTTTGATTCCGGAATGGTCTCCGGAAATTGTTCTCAGTAAATTAGATTTTAGACCGGATGATGTGAAGCAGATAGAAGATGAGTGTGTTTCGAATGCAATATTGGAAGTGGAGCACAAACCGGTCAGTTCTGATGGGCTTGTGGACACCATGCTAAATGATAGGGTTCTCATTCCAGAATGCTTGCTCAAAACGGTTGACAGCAGTTTAGATTCTAGACCTAAGGATGTCAATCAGATAGAAGATGATCCTATTCCAACTGCAATAGCCGAAAGGAAGGAGCATAAAACAGTTGATTCTGCTGAGATAGTTGATAATCATGAAGCAGACCTTTGTGGTATGCCAACTGAAAATGGCTGTGAAGAAAAGAAGATGGAGCCATCTTCAAACAAAGAACTAGCTACCATTGTTGGTGGCATTCAAACAGAAGTTGGACCAAGCAATGCAACACTAAAACCTGTCATTCATGGCATGCCAATTGAAGATGGCTGTGAGGAAAAGAAGGTGCAGGAATCTTCGGAAAAAAAGCTAGTTACTACTGATGCAAATAAAGAGAATTGCTTGAAGACACTTGACATATTTGTTACCGATAAACACTTGCAGAAGTCCTCTGCCAAGACAAGGTTTGCAAAGGGAAATGGAATGTCTCCAAGACATCAAGCTCTCTGCAAGTCCATTGATAGAAACAAACCCAAGAGCCCTGTCAAAAGGCAGCAGGGAAATGACCACCACATAAGAGATTCCATGCCCCAAAGTTCAAAGCGGAAACATTATGTGCAAGCAAAAGAAGGAAGGAAGGATGCTGCTGCTGTCACTTCCAATGTAAGCTCTAATACAGAAAGCCGCATAAATACGTGTAGTTGTAGGTTTAGTCATTACACTGGCGTATTATCTAGGAGGTGATCCTACAAAGTTGTGCTATTAGTTGACTAGAATTCTTCTTTGTTTTTAGAATCAAGTCGAACCGAAAGGCCTACCTACCTTTGAATCCTACATTGTTGATGCGGAGGAAGGTTCAGGTATTAAATTTTTTCTTCCTGGCCTCAATTTCTCTTTCTAGCCACAATCTTTTGTATTGGATTGCTAATTTGGAAATCCAAACTTCCAGGTGGCTATGGCACTGTATATAGGGCAAGGAGGAAAGACGATGGAGGGACGGTGGCCATTAAATGTAAGTGCATATAGATTATGCTCTTTTTCTAATGCCCCTTCCTGGTTTTGTCTTCGGTTCTAATCATCTATATATGCAGTCCCTCATGTAAATGCACATAAACAGCATGTTACTAATGAGCAAAGGATGCTAGAGAGGTTTGGGTAAGGCTTTGACAAAAGCTCCATATAAGAAAAGACCATGCCCTTCAATTTACTTGTCTCTTTAATTTCCTATCGCATGCATATATTCAGGGGTAGAAACTATATCATAAGATATGAAGGCCATTTCAAGAGCGAAAATTCTTTGTGTTTTGTTCTGGAGCACGTTGAGCATGATAAACCTGAGGTATTGAAGAAGGAAATAGATACAGTTCAGATAAGGTGGTACGCCTATTGCCTTTTCAGATCACTTTCCAGTCTTCATAAGCAGGCAAGAGAGCTTCCGTAATACTCCTGAATTTAATCTTTGGTTCTTTACTGCTGTCAAAGACCCCCGTTTTTACAAACGGTGTGACTGTTTTGCAGGGGATTGTCCATAGAGATGTCAAACCTGGCAACTTCCTTTTCTCTCGCAAAGCTAATAAGGGTTATCTCATTGATTTCAACCTTGCCTTGGTTAGTCATACTAGTCTTTGTTATGTTTTATCTGTCCGACGATGTGTTCCATTTGAAATGGTACTTATAGTTTCTTCCTTTTCATGGCAGGATCTGCACCAGAAGTATGGAGCGACTAGTAAGTTCCCCCAGAAATCACGTGATATGATATTATCACTAGTATATTTGCCATGTTTCGCCTAATTCATGAGTTTTATTTTTCTTTCTATTCTATACATTCTGTTAAACACAACAGAAAATGCACTAAATCGAAACGGGATTGAACTAAATCAAATGGAATGCAATTGTGATCCTATTATGCGTTAATGATCCTAAAATTTCCTTTATTTTCACTCCGACCTACCTGGACCATGCCTATGTATAGTTGTGTACTCTGAATTCAGAGCAAGTGAGTTTGATCTAACAATACAAGCTTACCAAGATAGTGTAATCATAGATTCATAGTATTAATACCATCTCTTAAAATTGTAATTCATGAAGCTCCTCTTTGGACCCTGCAGACAAATTCAGAACTGGGACTGACAAAACCTTCAGTGACGCAATGCTAAACAAGTCCAGACCTTTTCAACCTGTCAAAGCTGGTAGGACTCAGAACCCGAAGTCTTTGGATGTAGTCAGTCATGAAGAAGCTAAAGGCTCAAAGAACTGGAAAAGGAAGGATGGTAACGCTTTGAAAGCTCAGAATGACACGCGTGGATGGAATCTCACACAAAGTCAAGGAGCAGAAGCCTCAGGAGTAACCTCCCTAAAAGACTTGACCTGTAATATGGCTCCTTCAGCCGAAAGGCTAAGAGAGCCTTTACCAAGCCATGGCAGGAAGGCGCTCCTGAGTTTGTTGCAGGAAACAATGAACTCCCCGAATCACGAAGCATCCAGCACTCCATCTTCTATGAGGAAGAGGGTTGCAGCTCCTCCTTCTAAGGTCGATGGAAGACTTATTTATGTCTCTCCAATGCCTTTGCAGCCTTATGGGATGACTGCCACACTTCATGGCTTGACCAAGAGCAAAGGTGAGTAATCCTCATGCAGTTCGGGCTGCCAAAAGCTTTTTTCCCTTTACCTCAGTTAATAATATATAATATATGCTCTTTTTATTGATTATTAGATGGGAAGTTGAAGAAAGAAGGCCCTTGTATGGGAACAAAAGGCTTCCGTGCTCCAGAGGTGAGAGCTAACTAGCCAAGTTGATTAATCTAACAATGAATGTAGTTAATTACAATGCGATTTATTGAACAATTTGAACCCTCATGTCGAAATGGTGTTGATGCAGGTGTTGTTGAGATCACAGTATCAAGGTCCCAAGGTTGATTCTTGGTCAGCGGGGGTAACCTTACTGTATCTAATGATAGGAAGAACACCTTTCTGTGGTGAACCTGAGCAGTAGGTTTCAGAGACTTTATTGAATATATCTAAATCTTTCACTTTACCTTATGCTGATCAATTGCTGCTTTTCAGGAACATAAAAGAGATAGCAAAGTTGAGGGGCAGTGAAGATCTCTGGGAAGTTGCTAAGTTACATGACCGTGAATCCTCATTTCCACCGGTATGTAAAACCAAAATCTTTATACAACTTCTAACTTGAAATGTCGGGCCAAAGTTAGGGGAGGGGAATAGTTCGGTTCATTCTCTCCAGTGAAAACTTGTCCAAACTGTGGAAAATTCTCGAAGTTATCGATTGGTCCATTGCTATTTTACCTGCAGGAACTGTACAACAATCAATCCCTGCAGTCCCTACCACTTCGGGAATGGTGCAAGATCAATACAAAACGACGTGGCTTCCTTGATCAGGTGCCTACTTCTCTAATCGACCTCGTCGACAAGTGCTTAACTGTAAACCCAAGGTCCAGAATCAGTTGTGATGACGCTTTGAAGCATGAGTTTTTCGCTCCATTGCACGAGATGATTAAGAAGCACAAGCTGGCTCGCCAGGGTGGTTCGACCCTTGTGGCTGACTCAGGCACCATCAGGGTTCCTTTGAATCAATGAAACTCGGGTAAGCCCTCAGCCAGTCTTGTTTGATCAGCAAGCTGCTGCACGACCGTAGATTCTCAACCTGTCGGGTTATTGTTAGGTTAGCTGGCTCCCTAACCCATATCACCATGAAGCTTCTAATTGACTGAAATATATTGTAAAGTGCCTTCACTTACATGTAAGCCTTCTTAGAGTCGGAACTTTTAATCTGATCTTTGTCAGGAAAAGTGACGAAGCTTCATATGTAGCATTGTGGTTGTAATTGTAGTTGTAAACTCCATCTTTCATCTCTTTAGATTTTGCTAATTCGATCTGAATTTGACTCGTCAGGGGTGACGACCTTTAACTACTTGATCCATCTTGATCAACGGTCTGATATAACTTGGTAACAATTTTCATTACTGAAATTTGTCTCAGACAGCTTGTTTACAAAATAAGGTTTTGATAATAAATATAGGATCAAAGATGATGGAAGGAGTAAGTTCATCCTACACAAAACATGGCTTTAGCTCTCCCCTGCAATCTTACTTTGCTCCCACCCGCTACCTAATCCAGGTTATGCGACTGAAAAACCTAATGTTGCTAAAAACACTGCTCCATGTTGGAGAGCTGTGGTCCACAAGATTCAAACACAACAGCTGTTTGCTAACTATCTAGTAGGGATGCTTTATTTTGCTCTCTTTTGGTCCGAAACACGGGCTCCAGCAATCTTCACAACTGGCTGTTCTTCCTGCATTATGGGCTTCAATGCTGGATGAACTTTGAGATCACCCACCAGTAATTTTTCGCCAACATCCAATTCGCTCAGGTCTACTTCGATATATGGTGGGATAATATCTGGTGGGCAGAGGAACTTCACCGTCCTCTTAATCACATTCAGGTATGAACCTGTTTCAGAGTGTTCCAGAAAACAATGCACATCAGCAAAGAAATAACACGCACGGAAGAAGAAAGAAAAAATTCAACCAAAGCAGTGCCGATTCCAACTTCTAGTTATGCCAAGTATATTTAACCATGAAGTATGTAGCGATAGAAAACTGATACAAGCTAAAAGCTGAGCACAGCAATACACATCTCGTCGTTCAAAAATGCATGGAGCAACTACATATTCCCAGTGCATGATATCCCTTTGATTTTGATGCATGGAACGAATGGGGGAAAGAAAATCTGTGGTTGAAAGTCCTCTTAACCCTCCGATAATTTTTTTTTAAAACTCAGACTTCGACTGTGTATATATGTAATGGCACTCAATACTCTGACTTCTGTGTTCTACCAAGATCATCCAAATTGGACATAACAAAAACCTCACTTTCAAAAAATTACCATAAACTCTTTGGATGTCAAATAGCAAAGAGGCAACGGAACACTTATCAGTTCTCAAATCAGAATCCAGGTATTGTTAAGTCAGCTATATAAGGATCCGTGAAGGTCAAAGCTTGAAATCAATTATATATTGAATGGAGTAGATGATTTCTTCACAAATGAGAGGAGCTTGCAACAATAGATAAGGTTCAGAGCAAAAGTACGATGCAAACAAAGCACAGTCTAAAAAGATCTCCAAACAATCACAGTCATCCACAGCTTGACTCCAAATCGAACACTCTCATATAACATAACTTCTCTCAAGTCTCAATAGATACACAAGCGAACTACACTATACATAAAATTGAAGAAACTAAACTACAAAATTTACTATTCTAAAACTCATTGACCGTGAAAGTAAAAGCTAATGCAGAAAACTGGTTCCATTCATGGATGACTTGGTATAATTGAAAACATCCTATATCAAATCAATCTCAAAATCAAACAGGTGACCATTCATTCAACACACTTAAAAAAATGCAAAGGCAAAAGTGGGCAAGTAGAGATTTAAAACAAATCTAATGCGAAATTATGATGTTGCTGAAAGAACTTCATTTAAGCTAAAGTAGAAAAACACTAACACCTCTACAAATTAACCAAGTAGTCATATACTAATTCCCAACACGAGAAAGAACACAATCCCACTGAAAGCTGTCAAGATAACATCAGCAAACTCAAGCAACCATTAAAAAAATCAAATAAAGCCCTTCAATCATGATCTTCAAAAGGAATCAGTGGCTAACCTTTCCTCAGACCAGGAGAGACGTCGTCGCCTATAAACACCAGAGGAATATCAACTTTCAACAGAGCCTCAGGAGGTGCCCTTATGAAGGTAACGTTGAGGGGAACATCAGTTCCAGAGTGCAAATGAAGCTGCCAAACAAACAAAAGCAGGAAAATATTGATTCACTTCCTCTCAAACATCAATTCAGTTTAACAAACATTCACCCAAATGCCCCCATTAACATACCAATCTCGGCAAGACGCGGACTTTCTCAATAATCTCCTCCTCCTTCGCAAAATCGGTCCTGACCTCGAGATCGAAAAGCCTCGACAAGAAGAACGACCTCCCAACCTTATCTACCAGATTCCTGATGCGATTCGACTGCACCGAGATCAACCGCTTATTACCACCATGCTGCCCGTCTTCCTGCTCGAAGATGATAGCGGGCACCCTCCCGACTTTCCTCTCCTTGGCGGAAATGTTCTTCCCGGAAGAAGCTCGAGGGATGGCGAGAATCTGCTCGGCGGGGCCGGGCTTCGGGAACCCTTCGAGGTAGGTGATTGGTGCTTGGATTGCTGGCTCTTCGATGATGGCGGCGGCCGACTGAGAGAAGAAGCGGTAGTGGAGGGTTTTCGCGAGGGCGCTGCGATGGAGTCTATACATTGTGCAATTGGAGAGGAGGAGGAAGGGATGAAGGACGGCGAAGGGTTTAACGAGAGGGTTTTTCGGGGTTTTGGCAGCTAGGGATTAGTGCTGGCTATTTGGTCTGGGTTTTTTGGTTTTACCCGAAACTGGACCGTATAACTCGAATCGAGACCGGACCGGGACCGGATAGTAAACAATCTAATTCAATCTTTGGGCTTAGATTTGAGGTAAAAAACCGTTTGAGATCGGATCGAAAATTGGATAAAGACCGAATAAGAGAGCTCAACACCAAAATTCTTAAGTGTAATTTGCATAAACGGTCACAAACATTTGCACTTAGTACAAAACTTAACCAACTCATCACCCTTTCAGGCCTTTTAGGCCACTCAAATCCCCACAAGCTCAATAAAAAATCAAGACCGAATTGGGACCGGACCGGGTCAAGACTGGACCGGATCAAGACCGGACTGTATCCAATCCAATCTTTGGTCCTTGTATTTTCAAAAAGACCGGACTGGACCGGATCAATTTGGCCAATTTAACCGAACCGGATCATATCCCCTACTAGGGATGGCAACAAAACCCAAACCCACGGGTACCCACCCGACCTAATCTGGTCAACGCGGGTAAAATTCGTGTTGTCGGGTTTTGGGCCGGGTTTGGGTTTAAACTCGTTCACTATTCACCGGGTTGGATTTGGGTTTAGGTCAATCGGCCCCATGGGTACTCGCCCATACCCATATAATTAATTTTCTCGGTATATTTAATATTCTAAACAACTAATCTTATTTATATTTGTGGAGACATGTCTAATTTTTTCTTTCTAATATTGTGTAGAATGAAGTTGATGTTATCGAGTGGAGAGTGAAGTAACTTAATTGAAAGGATTCTTCCTTTCAATTAATCATGTTATTTATGGATAATTTGTGATTTACTTTAATTTTCTTGAGTTTTCTAGATTGGTGTTGAACAATTTGTATAGTTAATTTGTGATTTGCTTGAATTTTCTAGAATGTTGTTTTATATATGGATAATTTGTATTGAGAGTTTGATATTTGACTTTATTTTTGATAGGAACTTGTTATTGTAAATTTTTTACCACAAAACCCGCGGATACCCAGCGGTTTGGATTGGGTTTGAGTTTTTCAAACCGTGGGTTTTACCCCGGGTTTTTCACAGATAAACCCATGGGTTTAGGTTTGGCAAAATACAACCCAACCCGACCCATTGCCATCCCTATTGGCAGCGTTGCAATTTTGGGGAATATTTCCTCGTCGAGGTTCGATTGGGTCAATTACAAGAACATACATTTTCCTTTTGGATTACTAACAAATGGGCATTGAACTTTCATTTCTAGCAAACAAAAGTGAATGTTTATAACAGATTCGTTTTATATAGGAATTAGTCGGATTCAAGCGAGTATTCACGAGTAAGGTTATTTTTGCTATTTCTAATCATCGGTGAAATGTCATGACAAGATTCACGAGATCCAGTTATCCTTAGTGCTTCGTTGGTCCTAAGTATGGACAATATTGGTCCATGAATGCAATGTGGCAAAGACAAAATGATTCATATTATTCATCGAGTTGCGACTTGTACAACCGTGATATCCATTCCAAGTGCAATGCCCAATTGCAATTTCTATTCATCAATAAAACTTTTTATAGTATGGGCTGTAAAGCTCACAGCGAGCCTCAAGTTCTCCTATAACATCATGCCTCATTTGTTCCCAGTTTTCATCATTCCCAATGACTAAATGTAATATGGGAGAAATCCATACCAACCTTAGGGCTATCCTTATCCGGCTCCCCACCCCACAAAAAACCCCAACTTGCATTAGGATGCCTGACAACCCTTCCGGCACTCAATCTGCTAAATATGATAACTTGCGAGTAAATTGCTAGGTCAAATACACAATATATGAAAACTAAATTACTTAAAGTTTGAACTTGTATTGTCTTGGTTATCCTTATCCGGCTCCGTTCCATGCGTACGAGTAGAATGTGAGTTATACTCACAAACGGGCACCATCTATCCAAATTTATAAATTCAGCAACATAACATTCAGCCTGAAACTAAGCATCTTAGTAAAAAAAATTTACTCTAAATTCTAAACTTAATTAAAGTGACCAAACCAAGAAATTTAACAAATTGAACAATAGAAAAATCTCCATGAAATTATGTATTGTCGTCATTGTCAGGTGTTGTCTTCTGATATATGTGGTTTGTCCTTTTTGTGTCCCCGTGTCATTATGCTCGAAGTAAGATGGATCTTGTTCCATTGGTGTCTTCCTCAGACAATTGGGCTAGGGTTGTGTCCTCTTCATCTCATGGAGGCCATCATCCTGAGGGTAAAGATAATTGTGTTGTAAGCTATTGGCTCCTCGAATTGTCTATGAACTTCTATGAAGAACCTCCTCTACTAGTTTGTCAAAAGTCAAGTGCTATTAACGGTTTTGGCTTCATACTCTACATAAGAGACCGTTAGTATAAAAAAACGTATGTGGACAAGGTATTCCTTCCACATCTACATTGGTGACCATCCACTTGAGTGCATGTAGTGTTACATTCATTTTCACTCCCTAAAAGGCCTCCCTTTGGCTCATGATAGTAGTTTTTTCGAGAATCCTTTAGAAGCTTTCTGATTTCACTTTATTGGGCCTCAATGTGATCATGGTTCCTCTTATATGCCTACAAAAATATGAGGGGACAAACTTTGAATGCTGAAGTATCATAAAAAAATCTAGAGAACAATTAAAATTGAATACTGAGGAGACAAATCATGTCCATTGACCTCGTAGATGATTGAATCCCTTTTTGAAGAAGGAATGAACACCTTCAACTTTCTTTGAGTTTGCAGAAATCCAACTTACTAGAAACATTTAACATATGTCTTTACTTCTTTTGATTAAAATCAGTAGCCTTGACCATTCACTTCTTACCATGAGTGAACTCAAAAGATATCGTCGACTAGCTTCACCTTTTTTTGTTAGACGACTTCACCAAATATAACCCAAGTTCTTTGCAATCTTAGTTGTTTATTCAAAAGCTGCCAATGTTGTATTGTCTTCGCTTCATCGATGAAGGACTATATGTAATCAATACCATCTGGCTCTGTAGTGCCAACAAATTCCTACAATATTTCACAAAATAAAGGAAGTGATTCAACATAACATGTAAGATTTAACAACAATCACTTAAGTTCAATTCGATCTAACATAACATTCATTAGCTATACTCGTTCATTCTATCTATGTCAAGAGTGTTTGGAACTACTATTTCATCTCAAGCTATCGGGTCCTCTTCCTTACACTTGTGGCGAGCTCCTTAAACAATGGAAGTTTCTATGTCAAAGCTGCAGATTTTCAAATGCATTTGTTCTACTTCATTGCTCTACTCTATGTCACATACGCATGAAGAGAAACTCAAAAATATTTTAGGACAAGCAAAAAATTTCAGTAGGGCTCACAAATAGAATAAATTAAGACAATTAAGACATTTGGGCATGGGCAATATAACATCCTGTTCCGACTAAATCCATATTTTGATCGCTAGAAATTACGAAGTTTAAATCGAGTCTTTTGATAGTATTTCAACAAAAATCGGAATATCGATCGGATAAGTATACGTATTATATATAATTAATAAAAAGGAAAATGAAATTTATAAACAAAAAGGTAAGTAAGCAGTGAGGAGCGCTTAAAACTCCCCGATCCATCTTTTTCCCCATCATTCTTCTTCTTCCTTTTTATTGTCGAGAGAAGCAGAGCGCATAGGGATGCTTCAGGGGAAAGTTTCAGAGCTCAATTCTTGAGCTCTACTGATCCAAAAATCTGTAAGTAATGCCTATTCCATCCATACATCGTAGTTTATCAATTTACAGCTTTAAAACGAGTTTTTAGGTCAGGAATTTCTTGAGTTTCTGATAGAAGGAATTAAGATTTTCGGAGTGTCCGGAAGCCGGATTAAGCCCAAATTTCATATACGAGCTTCCTACAGCGAGATAATTAATCCTCTTGTTCTAATCCATGAATTTTGACAATTATTTAGGTTTGAACTAAAATCGCTGAATTTAGCTCTGGATAGGGTTTGGTGTGTTTTTATCGAGAATTTGACTCAGAGACTAGTATTAACTTTGACGGGAGCACTGCAGGGAATACGAGGACGGTCTCAGATTTTGATTTCTGGATTCGTTGGTGAAAATTGAGGTTTTGTACGCGAGGTTAAAACCGGTGTTTGTACGACCAGGACTAGCGAGGGATTAGCACGGCATACCGGGTTTGTCATATCACGATAATTATATTGATGTTTAGAAATGACCTAGGTGAGCTAGAATGACATGATTAGGGGTGTGAACTTTTGTGCTATATGTGAACCCTTGAGTGTAATATGATATTGTTGTCTTACCCTAATACTTATGAACATTGTTTATGTGATGATTGCATATATGTTGCCATTTGTGGGCTTAACTGTTGATATGCCTTATTATGGTTCGAGAAGGTGATTGAGTATGATTTTTCATGATGGTGGTAATTGGATTTACAAGTGGGAAAATATACTTCCCAAGGTGATTATATGATGTTTACGGAGGATGACTTGCACGAGGGTTCATCCCGAAGAAGTGCAATTATACGACTCTTGGTTTATCTATGTTGAGCCAATTATGGTAAGGTCAAGTACATGTACAACAGTGCAAGTAACGAATCAAGATTAAGCAAGATGAGATATGAATCATGTATAAGGATACCAAACAAGAGTGTTATGGTCTCATGGTCAATTACATAGTAATTAGGGCTCCCTGTGCCATTACTCTATTATGATATGTATGATAGTCACACTTCTCATGTGGTGCTGACTGAAGATTTCTCACGAGATATGACCACACCCAGAGCGGTGTCGGGGTATAACTACACCCATAGTGGTGTGGGGTATGTATGGCCACATCCGACGGGATGTTGGGGGTACGTATGACTACATCCGACGGGACGTGGGGTATGTTTTCTAGGGGAGTTATTAGCATGGGAATAGCGAGACGCCTATAAATAAAAATGATAAGACACATATGCATAAGTCAACGTGGTTGAGTCTTTTGCCTATTGGGATGTAGGATGGCTGAGGTTTGTTCCTAGTGTTTTGGCTTGATTGCTAGATGTATGATAGGGGTTATGCTTTATGAACTCACAATGCAATGATTGTCTCACTCAGCTATGAGCTGACCCTCTTTTATCATTTTCCTCCGCTTATGCCATGTGTAAGAAGTTCATCATCAACAACAACAGTAGATAAGTGTATAGGTGGAAGCTGAGCAAGAGTTGAAGGCAAGATGAGGTATGGTCTTCAACTATTCTGTGCTTGGACGACTACTCGGGGTTTTGGCCAATGATCCACACATTTTTGTAAAAATGTTGAGAACGTTTTTCATGTGCATACTAGCTTCTGATGTAGTGTGAGATATCCACAGGTGTGGAAAGTTGATGATATGTGTATATTTGTGTGGTTGTGTAAGTTGTGACGATTATGGCATGCATAAGTATGGTATGTAGTTGCAGAGTATGAAACTGTGACTATGGCTAACTAAAGCCAATGTATATGGTTGTGGGTATATATGTATGTATATGGATGCAGAGATTCAAATGAATTATTTTGCAGGTCTAGTTGCTAAAACTGTTAGCCCATTACGCGAGTAATTCATGTTGAATTTTAATTTGGATAAATTTTGTGTATTAATGTAACACCCAAGTTAGATTTTGCTGCAATTACATTAACAATATGATTAGACAAAATATACATGATACTGCAATATCCTTGCTCCGTATGATGCTTTAAGTCTCCATCACTTACTTTTTTGAAACTCGAGGACTTCCTTCAATCCTCATCACGCAATTTAGCTGTTGTTACTCTTCCCCCTTCTCTATGTATCTCTACCTTTCCATCAAATTTCTGAACTCACGCTCTTAAATTCGATTTTAGTTTTTGCATCTCTAGAATTAATCCACGACTTATGGCCCTTCCACAATTTAGGTGAATAAAAATTCAGTTGTATATTCATAAAAAACTCGCTTTAACTTTCACATATAAAAGTCACCATTCATCACACAAAAAATCATACTTTATAACAAAGTTTCATACTCTATGTAAATTTAATTCTATAATAAATCTTAATTTTCCTCACATACTTTGTACGCAAAGTAATTAAAAAGGCTTAATTGCAAGTTTGGTCACTCGAATTGCTACAAAATTTCACGTTTGCCACTCAAATTAATTTATTCCATTTATAGTCACTTAAATTAGGTTAACAGTCCAAGTTTGGTCACTGGCCGTTAGTCTCCATTAACTTTTGCTGATGTGGCGGTCAACTCTTATAGTTGACCGTTAAATGAGTGACGGGGCGATTAAAAAATTAATAAAATAATTTAATTTAATTATTTTTTATTTTCCACCTAATTATTATAAAAATAAAAACCTAATTCCTTTTAATTGTTATTTTCCACCGCCCATAGCCGTTCCTCTCCCCTCAGGTCGACGACCTCTCCCGGCCGGCCAAGCCCCGCGTGGTGGAGGAGTAGTAGGCGGTGGCGAAGGAGGAGGTGGTGGAGCGGTGGCTTCGTTGGGCGCGTAATCGTTTAACCCAAAATGGAGAGAATTTTTACAAGGACGTCGAGATCGTCGTGGATAGGCGTGTCGATGTCGTCGGAGAGACGGTCGAGGTTGCCGGCGGACCAGCGGAGGGTGACTGTTCCGGTGAACATGGACCACAATGCCAAGAGAAGAATGGCAGCTAAGGCCCAGAACTTGTACCTGCCTTTCCCGAAGAGAGAGGAATCGGAATTGTCCTTCTTCAACAAGCTGCCCGTCGCCGTCGATCTTGGAAGAGAATCGTCATCCTTCATCTCGATTCTGCTCCGATCCGGATGCTGGAAATTTTCTCTGGCTCCAACCGAATCGATCGCAAATGGAAAGTGTCAGTATCGGAATTTGCCCAGAAACTCGAACCCAAACCCTCCGCCGCCACCAAATAGCAAGGAGGAGGAGGAGGAAATTCGATACACACAGCGGCGGCGCCGACACCCACTGGACGGTTAGTTCAACAATGCTGCGACCACCGCCGCCGCCGACCTCCGTTTAAAAGTCAAGGTCAAAGAAATCAACCCGTCAACCAAACCATTCTTCCTTCCTCGTTTCCTCGTTTCCTCCCACCTTCCTAATTCCTTTTTCATTCCGCAAACTCCCCGAAAAATATTAAGAAAAGAAAACTCCACATTTTTTTTTGTTTTGCTTCTGACGTAAAGATTCCCACGGTGACAAACTTGATAGTGGGAATGAGTTAGTTTTACTACCTCTAAGGGGTCGAAAAAATCACACTCCCTATTAATTATAGTTATTTTTAATATTAAATTAGTGTAATATTTAATAATTTTTGGTAATTAAAAACTTATATTAATTACATTTTTTTCTAACTACCATTGCACTGATACAACTACCATTTTACCATATCATTGCACTGATACAACTACCATTGCACTGAAAAAAGGAAATTAATTAATATGAGTTTTTAATTCCCACAGATTATTAAATGAAACACAAATTTATTACCTTAACCACCTATAATTAATAGGGGTGCCATTTTTCCAACCCCTTTAGAGCATTCACATTGGTATTGCATTTTCAATTGCAAAATGACATGGCATAGGTGTTTGCAATTGCAAAACCGCATTGATGTGGCTACCAATTGCATATTTGCAAGCTTGCAACAAATGCAATTTCATATGCAAGTAAAAAACCCTTAAAAAATGGGGATTTTATATTATTTTCATTTCTCTTTTACTTAATTTTCTATAATTTAAACATAATATTTAATTGCATTTGCAATTTCAAGTTAATTGCATTGATGTAGGTGAATGAAAAATGAATGGGATGTAGATTGCAAAAAATTTGAGTTCACAATAAAAAACACAAATGCAATTTCTTTCGCAATTGCATTGATGGAGATGCTCTTAGGGAGTAGTCATGCTATCTCATCCATTGATAGTGACTAAACGTGAACATTTTTAGTAAACCCAGTTTCAATTTACCCTATTTTTAAAATAATAAGTGACGTGGACGCCACTGTAACACTGAATGTTGAGTCACAAATGGAATAAATGTTTGACAATCGAAATTAATAGTCAATGTAACATATGGGCTAATCCTATGCATTATTTTCAAAAGTTGGCCATAACTGTCTTATTTGAAAGTTTAGGTCAAAATTTTCATTTAATCTAAATTTCAAATCGAAATAGGGTATTAGAAAGAAGAAAAAAAAATTCGTGTACTTTCTACAAGCTGACATGGCAACCTTTCATTGAATGCCTTACGTAGCTTTCGTGGCAAACGGCATAGTTAGCAACGGTTTACTGCGTACTCCAAACGGGTTTTAGCCTTTTTACTTGGAGGGAAAGCATTGTCAAGATCGAAACTTCTAGATTGCCCTTCTTGACAGCCTAAATTCCCATAAAAACCAAAGGTTGTGCCGTAAAAGAGAGGAAAAAGCATGGGCATATTCGGAAATCCTGGATCTCCCTCCTCCCTGGAAAGTTCTTTGGCCAAGAAACGAGAAGATGCTATAAATAACCCCGCGTTAACTCTGCCCTTCGGCATCGAACCGCGCCTTCGAGAAAAAAAGAAGGATCAAATTCCTCTCTGATAACGAAAGATCGAACGAATCCATTTCTTCTTCCTCCGCTAATTCCTTCCTTCTCCGCGATCAGCAGTCGTAACCGAAGCAGAAAGATCTCCGCCATGGACGCGTTCTTCGGCTCTCAATCCACTTCGAGGAGTCGCTGGAGCTACGACTCGCTCAAGAACTTCCACCAGATCTCTCACGTCGTCCAGGCTCATCTCAAGCAGGTATTTCTTGCTACTCCCCCGTCTTATGAATTGCATTCTGGAAGGATTTTTTTGGTTTTGCTTAGATAGTCAATCGCCGGTTGTTGGAGTTATATCTAGGATTTGAGCTTTTCCTGGATTAGTGATTTGGATTCTTCGTTCGTTTCTTCCTTTCTACATATGTGGATTGATAATCGATCATTCGATCTCCGAGAAATGGTCACCGAGGCGTTGGATTGCGAGTTCTTCCCGTAGCTTTTGCTTTGTCCTTATTGTGGCTCGAAATTTCCGGCTTGGATCCTATTTGGTTTAGTCACTGGAACTATGCAGCCTGTAATATTCTGTTATCGTCCTGCATGATGTGTTGATCATATAGAAAGGAATGACAAGCTTCTGCGGTGCTCTCCTGGAGTAACGTGGCCAATTTGTTTTAGGTTTTAGATGCACGCTGGAAGGAAGAATTAGTTCGCCATATAGTTCGTGCTATATAGCTTGGTTGTGGCTTTTCCGGTTTCGGTTCTGTTGTAGCAGCAATTATGCAGATGATCAAAACCTATTTATGATGTTCTGTGATGTCGTTGATCATCTTGAATTGAATTATTGTACACTGCTATGATCGTATTCAGGTTTTGGATGCTGGAACTACTCCTGATTTCGTTCTTGATTGCAGGTCTATCTGACACTGTGCTGTGCACTGATTGCATGCGGGATAGGGTCCTACTTGCATATCCTATGGAACATCGGAGGTCTTTTGACGACTTTCGCTTGCTTGGGATCTATGGCCTGGCTGATGTCTACGCCTTCATATCAAGAGGTATAGTGAAGTTAGCTGCCTGGAAATCCACTTATTTAATTTATGCTGGTGTGTTTCCTCAATTGATTTTTGCTAATCCTTTGACTTCTTGTTTATTGAACAGCAAAAGAGGGTGTCCCTTTTGATGACAGCTAGTGTGCTTCAGGGGGCTTCTATTGGTCCTCTGATTGAGCTAGCTATTGATATTGATTCAAGGTATGAGACCAGAGTTAATATTTTCGTTCCCATAGAAGTGTTTTGGATTCCCATTGGTGGTGCCAGATTTAATAGCCTCTGTAGCTTAAGTTGGTTTATTTTAGCCAGTGTGATTATCAGAGAGCTTCTGTCTGCTCTCAAGAGTTAAAACTAACATGGAACTGGAAATCTGGTAATATATTATGAGATCAGAGTTAAGTTCTTCATCTGCTTTCATTGATATGATATTCAATCTTCTGTTGGCCTCCTGCATTTCCACTTTTCTTGAATTTTCTTCTTTGGGTCGTTCTGAGTCTGCTTCTCATCAGTGCGATTACTCGAGAACTCCATTTTGTTGCTTTTTTCACTTTTTACTATTGGTGTAAGCTAATTTATTATGGAATTTGAACTTTGTGTTCTCGCAGTCTCATCATCACAGCCTTTGTGGGGACAGCCATCTCGTTTGGTTGCTTCTCCGCAGCTGCCATGGTGGCAAAGCGTAGAGAGTATCTCTACCTTGCTGGGTTGCTCTCCTCTGGCCTTTCTATTCTTTTCTGGCTGCAGTTTGCATCCTCCATCTTTGGAGGCTCTGCATCTGTCTTCAAGTTTGAGGTTGGTGAATTCGTTCTACCTCCTGCAAACTTCTCCATTTCATCCCTTACATGTACTGTTAGCTAACGAGCTTCTCAAACGTGCCAGCTGTACTTTGGGCTACTGTTGTTTGTCGGCTATGTCGTAGTTGACACACAGAACATCATTGAGAGAGCTCATGTTGGTGATCTGGATTACGTGAAACACGCCATTGAGCTGTTTACCGACTTCGTCAGTATCTTTGTCCGGATTCTCATAATCATGGTGAGTTTCTGGTCTTGTCTTGGTGTTAAATCTCTCATATCTTCATACACCGAGGCTTGTTAATATCTTTGGTGGAGGATTTGACTAACTTGATGCTTTGTCTTGCAGGTGAAGAACTCGATGGAGAAGGAGAACGAAAAGAAGAAGAAGAAGAAGAGAAGAGAGTAGATTATGGAGTAGCCGCCTTGATGATGGGAGCATGTGCGCAAAAACGCCGTCGTGTTACTTGGAGCTTTTTCTCGTGGGATCTTGTGGTTCTGACTCTGACATCACCTGTCTAGAAACATATAACCTTCGTTGCCATCTCCTCTTTCCCAGTTCGCACACGTTTTGCTTTCAGCACACGGTATTATAAATAACATAAGTGATACACCATTAATCAAGGATCTGTAACCCTCCTGGAGTTTTTGCTTATAGAGCTGCACCTGGTTATATGGTTTGTTGACCTCTTTGGTTTCTATCCAGTGACTAAACCGGGTTATTATTTGAAGTAAGAAAAAAAAAATATATAGATCATGGTACCGGGATACAGAAGAGTTGGTGTTTCCTAATTTGTAGTGCAAGGGAATTCTGAAGTCGTTACTCTTGACACATAACTTAGCTCTTAGTAATTACAATGTTACAAGCTTTTAGTTAAAAACTCAGAAATTCGGCCGCATTCAGCTTAACAGAACTGTGCTGCGATCTGATACAGGCTTCAAAATGCGCAATGCCAAAAGTTGCTAGCAGTCTTTAGATCTTCAACCAGTCATGGTCTGGCAAATTGCCAATGGTCAGGTAGTGCCATCCTCAGGAAGACTCGGCCACTTCATCCAACCTGTGTGACAAGTCTGGTGCTTACCCTCATGGAGTTGCCTACTCTCCTTCCAGGGATCATTCTTGTTACTGGAGACAGGGTTGTCGTTGTTGTCATACCTGGGAGAGCGAGAGCGTGAGCTTGAGAGAGACCTCTCCCTTATGCTGATCTCTCTTTCATTCCTGCTGCTTCTGCTCACATCCGAGTTCCGGCCATTTTCGTGATGTGGGCTCCTGTCTTTGCTTCTTCTCCTGCCCTCCTCCACACGTGATCGCCTCCCCCTGCTCCTGCTTCTGCCTCTCCTTCCCACACGTGATTGCTTCTCCCTGCTTCGGCTTCTGCTCCGCCTTCCCACACATGATCTTCTCTCCCTGCTTCTGCTTCGGCGTGAGCTTCGTCCCCTGCTTCTGCTCCTTCTCCTTTCCTGGTGTGAGTGTCTTCCTCTTCTTGTTCTATCCATTGACCTATCCCTGCCTAGCCTTGTTCTCCTGACATGGTTAGTTGGACTTCCATCTCGACTTCTCCCATGCCGACGACTCTGTTCATCTCTAACCACGCCTGTGACCCTCCCTTGATGTGTACTGTGGTGTTGTACAGATTGCTCCAAAGGATTCTGGGGGGTAAAACCATCGTCAACAAGCCCTTCTCTTTGCATGTCATCCATATTCCCTGTCAGATTCCTGGCCACGCATGCATACGATGCGGGGCTTAAGAGGCGATTCAGACATCTATCCCTCCCTACTGGGGAGGAAGAAATGATGATAAAAAGTTAATGTGATTAATACCTCCCAAAGTGAGTACCAGCAGGTGTCACGTCCTCGACTCCCAAAACCTTCCGCAGCTCAGCTGCACCGGAGGCCACTTTCTCGGCTGCTGCTTTCGCCCTCGCCTCAATTTCAGCAGCCAGCTGCTTGAAATGCTGCTCACGGTCAACGAGTGACTGCTCCAGATTCTGTTGCAGAGCTATGAGATGGTTCTGGATGGGCCCCTGAGCGGGGAGATCAGAGGCTTCTGTTGTGTGAGAAGCAGAGTCCATTGCTAGATTGCTGCCAAGACTTTACTCTGTTGCTGTATTCACAAGCTTCCCTGCTATTTGAATGGTTAAACAGTGGTCAACCAAAAAGACTCGCACTAGCGCCATGCACAGATCAGTTTCACATCATGAACCCTGCAAGAGATATCTATCTGGAAAATATACAATACAACTGAAAGGAGGCAGAGCTCTACTGTTGATAAACTTAACAATGCAATGCAGACTGATCATCAAACAAACCGGCATGAAGTACCACCACAAAATCGTAGCTCACTCTTATGATGAGCCATGCAAAGATGCATTGAGCATCTCACTACTTGAATAAATTGATCCAGTAACTCAGTTCATAGCAGGTTTCATTCCCGGTTCCGAAGAACGCAAAGATATCTTATACATATAGAATGCATGAAAATTGACGAGCATCCCAAGTTCTAGGCATAAAGAACATATAATCCCAGTTACCACAGCATTTCCAACAAACTTGAATGGCGTTGTAGGAATCTATCAAGCCCGTACCATTCCCTTTTCCGTAGGATTCATTTCATGATACCGTGATCCGAATCATCAGTTTTCACCAAATCAAACATCGACACCCAGAAAGAAAGGCCTAAATTTGATCTTAGTGCTCAGCACACCAGAATTCCGGAAGTCGAGCTCTGATCGCTGATATCCGCCACAGTGGTCGAAACTGACTACCATATTCGAAGAATTCCCAGATTTCAGAGAACTCTGAAACTACACAGGAAATGCTGCAGAACCCCCAATACCCAGAGATGCTCGCTAGGGTTTTCAGTCTAATTCCGATGACACAATTGTATTCGGAACGAGAGAGAGAAATGGTAGGTTTCTGGGGAAAACTTTGTGGGTTCGGGGAAGACGAACTTACGCTGGAGAAAGAAGCGATCTTTGATTCAGCCATTGTTGAGCTCTGGAAGCAAATTGACCAGAAGTAGGGAACAGCTAGGAAACGAACTGTGGGACGAGAAAATGGAGTGTCCTTGTTTGACGCGGAAACATTTAGAAGGGGAAATTTGTGACGTTTGAGACAAATAAAAACAGACCGGGAAAGGCTGGGGCCCAAGGTTTGGCCTGTAGCAAAGAGAATGAAGCCCAAGTAAGGCCTGATTACTCTGGGCTTGTTTGAAACTTTTGATGTGGAAAGTCTTTGTGATGTTCTTGCAATGGTTGGATAAGTTTGCGACAGGCTCGGGTACATTAAGCCCAAGTATAGTTGACCCAGTTGGTGACTTTGTGTTCCCAATCAATGTGGTTTAATAGATTTGGTTATGTTCATAGTATTATTTATTATTATCTATTCGGTTGATGTGGCTGATATTGTATTATATGTTATATTGTAGGAAAACTAGAGTTGGGCCCGCCCGTTGGCCGGATGAATTAGATTAAGAATATAAACACTAACAGTAATTATGCGAATAATTTATTTGGTAAGTGAAAGAACCTAAATCATTCAATAACTAAACATATAAAAAAATATATACATTATAACTTATAAGTGTTACCACATCTTGATCATTCATGTACAAAAGTCCTTATCAAAAGTAAACAACAGAACTCATGGAGGTAACTGAATCTTAAAAAACTTAATATTCAAAATGTATTTCATTATACTCTTTATTGCTAGAAGTTACTACAATTTTCATTTTGGATTTCTTTTTGATTTCCCCGCCATAAAACAAACATCTTATCCACACAACTTCATCTTGATTAATGAAACTTCATATTCACTATCAATAGTATCTTAGCTTACTTTTCTCATGCATTTCATTGAAACCATTTTAATTGTAAAATGTTATAAAATGTGAAACATCTTTTCACGATGCTAGAATTTCACCTCATATGAATCAAATATTTCAACCATTCGCTCTTTCCTGCTATCACATATATTTCTATATCAACCATCAATAATATCTTTCTTTATCTCAATAACGTCCTTATCTCCATCTCTAAATTCACTACCTCTGATATTAGCATGTTCTTCTTTCTTCTACATTTCATTGATGCAAAAATTTAATGGCAATTTTTTTTAATTATGAAAATTCCATTTTCAAGAACTTAAATTTACCCTGTAGATGTCGTGAACTTTGCGCGAGATTGCACTTCTTCATTCTTCTTTATATTTTAGTGGGTACGTTCTTTTCTCCCTAATGAATGAACTTGAAGTTAAAAACAATCAAAGAGTAGAGGTAGATCATTACCTAACTACTATTGTCTTTGGTGTTGTATAATTCTTATAAAATTATTCGGCATAGTCTTCTTTAACTTTTCTTTGGCAAGTTACAATTAATATGGTTTTCCTAACCTGTTTAAAATCAGTGAAAATGAATGAGATATAGTCCGCTAATTTGCAAGAAATTGAAAGTCCCTTAATAATAGCTCTTGAGATTTAAGCCAGCCTTAACTAAAGGAGGTTATGCACCAAAAATCCGGCCCTTTTATTTAATTGTTTGAAGATCATACTGGAACACTATTTTGTCAATAAGATGATTCTCCAAGGTGAATATATTTTTAATGCGTAGAATCAATAAATATAGTACTTAATAATTGTATGAATTGACTTAAAAACTCAAAATAATGCTGAAGCAATTATAACATAAATAATAATATGATTCAACGAAAAAAATAAAAAATAAAATGCTACTACCAAAGCAAGTTTTGATAAGAATTATCATCATACTAATATTTGTTCAAAAACCAAGCAACTTTTAATTCTCTCACTAATATTTGATCAAAACCAAGCAAAGTTATGAAAAAAGAAAGAAAGTGGAGTTGTCGTTTTCTACTCTGTAAAGAAAACAGTACATAACAAATGTAGATCTAAGGTGGCATAAGAAAGAAATTATTTATTGTGACCTGCATTTTATCACTATAAGAGAAAATCAATACCTAAAAGAAGAATTGAAAAATAAAATAATAATTAATTAAACAATCATTGATAATTACATTCATAAACCTCGTCACTCTTATCAATTCTCATTAATGCGTTAAACTTTTCTATTTTGTACTTGTTTTATGAAAACCCTCAGATCTAAATTTATAATATGAAGAGTATTTGATTTTTTAGTTAATTAGCAAAGTCACATATATAAGAGTTTGCCTCAAACACTTAATCTTATAATAAAAAATATTAAATAAATAAACTAAATCACATATAGACACCCACGGCACAACCTTATAATAAAAAGAAAGTTATTAATATAATAATTGGGTTTTCTCCATCTCAATTATCTCCGGTCCAGCTTGTCAAAAAAAAAAAAAAAATCTCCGGTCCATGTAAATCCAATAGTGCCCCTTCAATCGTTTCTGTGTCCCATATTTGCAAGGAAAAGTAGAATGGGCCTGGCCCAATTCAATCAATAAATGCACGGATATATTTACCGAAAACTCCCTCCGTAGGTTGCGAAGAGAGCAGGAGAAAGGGGATTAAGGGGGTTCTAGCCAAGAACCTTCATATAGTATTGTTAGGATTTCTATTTAATTATGGAGATGTCGCAAGTCTAAGTTCAGGTTCTTAAGGCCTCTTTTTTAAGGAGGATTTTAAAGCTTTGTAATTGGTTAACTCAATTTTAGGTAGTTAGTGGGGAGTTCCCTATGTTTGGCCCGGCTTTTAGAAGTGCTTTTCGGGTTCAAAAGTTGAAGCAGGGCCAAACACCTGTAAAAGCTCGGCTTTTGAAAAGCCGAAAAGCGTTTTTGTATAACATAAAAGCAGAAGCTCAGATTTGGAGCTTCTGCGAAAAGTTGTTTTGAAAATACAAGATTATCCTTACCATATTTTAATTTTATTTCAGAAAATATAATTTTCCTTCATTTATATTATTTTAAAAATAAAGTAAATTATAAAATCATATTATTTAATATTAAAGAAATCAAACAAGATCCATTTTGACTACTTTTTATTGTTTAGAATTTTTATTCATATTTTATATTATAAGTCCTTTATAGTCATTTTACACAACCTCTAATATTAAAAAGCACTTCTAATAGTTTTACAACCAAACACTCAACTGTTTTTTTTTAAAAGTACTTATCTAAAAGCTCCAGCCAGAAGCTACTTCTGCAAAAGCTACAGCAGGGTCAAACTAAACTGTTATTAATTAAATAGATGTTAGGGGTATTAAGGAGCCTACAATGAAATTAAAAACCGGCATCTCTTTCTTTTCCCAACCCTAACCCACATCTCTTTTTTTCCCTCCCACAATCCGAGCTGTCCCGCTGTCTGTTTCTTCATCCTCCCGCAAGCGGGCGAACCGTTCGATCGTGCCGAGTTCTCCGTCCGGTCGTCCCTTCTCCGGCAGCCACTCCAGCAGTCGCTCTCCTCACGGCAGCAGCTTTGTCTCGCCGTTAGAACATTCGCCATCCCGCCATCATCGCGCCGCTACAGTTCTAGCATCTCCGACATCCCGACGACGTAGCTTTTTGCGACGCCGCCATCCCGCTAGCACACCTGGCCGTCATCATTCTCTTAGAATCCCTTTTAAAAATTACCGTATTTCATTAATAATAATGACAACGTGGTTATTAGTAAATTGGTGTGGATAATGAGTGGTTGTGGTTATGAACATTGTAATGCGAAAGTAGTAATAATTTTGGAGGTTTTGTTAACGTATATGTTTGCAATGTTTTTACTCTATTGACAATGTTCTAGTATGCCATTATTAACGAAAAATTTGTTATTAATGTTTTAATATGTAATCATTAATTAAATTAAAAAGAATTTTAACGCTTTCCGCGAATGATGAACACGTGTATGAAGTTATATTTCGCGTTAATGTTGTATGGTTGTCATTTTCAACGTTGCAATACGAAACTAATCACAATGTTGTTAACATATCAAAGATGATTATCATTCTTTGATGTATTTTGTTAATAAAAATGACAAAAATGGCTAATATACATACCCATAAGATCTTTTATTATTATCTTTTTTGTTTGACTTATGATTGCAATTCAATAACATTATTAACAAAAATTGTTTCAATTATTAAGGGTTTGTTGATAGATCATATTATAAAAGTTGATAACGTTACCTTGGATGACGTTATCAACGATATACAAAAACATTACCACCGGTTTTCAATGTTAATAATGAACATTGTCAAGATTAACGAACATATAAGGTAAGGTTCATAATCTCCCACAAAAAGTTAATAATTGAAACAATTTTTTGTTAATAAAAACTCTTCTTTCTAAACCTCCTATTAATAATATACTATACTTTTATCAACCTATACAACATATCAATAGAAGGTGTTCATTAAGGGTCACGATATTAAAAAAACTCATCTTTTTTCAACTTCAGATTTTATACTATTAACATTTTTCAACAATAACATTTTAGACTATTAACGCTTTTTAAACCTCCTATTAATCAAATAATATACTATTATCAACCTATACAACATATCATTAATTAAGTTGTACGATCATCAGAATTGTATTTAACAGTTTTTTTTTGCTTCTTATAATACTCTTATATACTATTATTAACATTCAATCATAAACCTATTAATAATGTCATGAAAGGGAATAAACTTTATGAAACTAATAACCTATAACAAAACGTAACTAACTGAGCATTGGTAACAAACACATTAGTTATGCGAATCATTGAGCAAAAAAGTTAATAATACTTATAAAAACATTAATAAGGTGACAATTAAAAATTACAAACTGATTACAGAGTCCTTAATGATCAATTATTATTAATAGCCCTGCAATCGTTGATAGGTTACATAGAAACGATAGGTTACATAGAAAATGTTAACAATGGAAAAGGACGTTAATAATGTATTAAGCAAATGGTGGATCTCCGATCCTTCATTGCTGGAGCCGCCTTACGGAAGATGATTCCTCCCAGTCGCCTTCAGCCAATGGCTCGGCTCGACGATCGCTTGCAGCGACAGCTTTATGTGACGGCGGCATAATAGGGCTGGGCTGGTGGGAGGGAGCGGAGGTGAACGACCGGCGAAAACGATGATAGAGAGAGGAGTCAACAACCGCCTGATTTTTGACCAGAGAGAGAGAGAGGTGCAGCGGTTTGAGGAAACGTGATAGGGTTTTAATTTCCATTTTCATTATTAATATAATTAATTTTTAATATATTCCA